AACCGAATTAAACATCGTGGCCCTGAACGGTGGGGAGAGATGTGAGAGATGTAACATCGTGCAGTAAAGTGAGAAGCTGCTTTTGAGCACCGGGGGTTTGGTCGGCAACAAGTTCCCCACGCTTGCAGCGTGCCCATGCCCAGCACATCCCCAGGCTCCTCCAGAAGCAGCAGCAAATGTGCCCAGGCTGGAATTGTGACAGTCCCCAGGCTGTGACACCGCTGCCTGTGCCGGAGCAGCTACGGGTGGCAGCACCCCACATGTCCACTTCCTTCCCACAGCAGCAGCGGCACCGACCCCGGGCAGGCAGCTGGCTTCCCGCTTCTGTTCTCTCCCCGGGAGCCTTCCCCACCCTCTCCAAGTTTCATAGCAAGCAGCAATTTCCGCAGAGAGAACATGCAGATTCTGCTAATTACAGACGAGAGGAGGGCTGTGCCCCCCCCCCGTTCCTCGCTCCGGATCCCAGCCGTGCAGGCGGTGATTGGGCATTGTGAGGTTCGCTTTCTGCAGCTCCGGATCCGTGCAATTATCCAGGGGCAGTTCTCGTTGCAGCCATTTGCAGTCTGTCAGGTTGGGTCTCCACGCTGTAAAATAACGCTGCCCGTCCTCAGAATCACAGCCTCTTCCTGGGCACCAGGAAACATTGAAGAGACCCATTCACGCTGCGCGCTGACTCTAAGTTTGAGGCATCTGCAGCCTTTAAACAGCGCTAGGACAGAGCGGTGGCTTTGCTTTCTTCAAGGAAAGGGGGAAGAGAAGCCAAGGTGCAGGCTTGCAGCGAGCTGCTGCAGAGGTGCGAGGTGAGCGAGGCACAACGCCATGGGACGAGCCGTGAGCCCCAGGGTAACCGAGGGCACCGGGGCCTCCCGATTTCCTCCTCGCCGCTGCAGCACGTGCTCTGACTCAGCCTGGGTTATTCACCACAAGCCAGTGCAAAAACCCACACGTACGCCGGGGAAGCCGCAAAAACACACGATGGAAGACAACGACACTTAATTAGGGGTTGACAGCGTCTTCTGCTCAAACACGTGGGTGCGGAGAGACAAAGTGACAGAAATGCTGCTCTGATTGCTTTTAGCTTTTTAATTACAGAAAACGTTTCCCAGAAAAGTTCTGAGGTTAACTCGGCTACTGGCAAACGCTGAAAGACACGACGAGTGCCAGGCTGCCTAGGAACAAAGCATTTCGGAGACCTACCTAAAGGAGGAAAAACCACAACGTCACCTTATCGTCAGTGGCTCTTTCAGGGCTGCTCGGAGAGGCCAGCCGCCCCTGCCACAGCCTCCAAAGCGCTCAGAGAGGAGGTGGGAAGCCTGAGAAGCCAGGACAGGCTTTTCCTTTCAGCACGCAGTGACCCAGGCGGGCAGGCGAGCGATGCTGGGCGCTCTGCTGAGAAACTCGGCGCTGATACAGACGAGGACCAAATTCACTTCTCGCAGACCATCGCTTTTAACTTCACCCTCTTCTTCCCTGCACTTTTGCGCTTCAATTCCAGCATCAAACGGCCTTCTGCTCAGCATCCCTCGCAGTGCCTTGATTTACCTTTCAGCTGGGCTCCCGTTGTGTGATCGCTGTGGAAGCGGCTGCACACAGGCAGGGGGCACGGCACGCGCCTTCCTCGCAGCATCCTCCCCTCGGGGGAATAGGCGAGCGGCTGCGCCTGTTTGTTGAAGGCAGAGCGGTGCAACCATCAGCAGGCAGCAAACAGGGAGAAGGTGCTGGTGCCAGCAGCACGGCTTTGCCAACGACTTATAGGAAACGACAATGTTGTGCTCCTCTCGGTGCCTGCACCAGCCATGGATGGGTGAGGACGCAGCAAGCGCCGTGGAGGGCTGTCCCCCTGCAGCAGCTCCCAGCTGGGAGCCTGTGGCTCTGCCAAAATCAGCTTCTGCCTGGCCCCACGTCCGTGGTTCCCCACGTCCAGCACAATCTGACCGAGATCAATCCCGTTCTTCGGCACGTCCACGAAGCGACCCAGCTCGCAGGCCTAGGAGACAACAGCTTGGGAGGCAGCAGAAGGGAAGCGGCTCCGTCAGCTGGATCACCAAACGAAAACTGAATTTAAAGGGGACCACCAGGATTTAAAAATAAATAAGTAAGAGACCTGGGTTTGGGAAACAGGAAACCCCCCCCCGGGACTTCTTCTCCTGTTCTGCTGCTATCTGTGAGCTCAAACACAGCCACCCCCCTGCCCTCCCCGGCAGCGGGGCGTGCGAACCAGGCTGCTGAAGGTCACCGCCACCCAAACACTCCCAGCCCTCGCCGTGCTAGCAGCTGGCACGCGTTTTCCCTCCAGCTCCACTGCTGATGTTCCCCTGCATGGTACAAAAGGTGCAGCGTGCGGGTTAACTGATCCCAGGGATCTCCTGAAGCTCCCCTACGTGCAGATGGCACCGGCCCCGTGCTCCCGGAGCAGGTACAGCGGTGAGGTTGGGCACGAGGCACCTGCCGGGGCTCCACAGATTAATACGGGGTCGCAGGAACGTGCTCGGCAGCCCAAAGAGGGAATAATCGAATGCGACAAAGCCGGGAGCAGCATGTGATGAGAGCAGCTCCCCGCGCCTTCGTCGGGGTAGCGCCCAGCCTCGGCAGACCTATTTCGGGACTCAGCCGGCTGCGTCTGAACGACGTGTTGGGGAAAAAAAAGAGAGCGCTGGAATTCCTGCTTCTGCTTTCCAGGCTGCAGCCACCTTATATGGGAAAACTGTATTTAAGGTTGTGCATCTGGCGAGAGCCCACAACGGTCGTGTCAGCGATTCGCTTCGAAAATCGGTCCCAAACCACGCGCTGGGTGCTCCCGGGGGAGCCCTCCTGGAGACGCTCAGCGAGCCAACCGGGGCACGTGGGCAGGCCCAGTGCCTGCTGATTGCAATTAGATCAATCTTACATCGATCGCTCCCCTCCACTGGTGCTCCAGCCTGGCCGGACACCCGACAGGACTGCCCCTCGCACCCCTCCCGACCCCCACGGTCCCAGCTTCCCTGAACATTCCCAGCCCGGTCGCATCTTAAAGGCCAATTAATTTGCTGGAGCAGCCCGAATGCCATTTTCGCTGCTTTCCTCCCCTTGCCTGCAGCTGAGCTGTGACTTATTGACTGTGAAGTAACTGCAGGGTCTCCAGAAGTTCAAGGCACAGGGTGTTTTTCTGCGTGTTTTTGCCTAGCTGACTCCCCCTGTCATCATCTTCGCTAGCACCATTTCACAGGGAAGAGGCACGTGACACCCAACTAAGCTGTGAACCATAATCATGCTGGGGATGATGTTTACATTTGATTTTTCCTCAAGCTGATAAGCTCTCTCCAATTTCCCTCTCCATCACGTTGGTATGGATCGAGCTGCTCGTGCCCCACGGGGTGGAATTCTTCCTTTATCTCTAATCTGCTCACTAGGAAAAAAAAAAATAATAAAATGCTTTCAGCAGCCCTTCAGAAGTCACTTTGTGGTTATCGTGGCAAAGAGGGAAGAGCCGTGGCGCTGCTCCTCGTGTCACAACCTGCACTCTCCTGGCTGGTCTTGGGGGCTCCATCTGCACCCACCGCACCTGGCTGGGGTCTCTGCTGCGGGCACGGGGAGACGGCTGCAGGGCCAGGGCACAGACACCGCTGTGACATCGCTCCAGTCCCTAAACCTGGGGACCTCGGCCCCAAGGAACGTGCTGTAGGCTTCTGCCCAGGCTCTAAGCCGTAAGTGAAGGGCAGGCCGCAACCCACGCAACGGGAAGACAGGAGGAATGGAAAGAAATCGTAAGTCAACTCCTCTTCCCTCCTGGGACGAGGATTTCCAGACCCCAGCTCTGCGAGGAGAGGGGCGGGGGGCAGCCCTGCTGTCAGTTTGTGCCGACAGCTCTCCAGCAAGGCGAACCCCCGGCCTCCAGCCCTGCCAGCACAGGCAGCAGGACAGCGACCCCTCCTCACCCAGCCGCCTGGGGACGGGATATCCCAGCCCCAAGGGGTCCACAGAGCCCCCAAAAAACCCCCCCAGCACGGCTCCTTCAGCCCCCTGCAGCTCCTCAGAGCGAGCGCGTTCAGGAAGGGGCGCAGCGGCCATTTACAGGCGGCAGGTTTTGAAATTCCTTTTTTTCAACCACAACAGTTACAACACCTTCGAAAACCCCACGGCGAGGCTCTCAGGACGGGACGGGTCAGCCCTGCATGGCCACCAATGCGCCCAGCTGCCGGCCCTGAAGGTTTTCTTCCTCAGGACACGTCCCGAGGCCTCCTCGAGGCCTCCCCAAGCCAAGCGGCTGCAGATCCTCGCCGACCCCCAGCTCCCTGCTGCCGGGGAGGGTCCCCTTCCAAAAACCATTTGGGGACCCCCCGGGAGCCGCTGTCAGCAGCGGGGCCGGGGCTGAGGGGCCTGGTTTGGCTCCCAAACGGCCCCCCCAGCCCCAAAACGAGGCCCCAAAGGGGTCCCCGTCCCCAAAATGAGCTCCTAAAAGGGGTCCCCAGCCCCAAAATGAGCTCCTAAGGGGGTCCCAGGCCCCAAAACGAGGCCCTAAAGGGGTCCCTGGCCCCCAAACGAGTTCCCAAAGAGATCCCCGGACCCAAAATGAGCCCCCAAAGGGGTCCCCGACCCCCAAAACAAGCTCCTAAAAGGGGCTCCCGACCCCAAAATGAGCCCCGGGGGTGGCGTTGGGGTGGGGGCCGTGGCCCGGTACGAGGCGGCGCCCCCCAGAGCAGCCCCGACCACCGAGAGCCCCCCCCGCGCGGACTGAACCATTCCGAGCCCCCCACTGCAGGGGGCGGCGGCCGGAGCGCACCACGCGGCACTGGGGGGGGGGGAGAAGAAGGGGGACAGCGGAACCCCCCCGGGTGAGGTGGGAGGGGGGGGGGGCAGCGAGGCACCACCCGCACCCGGTGTGGGGAGGGGATGGGGGGGGGGGGCTGGGCTGAACCACTGCGGGCTGAGGGGGGGGGGAAAGGGAGGCGGACACGGGCCGGGGGGGGGCTCTGAGGGCTCCGCGCGGGGCCGGCGCCCCCCGGCGGGGCAGTGCCCGTTACCTCCTGCCGCGTCCGGGCCCTCCGGGCTGATGGCGCCGGCACCGGCCCCCGCCGCGGCCGAGCCCTCCGCCGCCTCCTCGGGCACCTCCAGCTCCATGGCGGCCTCCGAGGGCGCGGACAGGCCCGGGGCAGGCCGAGGCCGGGCCCGTGCCGCCCCCCCCTTCCTCCTCCTCCTCCTCCTCCTCCTCCTCCGCCGCGCTGCTCCCGGCTCCGGCCGCCGCCGCCGCCGTCGCTGAGCAGCCTGGGAGCGGCGGGGCCCATGGACGGGAGGGCGGAGGGGGCGGGGAGGGGGGGGGGGGGGAGAGGCCGGGGCCCGGCGGGGCCGGAGCGGCGGGGGCCGGTGCTGCCCCCTGCGGGCCGGGAGGGCCCGGACGTCGCCATGGCAACGGCGGCGGGGGCCTGGGGTGGGCCTGGGGGGGGCTCCGTGAGGTTGAACGGGGGGGGGGCACCGGGCACCGGGCACCGGGGGGAGGCCGGGGGGAGGCAGCGGGGTCTCGGGGTGGGGGGGGGCCGGGAGGCCTCCGGGAGGCGCTGCCCTCCCCACGCCGTGCCCCGGGGCTGCGGAGCTGCTGGGAGGGGAGCGGCGGCGGGGGGGGGAGGCACCGGGAGCTGCCCCGACCTCCCCTGGGTGGCTGCGGGCCCGCCGCTGAGGCCCCGCGCTCAGCACCATGGCCCCGGGCTGGTGGCTGGCGGCGGGGGGGTTCCGCAGGGTCTGGGCCCCCCGGGATGCAGGGGGGGAGAAGGGCTCGGAGCTGCCGCAGCACTCCCGGTACAGGGCCCGGGCTGACTCCTGGACCCGGAGCCGCGGTGTGGAGCTGAGCTCCGTGGCCGGGATCCCCCCGGGAGGCAGGAGCAAGGAGCCCCGGCCGGCAGCGAGGTGGGGGCACAGGGAAGGGGTCGGGGAGGGAAGGGGGAGGCAGCCCCCGGTGGGCAGCCCCCCCCCCAGGGCTGGGTGTCCCCGCGGGGCTGCTGTCCCTGGTCCTTCTGGTGGCGCTGGGTGAGGATGTTCGGTCCCCAGGGACAGCCCGGGGGGGGGTCTGGGGGGTCAGGGCAGTGCGGGTGGTGTGGAGCCCCCCCCCCAGCTCCTTGGAGGGGGTCAGGCTGGGAGGAAGGACCCCCTGCTCAGGGGGTCACCCCCAGTGCCCCCGAGCATCCTGTGCCTCCAGTCCGTGCCTGGGGATAGGTGAGACACGAGTGGACGTGGCCGAGCCACCAGCCCAGGGGGGGACAGCAGGGACAGCAGGGACAGCCCCCCTACAGCACCCGCTGTGCCCTCTGGAGCTGCCCAGGGACCCCTTCCCCCTGCCCTCTCCCTCCTGCAGGCAGCGTCTGGCCCACAAAGGGTTACGCAAGGCACCCGGGAGTGACACCGCTGCCACCAGCCCCAGAGCTCAGCTCCTTCCTGGTCGGATCCAGCCTCCGCTGGGGCTGAGCCACCGCTGGGTGAGTCCTGGGGGACGGGGATGGGACCGGGGGTCACCCCTGCCTGGCAGCCCCAGGAGGGACAGGGGCTGGGGACCCTCCTGGGGTCCTGCCCTGAGCACACGGACGGAGCAAGAGGAGAGGCCCCGGGGGTCTCTACATGCTGGGGGGGGGGACTTGAGCAGGGCACGGTGCAGAGCCCTCGTTGGGGTGCTGCGGCTCTCACCCTGTGGGCTTGGGGACACGGAGCTGGGACCCTGCCACCAGGCTCTGCGCACTGGGGCTGGAGGTTGTGCTTCCCTTTCCCATGCCTCCATCCCACCCGTTTACACCCGGCCGGGGCAGCGCTCCCCAGCACCTGTATGGGGGGGGGCAGCAGGATCAGCCCACCGGGACGCAGGTGGGGCTGGGTTTGGGGAGGTGCTGGGGGGCTGCCGGCAGGGCACGGACCCTTCCTGCACAGCCAGGGCTGGATGAGGGATGAGTGATTTTGGCAGAACTGGCTGGGACGTGGGGAGCCAGCCCCAGGGGAGACCAGAATGGTGCGAGGGGGGTGTGTGGGGTTCCCATGGGGCTCCCACGGGGCTCCCACGGGGCTCCCGGTGCATGGGTCTGGGTGCATCGGGTTGGGCCACGGTCAGCTCGGCCCAGAAACTGCCTCTCCCGGCGGGGCCATTTCGGGTGCGGGCTGGTTTCTGTTGGAAACCTGCAGAGCCGGCTCCTCCGGCTGCCAGCCTCGGCCTTTGGCTCGGGGCAGGGCCCCCGGGGAAGTCCGAGGGCAGGACCGGGGCTGGGTGTCCCCGCAGGCACTGCCTGGTGAGCTGCTGCTGTCCCCATGCTGTCCCCCTGGCCGCCCCCACCCTGGCCCCACCAAGGCCACGGAGAGCTGCAGGACGCAGGCGTGGGACTGATTCACCGGGTCCCGGTGATGGGACGGGGGCGTGGGGCTGGCAAGGGGACAGCATGGAGCATGAGCCGTCACCTGCAGGGGGGGACACCGGCTGTCCCATGGCCTGTGGGGTCTGTTGGGACCTGTGGGTGCTGTCTTGTCACCCGTGGGTGTCGGGGGGCCCCTAAGCACCAACCAGGTGATGCTGGTGACGCAGCTGCCTCTGATCGAGCAGGAAACCTCCCCACCACCACGGCATGGGGACAGTGCGGGGGGACAGAACCATGACACCACCGAGCCAGGATCCTGCCTGGTCCCAGCCAGCCCTGCAGCCCCACACGTCCCTGGGTGTCAAGCGCCAGCGGCTGGGCATGGGGGCTGGTGTTGGTGGCTGGTGAGGCTGGGCAGCATGGGACACCCTCCCGGACTCTGCCCTGCGCTCTCAGCCAGCTCGTTCCTGGGCCCGGGTGAATGATTACCCCTGCCTGCCGCGCTGCCGGCCGCCCCGCCACATTTTGGGGCTGTTTTGGTGCAGCTGGGGCTGTGCGCTTGCCCCTGAGCCCACTGCCAGCCCCATCAGCGTGGCTCTAGGCGCTCTCCACAGGTGTCAACGCTCATCTCAGGTGCCCCCGTCCTGCTGGAACTGCCCTGTGGGGATTCCCAGTGGGGCTGTAGGATTCCAGCCGTGCGGTGTCAGTGCAGGGGGTCCGTGGTGGGGCTCAGAGCAGCCGATTTGTGACGGGGGCTGGGACAACCCCACAGCACCTGGGGGGCGTGTGGTTGGCACAGGATGGGGACACACCACAGTAGGGCCAGAAATGGGGGCTTTTGCCATGGCAGAGCCGTTGGGGTATTGGCGCCCAGGAGAGCTCTCAGGGCAGAGCTGTTGGGCACCTGGATCCTACACTGCCAACACTCGGGGAGGTCTCCCCCCGCCGAGCTGCCACCACGGGCTGTGCCGAGCCGTGTCCTGGCCGTGCCATGCCGTGCCGTGCCGGGGAGGTACCGAGGCTCCGGTTCCCCAGCGCGCCCCGTGCCCGCCCGCCCGGCCCTACCTGGGCACGCCCCGGGGCCGGGTGCGGTGCGGCGGGAGGCGGCCGGGGCCGGGCCATACCGTGCCGTATCGTACCGTGCCGGGCCGGGCCGTGCCGGTGCCGGTGCAGCGGCGCCCCCCGAGGGTCCCTGGCCGCCCCCCGGGACGTTCAGCATGGCCGTGCGGTTCCAGGTGCGCTGCGCGCCCGGGCGGGACTGGGAAACCCTGGGGAGGTCACCGCGGTGGGGTCGGGGTTGGGCGGTGGGGTCAGCTCCGTCCCACCCGGGTCAGCTCCGTCCCAAATCGGCTCTGTCCCAAATCGGCTCCGTCCCACCTGGCCGCTGGCCGTGGGGAGCTGTGGGGTGGCCGTGGCACCGTGCCAGGCTGCTTGCTGGCCCAGCCCCGTCGCGCAGCAGGACGGCGGTGGGGCCTCTCCGTGATTTCCTCATCACGGATAAAACCACGCGCTTCTATCGCCGGTCACCGTGCCCCCTGCCCTGCCTGGCACCGGGGGGCTGTGGGGTGCCCTGGGCACAGTGGGGGCAGCGGGAGCCTCGTGCCATGTCCTGCACCCCGAGCAGGAGGCTGGGGCTGGCTGCGGGGTGGCTGCAGCTGCTCCATCACGGCATTGCCTGGCGCTTTCAGTTTGTTTTTCCGTATCCAGATGACCCTTGAGATAGAGGTTGTAAAACACAGCTGTGGGAGCCACCGCCCCGTGCCAGGTTCTACGGCTTTGTTTCTGGGGATTTTCCCTGCACGGCGCGTGGATCCTGCGTCTCTTGGGGGCACTGGGAGTTGCTGGAGGGGGATCCTGATCCCATGCCCTGTGCAGGGCAGCGTTTCAGCTGGGATGAACATCCCGATGAGGCTTGTCTGTCAGAAACTCTTGGATTTGGGGAAAACCTGGGGAAAAAAAACAAAGGGTGAAGGCAGAGGGTGCCCCTCACCGAAAAAAAACACAAAGGGTGGCTCCAGCTATGGGGAAGAGTCCGCAACCTACCTGCTCTGCCTAAAACCTCTCTTTCCGTGGCCACACGTCCAAGGGAACAGAGCTGGATGTCCCCGGTGCTCACTGGAGGGGGTTTCACTCCGCACAGAGCCAGCTCTGGGTTTTGGGTACTCTCCTGCACGGGGAGTGTGCCAGCCACTGGTCCCAGTGCCCTGGGTGGGTGCCTGGGCACTGCAGGGGGCTCTGTCCCCCTTCACCCTTGTGGTCCCCAGTGCCTGCAGCTCAGCTGATGCTGCAAGCGCTCGCCTCACCTCTGTTGCAGCCCAAAGCGGGACTCGGGAAGGGGCCAGCGGCTGCGGAGAGGAACTGGAGCCGATTCGTGCCCCCGGCCCACGGGCAGGAGCAGAGGCACTGGTCAGCCTCAGCGCTCACCCCCCCTCATTTGTGTTGGCAGGTGGCCGCCATGGAGGAGATGGTGATCTGGGAGCAGCACACCGTGACGCTCAGCAAGGTGAGCGTGGCCTTGGGACGGCCGCGGGACGGTGGCACGGGGTCAGGGTCTGATCCCCTCTCTGCTCATCCCCGCTAGGACCCTCAACGGGGCTTCGGTTTTGCCGTTTCGGGAGGCAGGGACCGTCCCAACAAGGTGACCGGGGACACCGCGGTGATTGTGTCCGATGTGGTGGCTGGGGGACCAGCGTTCGGCCAGCTCCAGTGAGTTCACAGGGACATGGGGACACAGGGCGTCCTCACTGGGGGCTGGAGGATGGGGTCCCCCTGGGGCAAAGCTGCCCTTGCTGCCCTGCCAACGCCCCCCCCGGGGCTGAGGGTTGCAGCTGGGGCAGAGCCGTGGCTGTGTTCCCTTCGCAGGAGGAAGGATCAGATTGTGATGGTCAACGGCCTCTCCATGGACAACGCCTCGTCCTCCTTCGCCATCCAGACGCTTAAGACCTGCGGCAAGATCGCCAACATTGTGAGTGTGCCCTGTGGTGGGACCGCTCCATGCTTGTCCCCACCTTGCTGTGGCTGTGTCTGGGGTGGGTGGTGGTGCTGGGGGTGCTGGGCAAAGCCCTGCTCCTCTTGCAGCCGCTGCAGCACCGTGCTCTGCTCCCCCGGCGTGCCCAGGGCTCCTGTTCTGGGCTGGGACATTGCTGTAGGAGCATGGGGCAGTGACAGCCTCATTCACCATCCCTTCCTTCTCTGTTTCTGCCTGCAGACACTGAAAAGACAGAAGAAAATTCACATTCCTGTGAGCAAGAGTGGCCCTGGGTCCCCCGCGGTGCAGCGGCGCTACGACTCGGATGAGGACGACGGGTTGCGTGGTGGGGATCTGGCCCTGCGCAGCACCCGGCGGCACCGCTCCCGCGATGACCTGGACCACAGCCGGGGCTATGATGGGGACTCGTCCAGCGAGAGGAGCTCTGGTCACCACCGGGACGACCGCCGCCAGCACAAGTCGGTGTCCCGCAGCCGGAGACGAAGCCAGGACAGCGGCCACTGGAGGCAGAGCCCCGACAGCGGCTCGGATCGCAGGGGCTACAGCCGGCGCCGCTCCGCCAACGGCTTCGGCCACGAAGGGGACACCAACGGGCTGGACCTGGTGTCGGGGTTCAAGCGGCTGCCGCACCAGGATGTGCTGATGAAGCCCATCACGTCAGTCCTGGTGAAGAAGAAGGAGAGTGAAGGTAGGGCCTTCCTGACCCCTCCGTCCCTGGGTCATCACCTGAGCAGTGGTGGCCATGTGCTCTGGGGGCACTGAGCCTGCCTGGCCTGCCCCCAAAGGGTGGCAGAGCTCAGCTCTGGGGCTTGCAGATGCCCAGTGGGAGCTGGGGTGGGCTTGTGGGGATGGTGGCAGGAGGAGCCCCTGGCGGGTCCTGCTTCTGCCCGGCTCCAGCGCTGTCACGGGCTCTCTGTGCTGCAGAGTACGGCCTGAAGCTGGGAAGTCAGCTCTTCATCAAGCACATCGTGGAGAGCGGGCTGGCGGCGAAGGGCAGCTCCTTGCAGGAGGGAGACCTCATCCTGAAGGTGCGGGGTCCCAAGGGGAGCACAGCACTCACTAAGGGACTTGTTTCCCCTGGGTTGGGTGTCTTGTCCCTGAGCAGTGTCTCCGCGGGGGACAAGGTGAGGGCATGCTTCTCCTGGCCAGCTGTGACAGCTCCTGGGCTGGAAGCAGCTCCATCTGGTGCCCGCATCCTGCCCCAGTTGTTCCCTAGGGCCAGGTCCCCAGGATGATGAGGTTGTTTGGTTAAAGCAGTGGTGTTCAGCTGGGGACGGCGGCTCATCCTGCTGTCACAGTGGGGTCACCAGCCTCCTCCTGTCCCCGTGGCGCTGGTCCCGTGCTGCGTGTGGGTGTCCCTGCTGGGAGAGCAGTCAGCAAGCAGCTCGGGTGTTCAGGGCGTGCCAGGTGGAATGGTGCTTAAGGAATTTGGGGAGGATAGAAGAGAGGGATGGAGGTGCTTTGTTTGCACACACAGGCCAGGCAAACCAGGGGCCACTGGGAACCAGAGCCAGAGTGACTCTGGAGCAAACAAAAGCTGGGGCTGGGGCCAGCAGGGATGGGAAGGGACCTGGGGATACAGTGGTGGGAGCGTCCCCATAACAAGCGGGGTTTTCCTGGGAACAGCTTTCCCAGGAGCGAGTGCACTGAGGCCTTCTTGCTCTGCCCCTCCAGATCAACGGGGTGGCCAGCGAGGACATGTCCCTGGCTGACACGCAGCAGCTGATTGAGCGGACGGAGGGGACCCTGACCCTGCTCGTCCTCCGGGACCACCGGCAGTTCCTGGTCAACATCCCTGACATGGAAGACATCCAGAGTGACAGCTCCCGGATGGACGGTAAGGGGACAGGGCGACAGCACCAGGGTCCCAATGCTCAGCGTGAGGACCGGATGGTCACCAGTGTGTCTCCCCTTCGGTTGCTGCAGATATCTCTGACATGTCTGACGTGTCCCACCCGCCATCCCCCCAGACCTCCCCACGACTTCCAGCTGCTGCCAGGATGAATTCACCACCGTAAGCCCTGCCTTGCCCCTGCCCCTGCGTCCCCATCAGCCCCTCTTTCCCCCACTGAGCACCAGACCCCCCATGCTCTCTGCCCATCTGGAGTGGCTTTTTCTCCTCCATCCTGGAGCCAGCTCACCATGAAGGTGGCACTGCATTTTGGTCCCCAGCTTGCCCCGCTGTCCCTGCTGCCTGCTCAGCACTGCAGGCTCTGCCTGCCTGTGCTGATCCAGCACCCACCTCCGTGGCCACCCTAAATCCTGCCTGACTCTGTTCCAGAGAGAGGAGACGAGCGAGCAAGAACGCCGCAACCAACACGAACACACACGATGCTCTGGGCCATGGTGGGTGAGCTCGGATCAGGCTGGGGGGAACCGAGGGCACTGAGTGGGCTCTGGGCTGTCCAAGCACAGCCACTGCCACCTCCTGGACGTGTCCTTCTTCCCTGCAGATGTGCTGGAAGCTGTGGAGGGGGACGGCCACCACAGCCCCCGCACCAGCCCCGCTGCCCAAGCTGCCTGCAAGAACGGGTGCGTCTGCAGGGGCTGGTGGGGAAGGGCTGGGCAGATGGGAGCTGCACCGGGGCAGGGTTGGGGTCTCGGAATCAGTGACCACCGGCGTGTCCCTGCCTCACTGCCGGGCTCACTGCAGCCTCCCCCGTGGCAGGTACAGCCCCGACACCAGGATCGTGCAGTTCGTGAAGGCCAAGAGCGTGGGGCTGCGGCTGGCTGGCGGGAACGACGTGGGCATCTTCGTGTCGGGTGTACAGGAGGGGAGCCCGGCCGACAGCCAGGGCATCCAGGAAGGGGACCAGATCCTGCAGGTACCCAGTCCTGTCCCCAGCACTGTGCTGGCACCCCGCAGGGTGCAGGTGCCACCCAGAGGGGCTGTCCCCAGGGTCACCCAGGGCTTGTGGCAGGCACTTGGGTGGCACGGAGCAGTTCCCTCTCCCACCCTGCTCTGGGCACTGCAGTCCCCAAGACCCTGCTGGAACCCCATCCCTCTGTCCTACCGGTGGGTCATGTCTGAGCGTTTCTCCACGGCAGGCGAACGACACCAGTTTCCAGAACCTGACCCGCGAGGAGGCCGTGCAATATCTCTTGAAGCTGCCGCCGGGTGAGGACATCACGCTGCGGATCCAGAGCAAGCAGGACAGTGAGTGACAGCTGCTGTCATCCCGGGCTTCTCTCTCTCCATCCTCTGTCTTCTCTCAGCAAGCATCAGAGCCGCTCTACGTCCCAAGGCTCTTTCTGCCCCTCAGGGTGGTCCTTTTTCCCCACACCCTTCTCCTCCTTCTGAGAGGTGATGGGAGGGGACCGGACCATCCTGGTGTGCAGTTTGTGCCTTGGCATCCAGGAGCACGGGGCTTTCTGGCACCGTGGCTCAGCCCAGAGGGGCCAGCGTGTGCTGGGGGGTCGGGTCCCGCTGTCCCCAGCATGTCCAAGAGCACCACACGTAGATAAGGTGCCCCCACTGCCCTCTTTGGCATCAAGGGCTGCTGTGGAGGATCCCGGCCAGCCCAGCTTGTACCTAAATCCCTCCAGCACCTTCCTGTACCCCCAATTCCTCCTCAACCTCCTCTTCCCTGATGGTCCTTTTCACCCGGGCTCCAGTTTTCAGAAAGATGATCTCGTCCAACGTGGGTGACTCGTTCTACATCCGGACACATTTTGACTACGAGAAGGACACGCCGTCAGGGCTCAGCTTTGCCCGTGGGGACATCTTCCACGTGCTGGACACCATATACCGGGGCAAGCTGGGGAACTGGCTGGCCGTGCGCGTGGGCAGGGACCTGCAGGAGCAGGACAAGGGCATCATCCCCAACCAGAGCAGGTAGGCACAGAGCCAGAAATGGGGGTAGGGTGAGCAGGGGACAGGGAGTGAGAGGAATGTGGATGGTGGCCCCAGTAAGAGGCAGGGCAAAGGTGGATGGAGTGGTGGTGGGAAGCACTAGCTGGTGAAAAACCTTCTTGGTGCCCAGGGCAGGTTGGGGTGGTTGATGCTCTGCTTGTCTGAGGTCCTGGAGGGAAGGGGCCTCCACAGCCCCACGCAACCAGGCTACCGAGTAAATCCAGTCAGAATTCTGAGCCCTTTCCCCTCCCAGGGCCGAGCAGATCGCCAGTCTGGAGTCAGTGCTGAAAGCCTCATCCGGTACCAACCCCTCAGGGGCACGGGCCGAGTTCTGGAAGCTACGAGGCCTGCGGGGAGCCAAGAAGATGCTGCGGAAGAGCCGGGAGGATCTGTCTGCCCTCACGAAGCAGGGCCATTACCCCCCGTACGAGAAGGTGGTTCTGAAGGAAGGTGGGCACAGCACTGCGTCAGCCAGACCCCGCCAGGGGTCATCAGACCCGGGGCTGCCCGTGCTCCCAGCCTCCCTGAGCCGCTCTGTGTTCACCCCACAGCCAACTTCAAGCGGCCGGTGGTGATCCTGGGCCCCATCGCGGACATCGCCATGCAGAAGCTGAGCACGGAGCTGCCGGCGCTGTTTGAGATTGCCCGTGAGTGCCCCCCACACCGGGGTGAATTGTGCTCAGCAGCTGGGCCCTTGGTGCTGGTGGCCGTGGGAGCTCTTTACTGATTGCTCAGATCCTGCCTCGTTGCCCCCTCGTGACACCCCAACTCCCTCCTGGACTCAAGCACCCTCTCCCCACGCAGTGTGGGGCAAGCTAGCTGCAGACATCCCCCTTGGAGGGTCAGAGCCCCATGGCCAAACCCCGGCTGGGACTGCAGGGGATGTCACAGCTGCCCCAGCTGCTCTCACATCTGTCTCCTTGTCCTGCAGCAAGCGTGCCCCGAGACGGGACATCATCCAAGGTCATCAAGTTGGACTCGGTGCGGCAAATTGCAGAAAAGGTGAGAGCCTGGGGGATCTTCCCCACGTCCCCGGGGGCCGGGTGGGCCAGGGCCAGGCAGGGGGAGCCCTCAGGGAGCCCCCTGCCTCCAGCACTGCCCCCAGTGGGCTGAGTGCTGGTGCCCTGCCCCAGGACAAGCACGCCCTGCTGGACATCACCCCCTTGGCTGTGGAGCGCCTCAACTACGTGCAGTACTACCCCGTGGTGGTGTTTTGTGAGCCGGAGAGCCGGCAGGGCATCAAGGCCATGCGCCAGTGGCTGGCGCCCGAATCCAGGAAGAGCTCCCGGCGCCTCTACGCCCAGGCCACCAAGATGAAGAAGTACTGCAGCCACCTCTTCACTGCCACCATCAGCCTCAGCGGCAGCGGCAACGCCTGGTACGAGCAGATCAAGGAGATCATCAGGACGCAGCAGAGCCAGCCTGTTTGGACGGCAGCAGAGCAGGTACGGGGCAGGAGGTCCCTCGGGGCAAGACTCAGCCTTGCAGGGGGGCAGGTGGGTAACGGTGCCAGGGTCCTGTGGGGCTGCGTCCATCCTCTCCATGCCCAGGGTCCCAGGTCTCCTTCATCCCCTCCCCACAGGTGGACGTGGCTCTGGAGGACAGCCTGGACCTGCTGAACCCACCAAGCAGGGCAGCCTCGGGCTACCTGACCTGTGACAGCCACGCCAACAGCGACTACGACGACACGGATGGCGAGGCGGGTGCCTACACTGACGGCGAGGCAGAGGACGCCTACGACCAGCCCGCCCTGGCCCGCTCCTCTGAGCCGGCACAGATGTACCCCAGCCATGGGCTGAGCGAGCAGGTGGGCACCCCAAACCTGCAGCAGGGGCTGGTGGGGCAGGGGGGGCCCAGAACCCACCCGTGGGGGTGAATTCCTATCTTACTGTGGTACTGGCGGGAAAAGGGCTGTCACCTCCAGCTCTGCAGGGTCCTTGGTGCCTTGGAATGTTTTCCTGTGGGGAAACACAGCCCAGCCCCGTGCTGGGCACAAATCATGCCTGGCCACCTCTGATGCCCATCTCTTTTTACACAGGCGACAGAGCAGCACCCGCAGGGACAGTGGAGGCAGCACAGCAGCATCAGGTACCCCACACCCCAGGGGGGGGATCGGTGCCAGCTCTGCGCAGCCTGGTCCTGCACGGCGGTGACCATCTCTGGCAGAGGCATCACCGCAGCCCCTTGTCCCCCAGGGAGTACGAGCACGAGGCTGTGAGGAAGAGATTCACGCGAGCCAGAGATGACTCGGACCAGGACGAAGGCTACGAGTGGGGCCCTGCTACGGATGTGTAGTGGAGCAGGCTCAGCGCCTGCCCAGGACCCCCCTCACGCTGCCGGGCCAGCCTCTGCCCTGCTGGGCAGCCAGGGCCCCTTGGGCCACCCCTGCCACAGCCCCAGGCCACCGGGGCCGGGTGGCAGCCCCAGCAGTGCCACGCAGCATCCCGCAGCTGGGCCAGGTTGCGCCCGCGCCCATCACCAGCCACCACCACCAAGTGCCTCCTTCCCCCTTTCATCCGCAGCTGAAATAAAGGGGACGTTTTGAGTAGGACGGGCTGTTTCTGTGTGTACTGCGTGGCAGCCTGCAGGGGAGGTGTACAGCAGGGCAGCCTTGCTGGGATCTGCACACCTCTGTGGTCAGGGCCCCCCGCCTGCCCTGATCCCTGTCCCCAGTGGGTGCAGGACCAGCCTGGGGGCAGTGGGCTCACGGCTGCATCCCCCAGCCTGAGCTTCCTCCACTGCAGCCCAGCCACGGCTCCTGAAACACAGCCTCCAACGTGCCCCCAAACTTTTATTTTTACATCAACCAAGCACACAGGCAAAGTCACGTCAGGCTGCCTCAGCCGAAGGATCCCAGCTATCCCCTTGTGAAGGACACGGCCCCACGGAGCACTCAGCTGCAGGCTGGTCCTCGGGGCTCGTGTCCCCACACTCCCTGGGACGTGGCAGTGCCGTGTTCCCTTTTGCTGTGCCGAGGAGCAGCCCCGAGGCTGGGACCCAGCTGTGCATGCAGAGCAGATAAAGGCAGCACTGGGGAGGCAGAGGTAGTTTCCCAGCTTGGTGCAACAGAGAGGTTGTTTGTGCCCCACCAGGCCCCTGGCAAAGCCCAGGGGGGGCAGTGGGTGCTGAGGGTGCTGCTGCCCTTAAGGCTGAGCCTGGGAGCTGCCGGCTCTCCCTTGGGTGCTGGCGTGAGCCCACACCCTGGTGTGCAGGGGCAGCGCCGCTCAGGGCCCCAAGCTGTGCTCAAATTCCATCCCCAGCTAGGGAAAGGCACCAGCGGCAAGTGTAAGAGCACGATCTGTGGTGACTGGAGGGGGGTGGCCCTTCACAGCGGGTCCCTTCTCCCCTGCCAGCACCGAGCCAAGGCGAGGGACCCCGAGGAGCAGGGGGATGGCGCCGTGCAGGCACTGTGAGGCAGGGAGGGGTGAGCAGAGGCAGAGAGGGAGTGACGGACCTGAGCTGTGCACCACAGGCCCTAACACTGCTCGAGCTGGGCATCGGCCACCCCGTCTCCCACTGAGTCCTGAGTAAAACCAAAGAGGTGCAGGATTAGCCCCTGCGGGGGGCCAGAGGGTTCTGATGAGAGCCCTGGGGCAGGAGGCAGAGCCTGTCCCACCCTGGAGGCCCCGGGCTCGCTCCTGCCTGGCCCCAGGCACACGCAGCAACAGCCGGGCACGGCCACTGCTCAGAGGAACACGGGCTGCTCCTGCCCCGTCAGCAAGCGGTACGTGGAGGCCGGCATGGTCTTGATGTGGACCTAGGCAGAGACACGTGGATCAGCTGGGAGATGCCAGCCCCAGGCAGGAGGCTGCTGGCGCAGAGCCCCGAGCCCAGCCCACAGTGTCTTCAGGGAGCACAGGGACCTCAGTGGTCCCCCAGCCGGGGTCTGCCTTACCTCGCTGACGGCCTGCGTGAGGATCTGGATGATCTTCTCATGCGGTGTGGCCACCACGCTCTGCCCGTTGATCTCGATGATGCGGTGCCCCACACGGATGCCGCCTTTCTCTGCGATGCCCCCGCGCATCAGGCTGCAGATCTGGGGAGCAGGGAGTGCTGCTGAGATCAGAGCCGTGCTTGTACCCCGGGGAATGCACCACGACCACCCCAAATCCCCTCCTCCAGCAACAGCTCTGGGCTTGGTGCTGTCTCCTCCAGCCCAAGGGTCTGCAAACGAGCACAGGGACAGCCCCTGGCACTGCTGTGGTGGGATTTGTGCTGAGCTGCACGGCAAGAATGCTCCACAGGCTTTTGGCCCCCTGGCCTGCACAGAGCTCCTCTCCCCACATCCACACGTTGAACCTCATGCTCCTGTCCCTGGCTGCAGCTCCTGCGTGCTGGTGGGGTGACCATGTCTCAGTACGAGCAGGAGCATGAGCTGGTGGGAAATGCAAACACGTCTCCACTGCCCACCCACCCCATCCTCTCCTGCTGATCCTGGAAACGCTGCTCTCTGCCTTCCCTCTCTGCCTTCCCGGGGCGTTTCAAACACAGCCACCGTGCAGCTCAGAGCAGGGAGTGGCCAGGGCACCGGGGACGGTGACAAATGTCACAAAGGACACGTCAAGGTAGTCAGGAAGAAACCACCACCCCGAAACCAAACAGCTAAGGAGCTCCAAGGAGACAAACCCAAACAGCAGCGCCGCAGGAGAGCTACGAGGAGCCTTTCACCTCGGCACTGCAGATACCCTTGAAAACTCAGCCCCAGCAGAGGCAGGGAGCATCGGTGCCGCGTGCTCATCCACGCAGACACAGCCAGAGCCACGCGTCCCCCTGCCAGATGGGCAGCACAAGCCCTCGGCTGACCCTGGCCTGGCTCGGCTGCTGTCCCTGCCAGCACTCACCACGCCGTTCTCAACGCAGAAGCCCAGCTGGTACTTGGAGTCGGGGCGCCGGATGACAGCCGTGGTGACGGGGGGACAGTGCACTATGTTCAGTGTCACCTCCGTCTGGTGCTTCAGCTCCTGGAAGATGGGATGGGGACGTGTCAGACTTCAGAAAGCCATTTGGAGGGGCTGAGAGGGGCGACACGGCCACGCTGCTCACAGGGTGCTGAGGATTAGCGCCCTGTTTGCAATGGGGAAACTGAGGCACGCACAAGAATACTGCCGTGCTCAAAAAGGGAGAGGAACTTACAAACCCAGCCCAAGACACCCCACTCTGTCCCTGAGACCGCGCTGCTTCCAGCTCAGGAGGCTGAAGGTGCAACAGGATCCCCCCAGGGTATTTGGCCACCTCCCCACCTCCCTGGGCAGGGCCCTGCCCACACCCTGCTGCAGGTTCCACCCCAGCTTTGTCACCGCCTCGTCACATCTTCACCTGCCAAACGTGCTCCTACCACCCATCCATCCCCTCCCCGGGAGCATTTGGGGGGACACCCCAGTATCAGACACCGTGGACGCGTTCCTGGCTCTGCCCTGGCAGCGGGAGCACCCCGGGCTCACCCGGATGATGCTCTGGCAGGTGGTGAGGGGCAGCCCCACCAGGCTCGTCCCGTTGACCGACATGAGGCGGTCCCCGATGCTCAGCTCGCCCGAGCGCTCCGCAGGGCCCCCGTGCATGAGGTTGGCGACCACCACCGTGGGCAGGATGGAGCCCCAGCCCGACTCCACGATGGCGATGCCCAGGATCTCCCCCTTCTGCTTCCGGATGCAGACCTGTGGGGGTGGACACGGGGAGGTGGTGGGCACGAGAAGACGGGTGCTGGGTCATGGGGCACGTGTCACAGCCCCAGCACAGGGCTCAAAGCAAGCTGCGAGGGGGCCCCGTTCTGTAGGGAGCACCTCAGCTGCTCAGGGAGCCACGGTGAGGTGCCACAGAGAGGTGCCAGCAGGCACCGTGCTGATACCCCAACACTGTCTTCACCCCTCCAAAGCAGCTCTTACGTCCTTGCAGTTCTCCTGCCGGGAGAAGTGGGTCAGCTCTGCATTGTACTGCTCCTGGTCCTCAAGGGCACGGCTGTACTGGCGAGGGCTCAGCTCACTTGGGTCGATGCTGTTGGCCTCCAGGAAGCGCTGGTAAGCCACACCAAATGCCTGCCCGATGGCCTGAGCGATGATCTGGGCCTGGGGATAGAGAGGGATCGTTGGTGCCCATAGCCTGGGGCCACGGCCTCATGCCAAACTGGGCCCAGCAGCTGCCAGCACCATTCTGCCCAGTGCAGCCAAGGTTTGGGAGCTGCAGAGCATCCTGGCTCCTGCCCCGCACCTTTTCGTGGTGCCAATCCCATTCTTTTCTCACCGGGACCCTCTACATGGGGGGGGTGCCCAGGCTCCCTCCTCCTCTCTCTGACTGCATCAAAAGCCCCCAGCGCAGACACCAAGCACCCGGTCACTACGGCAGGATGGTGACCAGGACCCCAACACCACCCTGCCCTCCTGAGGGTCTCGCTTCCACTCACATCGGCCGAGTGGAAGACGTGGCAGATCATCTTGTAGAGCCGCTTCTCCTCCGCTGCTTCCGCTCGCCGAGGCAGCTTGCGGCGTGCCATGAGCACCACCAGGGAGCCGATGTCGGCAATGTAGGAGATGGTCTGCAGGGAGTGATCCATCATAGCCTCCTGGCAAGGGGGACACAGCAGAGACCTTCAGCCCGGCCAGCCAGGCACCACTCCACGTCAGAAGGATTTGGGTGAGGTCTGGTTCAGCCCCCACACTGCTGAAACGTGGCTCAAGAGCCTGGGAGAAATCCATGTATTTGCTAAAAGCTACAAACAGCTCCTTCAACTGAGGACTCGTTTGTGTCTCCAGGTGTAGTCAGGGGACAACACAGCTTTTTGGCCTCCTACTGTAAGGCAGAAAATTATCCTACAGCAGAGAGCTGCAGAGACTTTAAGACCAGCTGCCCTGGAGCTCAGTTTGCTCCCGCGAGGCGTAGTTTGCATGAGAAGCCTCGTGCAGCCAGCTGAGGGATGCACGGCACACGTGTGTGGGATGGCTGTGGAGTGACACGTCTCCTCCCAGCTGCACGGCATCGCCCGTGGGCCATCCCTGTGCGTGACCCCACTGCCGTGGGCAGGCAGAGGAGATCCCAAGGCGGATGGGAAGGTCTCAGCAGCCCCGGGGCCACGTGGGCATTCCCGTTTCTTCTCACCTGTGTGTCAGCCGTGAGCACCTTGATCCTCTGCGTGGAGACAAACAGATCCACCTCTGTCATGGGTTGGGACTCCCCCTCCGGTGCCTGCAAAGTGCCCCAGTGAGGTCCCTGCCCCACAGCCGGGGTTCCCCCTGTGCTCAGCCCCGGCCTGAGCATTGCCCCGCACCCACGAGAGGCCAGGCTGTGCCCCCACACACCTTGATCCTGTCCACAGCCTCCTGCGCCTGCGCCATGCGGACGCTGGTGGGGGGGTTCCTCTCGGAGACCAGCTGCGTGGAGCCCAGGTACTTTGCCCCAAAAATCACCCCGTCCAGCAGATCCTCTGGGTCGCAGGGGCCTGGAACTGAGATATTGGGAGGGATAAAGCAGGGGCTGGTTTCCTCCTGACTCTGAAGGCTGGGGGCTGCCAGCTGCCGCTGTATGTTTGCTGTGCTCCTACACGTGGCAAAGCAGCTCAGCGCCTGGGAGATGGGCTCCTGGCACCACAGGGGGACCAATGCTGACCCCAGAGCTGCCTCCTCCTTCACTGGGCACCACCCCAGATCCTTGAAGGACCCCACTCACACAGCAGAAGGTGAGCTGTGAGCAAACCAGCCACCCAAAGGCTGCAGCCACATTCTCCAAAACGTGGCAACAGCGCCTCTGCCCAAGGGGCCCCTTCTCCTGGGCACAGAGCCGAGCGCTCCTTCCCCAGCTGGGACCCGCAGCCACCCCCATGTTCACATCAGTGCAGGAGGCGATGGCTCAGGACTCCTGGTTCAAGCAGATCTCCTACTCACCATCTTTGAAGGCTGGACAGGAGGAAGGGGATTCCTTGTTCTGCAAAACAACAAGAGGGGGGGTGAGACCCTGACTGGGAGCCTGGGGAGCACCAGGAGAGCGTGGGCACAGCGTGCTGGGGCTGAGGGACCCGTTCAGACCCACCGGCTTCCTCCCCAGGGCGTGCACGCCTCAGGCAGGTGTGAACGTCCTGCACATTCAGCAGGAGCCAGAGCTGACACTGAGGGTCTTGTCCAGGCACCCCAGCAATGCAAGGCCCTGCAAGCCCCAGGGAAAAGCCCTCCCTTGCTCCCCTCTGCCCCCTCCCAAAACCCCACGAGGAGGCAGAGCCTGGGGGCACATCCCGGCTCGCTGCCACCCCGTGGGCCGTGCACTCACAGTGACGCTGCCTTGGGGCAGCCGCTCTTTCTCCGGGGCCGCAGCAGGAGGCAGGGCCGCCCAGGATGGCTCTGGCGAACTGTCCCGGTTGCCCTCGCAGGTGGGGTCAACCTCGCCGAGCCCCTCTCCATAAAACCATCCACCAGCAGGTCCCCCCTGCGAGCCGCCCGGCCCTCCGGGCTCCACCACCGCCGCCACCGCTTCCTCTGGAGCCTGCAGCATCTCCAGGCTGGTCCCGGCCAGCACGTCGGAGCGGGCCAGGGGCGTCTCTTCACCAGCTTCGGGCAATCCCCCCTCGTAGCTCAGGAGGCTCAGCAGATCCTCCCGGTCGGCCTCGGCAAAGAGCAGCCCGTGGCAGGGCCGGGAGCAGGCCGAGTGCTGGGAGCAGCAGGGCCGCGTCGCCAGGCCCCTGCCCGTGGCCACGTGCAGCGGGCACGGCCGGCACCCGCCCCGACACTCCGCGGAGCCCCTCGGGTGCCGCTCGCCCACCGCCGGGGCCGTGCCGGGGCTCGAGGCCAACGGTGGCTCCGGGGCGTCGCGGAGGCTGGGGTCGAGGGTCTCGAGCTGTGCCAGCAGCCCCTGCATCTCCGCCGCCTCCGCGTCCTCGGGGGCTTCGTCCAGCTCCATGTCCCCGCTGCTGGGGGCGCGGGGCGGCCCCGCTCCCCGAGGGGCTCCCCCCACGCCGGGCTCCTCCACCTCCTCTCCCCGGTCACGTCCCGAAGCCTCGCCGGTGCCGGTGCCCGGGGCTGCTTCACCCCCTCGCCGACCCCCGGCGGTGCCGGTGCCGGTACCGGGGGGCTCCACACCGGGCCCCGGGGCTGCGGGCTGCCCCCCCGGCCCTTCCTCCGTGTCCATGGCCGGCGGCTCGGGGGCCGAGGGCTCAGCCTGGAAGTCCATGCTGCTCTCCATGGCGGCTGGGGGGGGGACAGGGGACGGGGAGCGGGGCACGGAGAGGCCCTGGGGGTGGCGCTGCCCCGGGCCCGGAGCGGAACGGAGCGGGCCCGGCCGGGGCGGAGCGGGACGAGGCCGCCGCCATTTCCGGGCCCGCCCCCCCCCCGCCATGGCCGCGCGGCTGCTGCTGAGGGCGGCCAGCGCCGTGCGGCACGGCCCGGCCCGGGGGTACGCCAAGAAACCGGGTGAGGGCCCCGCACCGCGCCCCGGCCCCGGCCCCAAGCCCTGCCCCGGCCCCGTCCTTCTCCCATCCCGGCCCCGTGTCCCAGCCCCGTGTCCCAGCTCTGCCCCATGCCGGCGTCCCAGCCCTGTCCTGGTGTCCTGGCCCCGTGTCCCAGTCCTGTCCTATTCCAGTGTCCCATCCTCCTTCCATCCCGTCCCAGTGTCCTGTCCCCATGTCCCAGCCCTGTTCCAGTGTCCCATCCCCATCCCAATGTCCCAGCCCCATGTCCTATCCTCACCCTGTCCTGACCCCATCTCCCAGCCCTGTCCCAATGTCCTGGCCCCGTGTCCCATCCTTGTCCCGTCCTAGCCCCATGTCCCAGCCCCATGTCCCAGCCCCATCCCAGTGTCCCAGCCCCATAACCCATCCCCATCCCAATGGCCTAGCCCCATGTCCCATCCTCATCCTGTCCTGACCCCATCTCCCAGCCCTGTTCCAGTCTCCCGGCCCCGTGTCCCAGCCCCATTTCCCAGCCCCATTGCAACGTCCCACCCCCATATCTGATCCCCATCCCAATGTCCCAGCCCTATATCCCATCTCCATCCCAATATCCCAGCCCCATGTCCTATCCTCATCCCAGTCCTGGCCCCCAGTCCTCCATCCCCTCACCCCATGGCCTCCTCCTCTTGCTCCTGCCCCAGCCCCGCTCCTCAGCCCCATCCCGGTGTCCCCCTGCCTGACCGTGCCCCCGTCCCTGCAGGCGCGAAGGTGAAGGGTAAGAGTGTGCCGAAGGAGGAGCTGAAGGGGCCGGAGGTGTGCACGGACCCCGTCAAGCTGGCCACCTATGCCGTGGGTGTCAACTACCACAAGGACAGCCCCGACGTGGCCCTGAAGCCCGACTCCGAGTACCCTGACTGGTAAGTGGGGCCCTCCTGAGGTGCCTGGCCCCAAAAACCCATCCCGAGGACACCATCGGGATGGGAGCTGCTCTCCTCCTTGGGGCTGGGGGCTCGGGGACCTGCCCTGGTAGCATTGGATGGGGTGGGTGAGGGATCCGTGCCCTGATCACACCCTACTGCTCCTCCATCCTCCTTCCTCCTCCTGGTTGCAAACTCACGTCCTCTGCGTTCGCCCCCAGGCTTTTCCAGATCCACCTGGGGCCCCCCAAGAAGCTGGAGGAGATGGACCCCGACTCCATCGAGTACTGGAGGCGCCTGCGGAAGTACAACACATGGCAGCGCAACCGGCTGAAGAAGGGCAAGAAGCTGTAGGTGCTGCAGACCTCACGGCACCGCAGCTGCCCCGGGTGCCGCACGGACGGCACTGGGACCAGCTCCTGTTGTTGGTCTCTTATTCTTGCTGTGAACTGGGAATAAATCTCTGGCGAGGCTGATGCCTCTTCCTGAAGCTGTGGCAAACCCACGTCCTCTGCAAGCTCAGTGTGGGCCTCCCCTCCTGCCCAGGGTTGGCGGAGGATCGAGGCCCCAAGTTCTTGGTGTTTTTGCTGAAGCAGAAGCTCTGTTTATTGTTCACAGAAGGAGCCCAAGCTGCCAAATCCTTCCCGCTCCCTCTGTCAGTGTGCGCTGCAGTGATGGAGAGTACAGGCAGTGCTGGGAGGGCGGTGACGTGGGGTGGGAGCGACTCCACCGGTATCACTGTGTCCCCCAGGAGGGAGGTGTCGGGGGGCAGCCAGCACCCCTGGGGCTGAGAGGAGGGAGGTCGGGGTCTGGGGGTGCTGGTGGGTGCAGCGAGCAAGTTGAGGGGACACCGTGGCCCCTTCTGCAGTGGGAGGGCTCGCAGCACCATCCCCACCCTGTGTTCTCACCTCCTCCTCTGGCTCAGCATCCCGAGGGAGCGGGGTGGGCTGGGGGGCACAGCAGAGGTGGGCATCTCTGTCCTGCTCAGCTGAGCCCCTTCCCCTTGGGGAAGTCGTGGCTTCCAGCCTGCCCTTCCAGCAGGGTCTGCAGCCACATCTTCCCCAAGCACCGGGGGCTTTGCTGCCCCCTTCCCCACGCGTCCTCAGCCTGGGGGAGTCCAGCATCTCCCCGCAGCCCCGGTCCTGCCTGTTTGGTGCCGTAGGGGCAGGATGGGCAGTGGGGCTGCTGCCACCCCGGTACGGGGCCGTGCCCAGCTCCCCGCAGCTGTGACGCCCACGCTGTGCAGCACAGGAAGCGGTGGAGGAAAGCAGAAGTGCCATGCCGTGGTGCAGGGGGGGGAGCTTTTGTTTTTAACCTTCATTTCCTCTGCGTGGGGCTCGGTGCGTGCCGAGCTCAGAGCTGACGGCTCCAGGCAGGCTCCTCCAGCAGGAGCTGCCCCGAGGCTGGGGCCAGGCCGTGCCAGAGGTGAGTGCCCTGCGCCTTCCAGGCTCTGTCCTCTCCGTGCCCACCCCGGTTCTTGTCCCCATGTCCCCCGTTGCCCCGTGCAGAGCCGGGTGGATCATGCACAAGGGGCAGGGCGGTCGGTGCTGCGCTCCCTTTGCTGCCAAAGCCCTGCGTCCCTTGCGTGGTGCCCAATTCCTGCCCCCAGGGCTCAGATTCTGTGCTCCACTCCCCTTGTCGTCCCCCAGGGCTCCTCTTGGTGGCCCAGCAGGGTTCAGGCCACCTCCAGAGCCACCACCATGGGGTGACAGCGAGGGGGCTGCCCCCCAGCCCTGAGGTGCAGACGCCACGCGCTGTCTGTGCAGGAAGGAGCGGGGTGCCCAGGCTGTGCCGTGCCTTGTCCCAGCCGTGCTCAGCCTCCCACGATGGGACATCCTCCGTGTCCCCTAAAGGGACGGGAAGGTGGCAGGGGACATCATCCCCCTTTTCCAGTTCCTTGGACCCCATCCTGCCAAGGTCCCAGGGGCTGCCCCACTGTGGCATTGCCCCTTTGCCCAACACCAGGGGCAGAGCAGGGTCCCCGTGCCACTGTCACAGCTCTCGTCCTCTGGGCTCAGAGGGGGAATCTTGGGGCATTCTTGGCTGGTGGCCGGATCCTGCAGACCCCGGGATGGGGCCGGGAGGTGACACAACACCAGTGGGCTGGTGCTGGTGCTCTCCATCCCCGTGCCAGTGTTGCTGCACTGGGCCACCAGCCAGCAGCTCCTGAGGGTGCCCAGTGGGGCACGGGCACCGTCACTTTGTCACCCGCTGATGTCCCATCCCCTCCACACCCCCAGGGGACGGGATGGGGGACTGGAGCTTGCCCATCAGCTCGCTGGGCGAGGAGGTGGTGGCCCGGCTCTGCGAGCTCCTGGACAACGCCAGCCGGGGCTGGCGCAAGCTGGCCGAGGTGGCCGGGGCGGAGAAACGCTTCAAGTGCAGGTAGGAGCAGGATGGACCCTGCGGAGGGCACAGCTGGGCTTCTGTCCCCTGCTGGGTGACAAAACGCAGAGACGGGGCAGGAGATGGGGCAGGGCTGAGCGGGGGACACCCCCCTGCCCCGCTGTGTCCCCGTTTTCCCGTGTTGAGCCCCGGCCATCCCGGGGGTCCCCATGGTGCTGAGCCCTGCGGGCGCTCCGCAGCGAGGAGGAGCTGGAGGTGTGCTCGCTGAAGGTGCTGGAGCCCCGCGGCAGCCCCACGCAGTGCCTCCTGCAGCTCCTGGCCGAGCGCGACTGCAGCCTCAAGTACCTGCTGGGCTGCCTGGACAGGATGGGGCACACGCAGGCCTGCCAGGTCCTCAGCAGTGCCGGTAGGGACGGGCTGGGGGGCATGGGGAGGGTCACCAGGGGAAGGGGGCTCAGCAGGAGGAACGTGGGGAGGTGAGGGGCAGCTCTTCCTGGGGGTGGGATGGGATGGGATGGGATGGGATGGGATGGGATGGGATGGGATGGGATGGGATGGGATGGGATGGGATGGATGCAGCAGGGTGGGATGAGGTGGCACAGGATGGGACGGGGTAGGGAAGGATGGATGGGACCTTGTGTGATGAGGGGGGGCAGGAGGGGCTGGGAGGGGACAGGCTGTGATGGGATGAGGTGTGATGGGTTGGGATGGCACGGGGTGGCTGGGGTGGAGCAGAGGGGAATGGGACAAGGCAGGATGAGGTGGTCGGGGTGGGACGGAGCAGGCTGCAGTGGGACGGGGCACAACGGGACAGGACAGGACAGGGCCGGGTGTGACGGGGTGGTGCGGGATGGGGCTCTCGGCCAGCCCGGGCTCTTCTCCCTCTCCCGCAGTCCATGACATGATCCGCATCACGGTGCAACCGGAGTCACAGGTGGTGGCAGAGGGGGCACAGGTGTCCCTCACCTGCTGGGCCACCGGCCCGCCGGGGCTCGCCTACCAGTGGTTCTGCGGGAAGCAGGAGGTGGGTCCCACATCGCCATGTCACGCTGGTGCCCCAGGTCCCCTCCCTGGCCGAACCCCCACCCTGAGCCCCTGTCCAAGCCCCCCACCTCCTCCTGTAGGTGCCCGGAGCCACGGCTCCGGAGCTGGTGATCGACACGGCCGCCCCGCCAGGCCCACCCCGGTGGTTCATCTGCCGCGTGAACTGCGGGGCTGCCTTCGCCTTCTCCAGGTGGGCCCACGTCCAGGTGGAGAGGAGCAGCAGCCCCAGCTCAGGTGGGCCCCCAGCTCCCTGTGCTGGCACCCACGAGGTGTCACTCGCCTGCGGGACCAGGGGGGCTCATACAGGGCGTCACTCAGAGCCCGGGGGGCCCCTGTCAGACCTGCTGCCTGTCCCCTCCCCAGCCAGCGGTTACTGCCCCACCATGGCGGGGCTGCAGATCCTGCGGCAGCCGCAGCCGTGCTGCCTGGCTGAGGGGGACACGCTGCTGCTGGAGTGCAGAGCCATCGGCAACCCGCCGCCGCAGTACCAGTGGTTCAGGAACCGGCGTCCCGTGGAGGGTGCACGGGCACCACAGCTCCAGGTACTGGGGGGCCCCTTGCCTGGTGCAGCACGGCACGGCATGGCATGGAGCAGTGCAGCATGGCACGGCACAGCATGGTGGCACGGTGCAGTGCAGAATGGTGCAGCACAGCACAGCACAAAGCAGCACTGCGTGGCACGGCATAGTGCAGCATGGCACAGCATGGCGTGGCACGGCACGGCATGGCACGGCATGGCACGGTGCACTGCAGCCTGGCACAGCATGGCACAGTGTGGTGCAGTGCAGAATGGCACGGCACAGCGTGGTGCAGCACAGCATGGCACAGCATGGTGCAGCATGGCACAGCGTGGTGCAGCACAGCATGGCACAGCATGGTGCAGCATGGCACAGCGTGGTGCAGCACAGCACGGCGTGGCGCAGCATGGCACAGCGTGGCGTGGTGCCCCTAGCTCCTCTCTCCATCCCGCCGCCAGGTGCAGCTGGTGACGACGGCCGAGCGGGGCAGCTACTCCTGCCGCGTGTTCAACCTCTTCCACGAGGTGTGGAGCCAGGAGGTGGACGTGGAGATCGGTGAGGGGAGGGGGGCAACCTCCATGTGCCCTGTCCCCCACCCCGTGTCTTTGTCCTGGCTCTTCTCACCCCCACAATGCCCTCCCATGGCCTCTCTGCTTCCTCACATTTTGGGGGGCTTCAGCACCGCGCTGTCTGGGCGCTACAAAATGGGGTTCCCTCCAGCCCCATAGCCCCCCTGTGCCCCTGCTCCCTCTCTCCTGACCCCCCCAACCCTTTTTGTGCTGCCCCAGGCCCACGGCTCTTCGCCTCTGGAGGCTCCTGGCAGGATGGGGACAGAGGTAGGTGCAGGTGGCGTGGCTCTGTCCCTGCTGCTCTGCTCAGGGCACCACACTCAGGGCCATGCCACCACGCTTCTCTCTTTCCAGCCCCCCCAGAGCCCGGCAGTCCTGACCAGCTGTACGGTAAGAGCCCATCCACGAGGGGTTGGGGACCCTGAGGGGCTGTGACCGTCCCCATTGTCACCCCCAAGGCCTGCTTTGCTTGGCCAGGCTCGAGCATGGGTGCAGTACCCTGGGGAGAGAGGCAGGGACTGGTGTGCGTGGTGACACTGGGAGCATCGGGAGGGGTGGCAGGGACAGCAGGAGCATCCTGAGCGTGCCCCTCTCCTGTCCCGGCAGCCACGGACAAGGTGGCCCTGCTGATCGGCAACATGCACTACCTGCACCACAAGCACCTGCGGGCGCCCATGGTGGACGTGCACGCGCTGAGCTCCCTCCTGCGCCAGCTCGACTTCAAGGTGGTCTCGCTGCTGGACCTGGGCAAGGACGAGATGCAGATGGCTGTCAACGAGTTCCTCCTGCTCCTCGACAAGGGCGTCTACGGTGGGGCAGCTTCGGGGGGCACTGGGGAGGGGCTTGCACTGGTGGGGTTTGGGGGTGGCGGGGTGAGAAGCCTGGGGTGAGGACTGGGGAGGGCCCTGAGGCTTGGGGAGGTGCAAGGAGGGACGTGACCCGCTGCTGTCCCCTCCCGCCAGGTTTGCTTTACTACGCCGGGCACGGCTACGAAAATTTTGGCAACAGCTTCATGGTGCCCATTGACGCCCCCAGTTCCTACACCTCCGCCCACTGCCTGTGCGTGCAGCGGGTGCTACGGTGCATGCAGCAGCGGCACACCGGCCTCAACATCTTCCTGCTCGACATGTGCCGCAAGAGGTGACCGAGCCCCCCCGGCACAGAGCGGGTCCTGGCACCGGGTGCCTGCCACCCATGGGTGCTGGGTCCTGGGGGAGCAGAGCGAGGTGTCCCCCATGCCCCAGCTGTGGCGTTGTGTGGATGCCCCGGGTGTCACTGCTCCAGTTTAACCCCGCTGTGGTCAGGGTCTGGGGTGCCTCGGGTGGATTTGGGGGGGCTGCACCCCCCGAGGGTTCTCACAGCGCCCAGCCCTGCCCAACTGCTCTCTTACAGGAACCTCAACGACGACACCATCCCGCAGGTCGGGGCGCTGCAGGTGACGGCCAACATCGTCTTCGGCTACGCCACGTGGGTCCCCTTCCCACCGCCCCGGTGCTGCCCCCGTCTTCCTTGCTCCAGGGCCAGCGGGACACATCCTGCCTGGGCCTGCAACGGGGCTGGGGCTCAGCCCCGTTTGTACCACATCTTGATCCGGGCCGCCAGCTCCCCCTGGTCGATGCTGGAGGTGCTGGGAGTCGCAGCCCCCAGTCCCCTACAGGGATGGGGGACGCTCGCAGCCCTGCTCAGCTCCGGGCAGTGCCCGAGGGGGTCAAAGCACTGAGGCTCCTCAGGGATTTGGGCTGAGGATGCTTTAAACATCCAGGATCTGGCCACAGCGCTGTGGCTGAGCTTCCCCAGGGCTCAGTGGGGGCTGGAGGGGTCCCACGGATGGAGCCCATCCCTGCCCCATCCCCGCAGGTGCGCAGACGCCGAAGCCTACGAGCTGAGCCAGGGCGAGCTCTCCAACGGCGTCTTCGTCAGCTTCCTCAAGCGCTGGCTGCTGGATGACGAGAAGATCACGGTGCTGCTGGACAAGGTGGCCGAGGGTGAGTGGCGAGCAGCGGGGACCCCAGGGGATGGGAGTGTCCTCCACTGACCCCCCTGTCCCTCTCGTCCCCCCGCAGACATGGGCACCCTGGAGATCACGCGGGGCCGCCAGGCGCTGGAGCTCCGCAGCAACCTCTCGGAGAGGCGAGCGCTGACGGACCCCATCCGCGCCCCGGGCCGGGACGAGACCTCCGCCAGGAACCTGCAGTGGGCCAAGGCCCACGGTGAGCACCGCGGCCACCGCACGCAGCGCTGGCACCTGAGGGGACGTGGAGGGGACGGCCCCGAGATGTGGGGCGAGGTGGCAGGCAGCAAATCCAGTGCCCAGCGGGTTTCTCTGGCGCAGCACCACCAGCCCTGGGCTTCGCACCGGGGGTCACCGCTGTGGTGGTGACCGAGGAGGTGCCAGCCCCGTGCTCGCTGTCCCGGCAGTGCTCCCGGAGAGCCGCCACCTGCACTTCAGCTGCGGCATCACCGTCCAGCTGGGCTTCGCTGCCGAGTTCTCCAACATCATGATCATCTACACCCGCATCCTGGCCGCCCCCAGGGACATCACCGAGTGCGTGGCCAAGCTCACCGACATCCCCGAGGTGGGGCAGGGCGCTGACGCCCTCGGCAGGGCAGTGACGGGGGGGGTTCCGGTGGGCTGTGGGTTTTTCAAGGTCGCACATCACCCATGGCAGGAGCTGGACGTGGATCTCAAGTGCACCAACAGGGAGAGCCCCGAGGAGGTGGGCAGCCCCTTGTCACCCTCCTGGAGCCCCGGCTGCCCCTCCTGCTGCCTCTACAGCCGCCTCTGCGGCCTGCAGAAACTGCGGGTAAGGCTCACGATGAATGTTAAGGGGTAGGGGGGGATGAAGCCACCGTCCCCATGCTGCAGGGTGGGTGCCCACGCTGCCGTGCCCCGCAGCAGGAGCTGGCCTTCACCGTGTGCCTGCAGTACCGCTACCGCGGCATGGACGACTTCGTGGAGGAGCGGCGGGCGGTGAGCGTGGGCAAGCCGCTCATCGCCAAGCTCAACCTGCACCTCGGCCCCGCCGCCGCCTCGCAGCCCCCCTCGCAGAGCTCCCTTAGCCCCCTCTCCAGCTCGCCCCCGGGGAGCTGGGGGGCGGCGGGGGGCTGCTGGGGAAACACCCCCGAGGAGAACCTGAGCCCCAAGGGGCCAGGCTCACACAGCCTGTAGGTGGGCGCGCGGCCCCCGCTCTACACCTCGTGCCCCGGTGGCCTGGAGGGGACAGAGGGGATGGGGACGGAGCTGGGTGCTGAGGGGCTGAGCCCTGTCCTGCCCTGCACCGGGGATGTGGGGCTCGCTGCTTGGCACCTTTGGGGGGGGGGCAGCACGGTGCAGGGCACTGCCCCCTGCCCCGGACAGGGACAGCCCCACGGATGGCGCATCGCCACCCCACAGCTGTACAGGGAATGCCAGCCCCAGCCCCATGGCACTGCCAGCCCCACATCGAGGACACGGCCCCACATCCCCTGCCGTGCCACTGCCACCCCCAGAGACAGGACGCTGTCCCTGGCATGGCAGTGCCACCCCTGTCCCCCCCCCAGGGCAGTGCCAGCCCCAGGGCTCCCTGTGGCCGTGCCCACTTGGCGGGGCGGTGGCATTGCCCCTTGCTCCGTGGGGCGAGGAGGGGATGGAGGCAGGGGGCTCAGCGAGGCGTCGCGCCGGGGCAGGGTTGGGCTCGTTCAGGCCTAGGAGAAATAGAGAGAAATAAGCAGATTAGGGGGCAAATCCTGAGGGGAGGATTAGGGGGGAGCAAAGGGCTCCTGCTTGGCTGGGAGGCAGCCCTGGGGCCATGGGAGACCCACCTGGCCCCCCAGTGCTCCCAGTGGGACACTGAGCACCAGCGCTGGCCGGGCCTTGGAAGATTTCAGGGTATGGATGAAATATGGGGGGAAAATTGCCATCTGCTTTTTTTTTTTTTTCTGTAATGTACGAGATGGGGGCACAGGGCGTACGCGTGCTTTGCTCGGCCCCATGTGCCAGCATCTGCAGATGTCTCCTTTGGGTCTCAAACGGGGGAAAACACCAATAAAACAGTGAAAGCACGATGGCTCAGCACTTCTCATGGCTCTTCGTGTTCAGGAGGCTTTCTCGGCCAGAAACATCGCCCGTTTCTGCACTAATGAGAGCGACGAGGCTCGCCACGGTGCCACCCAGCACCGCCGGGCACCACGCCTGGCCCCGCACAGCATCGCCACCGGCCACGTGCAAATTAGCTCATTTACATAATTTGTATAACGCCCAGCGCCTCGACAGCACGGAGGAGACCGTCCTCACCCGGGCACACCGAGGCTGGCCTCGCCCCGATGCGCCCGCGCTTTCGGGTGGCGCTGGGGGCCCCCCTGACCCAATTAGTCTCGGATTTGGGAGGGGGCAGCCCCCTTCCGAGCCCCCTCCCCGCGCCAGCCGGCTTTTGTTGGTGCTCGTAGGGCCGAGGGGAGCCCGGCCGCCCCGGCGGGGCCGGCGCCAGCCTCTGCCATTATGTCATGCGAAAACTGCAGCCCCCATTCAGCGCGACCCGTCCCCCAGATCAAACCCCATTACTTCCGCGGCCGTTGCTTCATTATCTCCCGGGCCCAGTGTGCCTCTGCCCGCGGCCGGTTAATCTAAGCCCGGTCCCATTAGCTGGGCTGGGGAAGCCGGGGGAGCATCGATTATGCGTTTAATGGGTTGTTAAAGGTTTAATTATCACTAACGAAGCAGACGAGCAGCAGCAGCCGGGGGACGGGGACAAGGAGCCGGGTCCCCTCGGGGTCAGCGCCTCGCCTGGCCCAGTGTCACCGCCGCTGCTCCCACCTGACCCCAGTGCCACCAGGGCTGTGGGGACGTCAGCGCTGTCCCTGGGGCTCCCGAGGGGCTGGGACCCGCTGGGGCCGGGCTGGGGGTGCTGGTGCTGAGTGGGGTCTGCTCCCTTCTGGGCCTTGGAGGCAAGGTGGGGACACGGTGCGGTGGTGGTTGTTGGTTCTGTAGCAAGAAATATTTCTGGGGAAATGTCCCCTCTCGGTCTTGCTTTCCCAGGAGCGTCCCCTCTGCCTCCATGGGTGACAGCACGCCCGTTTGCCTGGACCAGCACCTGCCTGTCCCAGCCGTGAGCCTCCTAAAGCCATCCTGAGCTGCCCGGTGATGGTGACACCGGCCACGCGCCCTCCCCGCTGCCACTGCGGGGCCCGGCTGGGGACACGGCACATGGCCACCCTCCTGTCCCTGCTCCCACCTGGCACCATGGCCCCCCCAGGGACCCCACGGGGATGACGCAGCCCCGCTGCCCCCCTCCTAGCGGGCCCCACTGGGGGCCGTGGGGCCGCCCCCTCCCCAGCAATTCCGGCAGCTTTGTGCCTCCACCGCCGGCACCGCTGGAGAGCAATTAGGGCGGCGCAGCGTGGAGTGACGGCGGAGCAGATTCCCCCTGACAAGCAGCCGGGACACGGCGGAGCCAGGCGGCGGGGCCGGATCCGGTCAGCCGGTGGGGACCGAGCCCTGCGTGCCATGGCTGGGTGCAGGAGGGAGGATTTTCCCTGCAGATGCCAAGTGTGGGCGAGGGAAAAGCCGATTTCCCTGGGAAGCTCCTTCCCGCATCCCGGCTAGCGGCAGTGCCCGACTGGAGCGCGACGCACCCGTTCAGCTCATCTCTTTACTGGCCATACACCCGTCTCTTGGCGCGCAACCAGCCTTGTGCCCCGACGCAGCTAACCCCCCCCACCCCCCCCCCCTGACATTCCCTATGAAACTAGAGCCTTTCTGTTCATTTGTGTTCAAATCTGCAGCATAAAAAAAAAAAAGCAAAAACAACCAACAAATAAACCCAACATTAACGATAAAGGGCAGGGCTGCGGAGCCCCGGGCTGGGGTCTTCTGTGCGCGGCTGCACGAGGGAGGTTGAGCGGGACGTGGGTGGCTGCTGGGGTGCTCCCCATGCAGGGGGGGGTCCCACCAGCACCCCGCCTCGCTGCCCTGTGCCCACGGTTGCTGGTGCAGGGGGGGGTGCAACCATAGCCCAGCATCTCTTCCCTGTCCCTGCCCCGCGCCGGCTTTGGTCCTGCTGAGCACCCCGCCGTCACCCCCGGTGTCACACGGCCTGGGGACAGGAGCCTTGGGGAGGGGGGGTGGGCAGTGGAGGGGCCGGGGAGGCGGGGGGAGCGTTCATCAAATGGGCTGCCAGGTTTTGTCAATGGTCTGAATGTGCTCCTTGGCTTTCATGCGGAGCGAGGCGATGCTGGAGCTCCTCTGGTCGACGTCCTCCAGCGGGTACTTGTCCACAAAGGGGGGGCCGCACTGGTAGGGCGCGGGGGCCATGGGCTGCATGCCTTGCGCCATCCCCGGGGGGGTGTTGAGGAAGGAGTGCCCACCGTAGGGGGGCTGCAGGGCCTGGGGGGCCCCCATGAAGCCGGGGATGCTGTGCACCGGGGTGGCGCTGGAGATGGGCGACGTCAGCCACGGGTCGAGCGGGAGGGAGTTGCTCATGGGCCCCACGTTGGCTGGCATGGGCGGCCGGTTGAAGGACAGCATGGGGGTGTCGTGGAGCTTCATGGAGCTGGCCTCCATCTTCTCCTGACGCCTCCACTTGGCTCGCCGGTTCTGGAACCAGACCTGCCAGGGGACAGTGAGAGTGACCCCGAGGTGCACGCCCCATGCCCGGCCTGTCCCTTGCAGCGTGCCCCACGGGGAGTGCCCCACGTGCTGTGTCCCTTGTAGGGTGCCCAAAATGCTGTGGCCTCGTGTGGGGTGCCCCATGTGGCGTGTCCTATACAAGGTGCCCCCTGTAGCATGTCTCATATAGGGTACCCATGTGGCATGCCTTATTTAAGGTGCCCTGTGTCCCACGTCCCATGTCAGGTGCCCCATGTGGCACACCCCATGCGAGGTTCCCCACGTGCTGTGCCCCGTGTAGGGTGCCCCGTGTGCTCCGTCCTGTGCGAGGTGCCCCCCGTGCTGTGCCCCGTGCGGGGTGCCCCATGCAGGGTGCCCCGTTGTGCCGTATCCCACGCGGGGTGCCCCATGCAGGGTGCCCCACACAGGGTGCTCCAGGTGGGACGCCCCCACGTGCCGTGTCCCATGCGGGGTGTCCCCAGCAGGGTGCCCTCGTGCTGTGTCCCCATGGCTCCAGCAGTCCCTGTCACACCACGCACCTCTGCTAAACCTCTCCTGCAAACCCCAGGAACCGAACCCATCTCCGGAGTGGGACGGGAGCGGTGGCACCGTGCAACCCCTGCTCTTGCTGCGCCGTGGGGATGCTCCCGTTGGCCCTGCAGCACCGCACAGTGCTGGTAACAACGCTGCCTGGTGTTCAAAAGCCACTCGGTAAAAGCTTTTAGAAGCTGAATTGCACTAAAACCCATCCGGGCCTTCTGCTTAGAGCACTGGTCCCCACTTCCCAAGTCCCCAGCAGCACGGGGTGCAGCTCATCCTGCCTCGTAGTGCAAAGAGGCAGCAGGTGTCAGCCCCTGGGCTGAGAAGGGGATGGCTCCTACTGGGATATACTGGTGCAAACTGGTCGCTGCTCAAGAGGCGTCCCCGTGGTGTGGAGCTCCAAGGAAAAGGCTACGTTGTCTTGGATTTGCTTGATGTGCAAAAAGGAATGGAGTTGAGGCCTGGAAAACTCAGTTCACGTGTCAGTGGATTGCTCTTCTGGCCATCTCTCGGTTTTTCTGTCACTTCTGATCGTTTTGGTTTCCTCTGCCCTTTCTCGGGCTTTCAGGCCCAGAGGCAGGAGGCAGCGCACCACACTCACAACCCGGCTGCTCCAGGCTGAGCCCCCCCCACCCAGGGCAGGGTTTTGTGCTGCAGCCTGGGAAGCCAGAACTTCCCATGCCCTATGCTCTGAAAAGCCTAAAACCCCCAAATCGATGAGAATTTTGAGCTTTCCCTGGCTCTGAGGAGCTGCAAGTGGTCACAAGCTGCTGAGGGTTTTCTCCTTGCCCATGGGACCAGCTGGACCCACGCAAGCACCCCTCACCTCCCTGTGCAGCGGGGGAAAATCTCCAAAACCTATCTCCCTGCCCCCAAACTGAGCATGGGGACACACTGGTTGAACTGGGGAGCCCCTGGGGAGCAGGACGCAGCCAAACCCCAGCCCCAAGACCTGACACTTGGAGCAACGCAGGACAAGTGGCACGGCCCCGTGCGCCCACCCCGCGGCTGTGCCACGGCCCCTGCCTTGAGCAACGGGGAAACTGAGGCACGGAGCTGGGCACCGAGCAAAGCCCTCCAGCACCCAGGGGACACGTCAGGGCCAGCAGGTGCTTTCCCTACCTGCACGCGGACCTCCGGCAGGTTGACCTTCATGGCCAGCTCCTCGCGGCTGTAGACGTCGGGGTAGTGGGACTTCTCGAAGGCGCGCTCCAGCTCGTGCAGCTGGTAGGTGGTGAAGGTGGTGCGGTTCCGCCGGTGCTTCTTCTTGGGCTGCTCCTCCTCGACAGCAGCCGGAGGGGTCCCCTCGCCGTCCCCCGGCTTCCGCAGCTCGCCCAGGTCCCCTTCGCACTTATTCAGGAACATCTCGGCGCCTGCGAGGGGACGGAGGGGTTGGGGAGGGTGGGGACATTGCAACCCCCCCCTCCATGCACCCCGGCTGGGACAGAGGGACAAGCGGATGGACAGGAGGATGGGCCAGCCCCGTGATACCTGCGTGGGGATTTTATGGAGCCCCCTCCCTGCCTGGCCTGGAGGTGACCAGAGCTGGCCAGGTCCCCCTGCCAGCCCCGCTCCTCTGCTCTGTCCCTCGAGACCAGCCCCACATCACTGCAGGAACCCGTTCTAGACCCCAAACAGCGCAAGAGCGTCCCAGCACCGTCCCCCAGCTAATAGCCTTTTTTCTGCATGTTTATAAGCGTTTTCAACCCTTACAATATCGCATCTTTAAGCTTTTTATCCAGCTTCTGAAATCTTCCTGTGGTATTCACCAGGGATTAAGGGCCCCTTTCCACCGCGGGGATGTGGTCAGACATGGGAATCAGGCAAAAAGCCATAATCCCGGGGTGTTTCTGTGAGGGGAAGGTGTTCGGCCCTGCATCACCCCAAAAATTCAGCAAACACCCAAGCGGGCACAGGGAAGGAGGGGGAAAATCAATTAATTCCCTAAGGGAATAACTGGGGTCCTGGGTGGGCAGCTGGTGGAAGGAGCTGGGGGCTGCTGGCACTGTGCACATGCAGGGGGTCTGCGTGCACCGTGCATGGTTTGTGTGTGTGTGTGTGTGTGTGTGTGTGTGCAGCCTGCAGCGAGGCTGCAGCGTGCAGTGCATCGGCAGCACGCACTGCATGCAGGTGTAGATGCTGGGGTGTGTGTGCAGGGTGTGTGTGCATGTGTTGGGGGGGTTGTGCTGCAAACACACTGCATGCAGAGTGCACCGCATGTGCCCAGTGTGCAGTGTCCACGTGCCACGGGTGCAGCGTGCAAAGGCTGCACGTGCAGTGCACAGCTCACAGGGTGTGCGAGGAGTGCAGTGCATGCATGTGTGGGCACAGCACGAACCAGTGCACACTGCATGCATGCAGCACATGCAGTGTCTGTGCGCAGTGCTTGCAGTGCCTTTGTGCTCAGTGCACACAGTGCATGCAGTGAGCACACACACAGAGCATGCAGCACGTGCTGTGCAGTGCACTCCGTGCACACAGGTGTGCAGCAAGTGCAGTGTCAGTGTGTGCAGCATGTGCAGCATATCCAATGTGTGCCGTGCATGCCCAGGGTCTGTGTGCGCTGCCCAGTGCACAGCATGCTCAGAGCACACACCGTGCACGTGCAGTGTTTGCACTGCACAATGTGGGCAGTGCCCCTCTATGCAGTGTGTGTAACACGTGCAGCGTGCTCACAGGGGCTGCGTGCACTGCCCAAGGCATTTGCAGCATGCTCAGAGCATGCAGCGTGTGTGTGCAATGTGTGCACTGTGTGCAGCACCCGTGTCCACAGCACATATAAGGCACGCAGTGCATGCACAGGGGCTGTGTGTGCAGTGTGTGCTGTGCACAGCATTGCCAGTGTGTTGCATGTGCAGTGCATGCAGTAAATGCACAGGGTCTGCATGCAGCACATGCCACATGTGCATGGCTCTGGGTGAGACCCCACGGCCCCACGCAGGGTGCCCCATCACCCCGAGGTCTCTGGCTGGGTCTGGGTCTGGCCATACTGCCCCAGACAGCACTGCCTTCATGGGACCCAGGCCGCTGGGTGCTGCAGCTCTGGGGTGCCCTGCTGGGCACTGGGATGAGCGGGGCCCCAATGTCACCATGCGAGGGTTGTGGAGTGTCCTGGGGCTGGGGACACAGGGAGGGGACAGGACCCCCGCTGCCATCCCGCTCATGCTCACCCGCTTCTCATTTGCGCAGCTCCGCACCTGCAAGGAGAGGGGAGAGGGGTGAGCACCTGCAGCCCCCCCCAGGACCCCACAGAGAGGTGCAGGGTTGGGGTGAGCTGGGCAATGGGGGCTGGGGACAGCTGAGATGGGGCCGCGGGGGACACAGTGATGAGCTGCGTGGTGGCAGCAAAGGGCCGAGGCTGGGGGCAGCCCCAAGCACCCCCCAACCCCACCCAAAAGCAAAGGAGGCCAAGGAAAAAAAAAAAAAAAAAAAAAAAAAAAAAAAACAGGAAGAAGAGGAAAACAAATCCTTGGAGTGGGAGCGGGAATCAAGGGCGATAAGAGAAGACTGGAAAAAATAACAGAGCCAAACAAAAGCAGGAGAGACAAATACGGGAATTACAGAAAATCACAACCCGCCGAGGGGGGTGCCCCGTGGCTGCCCCCGCCCCGTCTCATCCTTGTTGGCATCACACCACGGCCCCCAGCACCGCTCCCCGGCTGTGTCACCCTCATGGGTGCCCGATGTCCCTGCCGAAAGAGCAGGTGTCCCCCCCCCCCCAGTCCATGTGCCCCCATGGCCAAGCCAGAAGTCCCGGGTGTCGCTGCCGGCCCCCAAAACCCAGCAGCTAAAGGGGACCCCACAGCCCCCGTCCCCCAGGTGCACACCCAGCTGGGTGGCAGGGCGGCTTGCCTGGGCTTTTTGGGGACCAGAGGGCTTCCCGCAGCCGTGGTCCCGGCACCAACTTGGGGGTTTCAGCTGTAAAAAATTGCACTGGGCAGTGCCAAGGCGGCGTTTCTCCGCTTTCTGCCCGCACCCGCCGTGGCCTCCAGCCGGAGCGGAGCTGTCTGCTCCTCACCACAGACACCAGAAAAGCAAACAGCAACGGCAACAAGCCCCGAACCGGGCAGTAATGAGCCCAAACTGGGCAAACCCCAGCTCTCCCAGTGCCAGAAAGACTTGGTGAGATAAATAAAGCACCAGACCCCTCCGTTCAGGCGGTGCCGGGGGCCGTGGGTGCTGCAGCCTGCCTGAGGCCGCCCCACTTCGCCCCGGCTCCCGTTCCCCTTCCGAGCCCCTTTGGGTGCCGGTGGGCTCCGGGGTCGGGGCCGGGCCCTGAGGGCAGCCGGCACAGCGCAGGCCGGCAGCGCGGAGCCCACCAGGAGCGGTGGCACTCGGTGCCCTGACACCGAAGAGCAACCAGGGGGGTGCAAGGAGGCGGTTTTGGGGCACCCAGAGCCCACCCCCACACCCCCAGGAAAGGGCCCAGGATCAGGCCCTGGCCGCGGGTGCACCCCAGAGCCGGCCCGGTCCTCTTTGGAGCATCTTCCCCCGGCGCTTTCTCCCGAATTCGAATAAAACGGTGTTACCTGCTGGGCCCAACTTGGCTTTTCCAGGAGTATTTAACTTTGTCAGCCCCTCCTGGGAACCAAACAAGCGGCTCAACCTCACCAATCTTGCAGCTTGGCAGCCAAAGTTGCCTCTAGTCTTCTTATTTGTCACAGAACCGCCGTGCTAAGGCTCGGGAGAATCTTTATTTAGTGTTGCAGATGTCACCAAGGCCCCGCAGATTGGAAATGAGTCCAAAGGATTAAGACGAGGTTATTAATTGGAGGCCTTCCCCTCTAAGAATGATTGACAGTTACTTTCTGGACAAGTAATTGCTCTAAATGTCCCCCCAGCGCCCGGCGGGCCGGGGGGGCCGCGGGCGCACAAAGCCCCGCGCTGCCTTCCCCGCTCGGATTGTCTCCCCACAAAGGCGTCCTGCTGGAGTTTTCCTTGTAATCCCCTCATTATGGGAGAGGAAAAAGAATTAGAAACACGGGGCGAGGAGAAGAAAGGCAGAGGATGGGGGGGGGGGGGGAGGAGGGAGAGAAACAATTTCCTTTGGCTCTGCCAGGGCCGCGGCCCAGGGATGGGCCTGGGGGCCGCAGCCCGCGCCTGGCCCTGCTGTGGTGGGGACGCTCCGGTGGCCGTGTCCCCCCGGGAGGGGACGGAGACATGGGGGAGGCCCTGGGGGCCGTGTGTGTGGCCCCCATGGGTTCCTTGGGATGCTGCGTGCTTGGGTCCTGGGTGGGGACGGGCGATGGGGACCAGGCGTGGGGACAGGTGTGACATCCAGCCGTGGCACCGGGAGTGGGGAGAGGTGTGTGGGGACCAGCACCGGGGGGCGAGCACCGTGGGCAGCCACGGGGAGTGGGCATGGGGGCCAGGGGAGGCCAGGTGTGGGGACCAGCTACAGGGACCACCATGAATGTCACAACAGCCATGGGGCAGCTATGGGACCATCCATGGATGTCACACCAGCCATGGGGACCAAGCACAGGGACAAGCCATGGACGTGGGACAGTGCACAGGGACTGGCTGTGGGGACCAGGCATGGGGACAAGGCATGGGGACCCACTCTGGGGCTATCCGTGGGGTTTGGCCATGGGCTGGGGGGTGGGGGGCAGAAACACCATCCCTCAGTGTCCCCCTGCGTCCCCTGGGGATGCCAATCAGGCTGTGAGACCCTAATTGAGGTCCCCAATCAGGCTGTGAGCATTGTGACCAGGTCCCTTCCCTGCCACCCAGGTCCTCGGGGTGCCCGGGGCTCAGTTCTGCCTGAGCTCAGCCCCTTCCCCGTGCTGCCCACCCGGCCTCTGCAGGGTTTTGCCCTTCTCGTCCTCCACTCACTTTTACTTTCTCCCAACAGCCTCTTCCTTCCAGCTGCGAGCACTGCAGCTCTCGGCCGCCGTCTCGGCTTCCTCCCACTCCCTTCCTCTCCTCGGCCCAGTTCCCCTTTCGGATGCCAAATGTAACCACAAGCTTTTCAGTCAGCCCTGGTGCTGGTCCCGCATGCCCCCCCTGTGCCAGCCCATGGAGCTGCCCCCGGTGGGACACTGCCACCACCATTGTGTCCGGGTTTGGACCCTAAAGCCATCTCTGTGCCACTTCCCTTCACCCTCCTGCCCTGTCTGACAGCATCTGGGGACAGCGTGACACTCTTTTTGGGGCAGCGTGCTACCAGCGTGGGGACAGCGTGCCACCACCCCAGGGACAGCGTGCCACCACCCCAGGGACAGGCTGACAGCACCACGGGGACAGCGTGGCACTGCACTGGGGACATGTGGCCTCCTGGGGACAGGGTGACACTGCCGCACCAGGCGGTGCCACGAGGACCCCTCTGCTGCCTGCTCCTGCATGGGGGGTTCCAGCTCCAGGAGCGCCCCTGGGTGCTGCTGGAGGGTGGTGGGGACGTCCCCAGGCCATGGGGACATGGGTGCAAAGGGGCCCCTTTAGCCCCTTGTGCCAGTGTGCCCTCGCGTGGGCCACCATGGTGGCAGCGAAAGGACCCCAGTCCCCTGCTTTGGTGGCCCACGGTGGCTTCCTGGCACAGGCATGGGGACACGACATGCAGAGCTGTCCCAGGAGCACCCCACCGGGGTGACCTGCACGTGCGGACCCGCATGGAGCTTCTCAGAGATACCCAATGCTCCGAAAGCCCCAAAGTGACCCAAAGTGCGCCAAGCCCCCCGAGCCCCCCGTGCCCCACCAGGACCACCCGTGGGCTGGGTGGAGGCGCGGGCACAGCCGCCCCAGCTGCCCGGATTTGGATTTACCCACCAGGGCCGTGTGCGCGGAGCCGGCCCCGCTAAACCGCCTTAAGGTGTTGGCTCACACGGGCGGGGGAGGCCAGCAGGCTGATTTGACAAATGATTATAATTGCCTTTTAGGAGCAGATAGCAAATTGATTTGCTTCCTCGTCCAAGGCCCGTAATCGCTTCATCACTTTAAAATATTAATGCTATACTTCTTTGCTAGTTTCCCAATTACCCTAATTGAAGGCAAATTGGTTAAGAAGGTGCAATGCAGAGTATCAGGGGGTTTAGTTCACTCAAATGACAGTTTTAAACCTCCCTAATCCTATTAGCGGGCAAAGCTGCTAACGCTTAGAGACGCTGCGTCAGCTTACCGGGGCGGTGGGGCCGGGGCGGGGGTCGGGGCCGGGGGCCGCCGGCCGCACGTGACCAGCTCTGCCGGGGATTTGTCACTTTTTTAGTTCATTAAGAGGCCTGGGGCGGGCGGGTGGGCGGCAGGGGTGACCCAAAAGGGTGCCGAGGCACAGGTGGCAGTGTGGGGACAGTGGGGGGGCAGGACGATTAGCCGGGGAGACCTGGCGGAGGGTCCTGACCCGGATCCCAGCCGGCACTGGGAGCCCTGTGCAGCCCCGCTGGGAGCACTGGGAGCTGGGCTGGGGACGGGGCCAGGCTGCCCGGGGACCTTGGTGCTGCTGTCCCAGAGGGAGCGGGGACATGGGGTGGGAACAGGAGCTGGCTGGGGGCTGCTGGGGAGACATGGCCCCGTCCCAATCAACACGAGTTGATTTTTATGCCTGAATGGGAGATGCTGCGAGTCCTGCAGCGTGGCTGGATGGTGGGGACAACAGGGACAGGAGGGGTGGCAGGGACAGTGGTGACAACAGGATGGTGGGGACAGCGGGGACGGCAGCGCCACGGCCACGCCTGGATGCTCCAGCAGACTCCAGCCCCTCGCACCAGGACCCGAGGGGCCGAGCACCACGCACCCGGGGACCCCCACGCCACCGGGGCAGCCGAGACCTGCGGCACTCGCAGCCACCGGGCTCTGCACCGCGCCGCCCACCCCACCGGCACCGGATTCGGCCCCGCCACTGTGGGCAGCCCGCGGCAGCGCCGTCCCCATGGGCCTTTCCGGAGCAGATGGCCCCAGCGTGGGGAGGACGGAGGCAGCTCAGCGCGTCCTTTCTTTTCATGCACACACAGCGTGACTCCCGGGCCGGCTCCGGCAGGGCGGTGGCGTTCGGGGCCAGTGCTGGTGGTACATTTTGCGAGGGTTCAGCTAGCTTAGTCCTCGGGGACAGGCGATTCAGGCAGATTAGACCTCACTAAAATAGGCAGGTATTAGTGATCTCAGCAGCCTGCAGCCTTCCGGCGCGGGTGCCCGCGTGGCGGCGTTTAAGCCCGCGCTGCTGCTGAGCCCGGCAGTGGGGAGCCCCTGGGGTGGGCAGGAGGCAGCGGGGACCCTGTCCTGGGGATGCCCTGGTGGGGACACCGGGTCCTGCTGGTTCCTGCTGGGGGAACTGTGCCTGGGGGCTGCTGCAGGAGCTGGGGACAGATCCTGCAGGTTGGGGTTGTGGAGACCAAGGGTAATGATGTGCTGGGCACATGGGGCTGTGTCCGGCATGGGGACACGGGGGGCTGCAGGGGTGTCCCTGTCCCCGCCCTGCCCACCCATGGGGTAGCCCTGGGGATGGTGGCACTGTGCAGGTGGGGGTCATGCAGACAGCATTGTATGGCACAAGCACCAGCCCAGTCCTGCAAAATACCATTTTTATTGATCCAAACAGTGTGGGCAACCCCAGGGCTGGTGAAAGATGTGGCAGGAGCGTTGGGGACCACTGCCTGCCCCAGCTGGGGGGTGGCACCTGGGAGGCTGGAGCTTGGCCAGTGTGGCAGGAGGAGACCCAGGTGTCCCTGCCCAGTGCCCCAAAAAGCCCCAGGGAATGATTTGGGGGAGGAAGACCCCAAACGCAGGCAGCACAGTGGGGCACATGGCACGCAGCACCGGGCACCCGCAATGCCCACATCCCGCCCGCTCCCTGGGACTGAGCCCAATTCTGCCAGTGCCGGCGCTACATCAGGGAGCACTTCTCCTTCACCTCGTCCACGGTGCCCAGCGCCCGGCCCCGCAGCGCCGGCAGATCGATCTCCCGCAGCTTGGTCAGGAAGGCGAAGGCCCCCTCCTCTTCCTCCTCCTCCTCCTCCTCCTCGCTGCGCACCATGGCGGCCAGCTCCTGCGGCACCTCCACCGCGCCGCCCGCCACGTGCAGCTGGGCATCGTCCCGCTCGTCCTGCACACGGGTGGGAGAGGTTGGGGCCGAGGATGGACCGGGTGCCACCGGCCTCGGGGGGGGACAGGGAGGAGCAGGGTCCCTTCGGGATACCCAGGAGTCGGGATGCTGGGGGACACCGGGGGTGCTGGGGCTGCCCAGTCCCACACTGGGACTGCTGGGCACACACGTGTGCGGGCGGATGGGTGGATGGATGGAGACAGCAGCTGTTTGCTGCCCTCTTCAGGAATCATCTCCCATCCCAGGGGACCAGGGTGGTGGAGGAGGACAGCAGCCACCCAGCCCAGGGCTATCGGGGAGGGTAGGGGGGCTCAGGGCACCCCACGTGTGTCCCTACCTGGGCCAGGTGGTACTTGTCCCGCAGGTGCATGCGCACGGCCGCCCGTTCTGCCTTCTTGTGTGCGAAGGCCTTGTCCCGCTCGATCCTGCACGGTGGGTGCCACGCTGTCACCCCTGCCCCAGCCGAACCCCCCCCATCACCCTGCACCCCGGCCCTGCAGCATCGCTGCACCCGTCCAAAGGCACAAAGGTCCACGCGAGGCAGACACCGGGGGCCGCATCCTGCCCCTCCAGCCCCTTCCAGGTGGTGACACTTGTGGCAGGGACTTGCTGCCCCTGTGGCCTCTCGCTTCCCTGATGCTGTCCCGATTGAGGCCCCTAAATCACCCAGATCTGGGGAGGGGGTCCGTGCTGTGCCCATTGTCCTGTGGCTCCATGGGTGCTGGGGTGAGGGTGGCACCAGGCACCTGCCCCTGGTCACCTGCAGTGTGCCGAACCCCTGTGCCAGCACCCATGGGGACTTCCTGCACCATTGGGACCTCTCATACTGCAGGGATCGCTGAGCACCCACTCTGCTCCCATCCCCTGCCTCCCTGTCCTCGTCCCATCCACGCAGGGGACAACCCGTGGTGGGTGACACCCTGGTCCCAGCGCGTGGGGGACCCCACAGCCCCAGCAAAGCCTTACTTCTCCTCCAGAAGCTGCCGCTGGTACTCCTCAAACTCCTCGCGGGACATGCCATTGGGCAGAGTGGCCGCCTTGGTGTCCTTGGGGGGTGCCTGGGGCTCCTCCTCGCCCCCCCGCAGGTTCTTCAGGGCTGTTGTGAAGAAGGAGGCCATGGGTGGGAGGCTGCGGTGCCCTGTGCCCTGTGGTGCCCAGCCGGGTCCTGCCCGGGGCCGGTGTCTGCAAGGTCAGCAGGACCCAGGGGCGCTGCGGATCAGGGCTGGATTAAGGCATTAGGAGGGGAAGGCACAGACACCGGGGTGGGAAGACCTTCTTGTGCCTCTCACTGCACCCAAGGGTGCTGGGGACCCGTACCTCGCTGAGATACCCCATCGCACGGGCTCTGATGGAAGGTTCAGACCCTGCCTGGCACCGTGGGCACCCGGAGCCACCCAGCTCAGCGGGGTGAGAGGTGCAAGAAGTCGGCGCAAAGGACACAGAAGAGAATTAGCCGAAAAACTCAATCAAGGGTTGAAGGACTGGGAGGGAAACGAGGAAGCAGGCGGGCGCACACATACCCGCAGCCCCGCGGCCCCGTTAATCCCTGCTCCACCAAGACATCGAGATTGCCTGCGAGCCAGCGCGGCTGGGGGCTTCCCACCACTGGAGGACGAGTCCAGCTCCCGTAATCTATACGCAGCAATTCCCATACAGACTCTGATTAAAAGAATAATCCCTGGCTGCGTGCAGAGCCCCAAGCAGAGCGGGGCCGGGCTGCACGTGGGGGTCTCCGAGGGCCGAAGCTCCAGCTCACCCCTCCCCATGCTTTGGTGCACTCAGCCCCATGTAAGAGAGAGCACTAATTTGAGACTGGAGACTTAAAGATGCTGTTGAACTAATTTCTTTGGTTTAATCAAAAAAACAAAAACAAACAAACAAACAAAAAAAACACACACAAAAAAAAACCAAAACCAACAAATCCAGGCGGTTGAGCTGGCTGTGTTTGGGGCCTTCATTTTGTGCCAGCGTGGGGCTCTGCTGGGGTTGGGGTTTCTTTTTCCAGCAGGCTGGGATGTCCCGTCCTGTCCCATCACCTGAGGGGTGGGGGTATCAAAGGGACCCAATAGGGGGCCATGCACACAGCACCCCCGTGGGGCTGCTCTCTGCAGCCTGGCAGGTCGGGGTCCCTGCCGCCGCTCCAGGTGGCCCCACGTGTGGCTGGGTTAAAGACCCATATGGGGACGGTGGGAGGTTGTTGCATCCTCTTCGGCCACCCCAGGGGAGGAGGGCACCCTGCCACTCCACTGTCCCATCTTCTCTGGGAGAAAGCAGCACGCAGGTTGCCTGGCTGCTCATTTCCATGCTGCTCCCTACCCCGATGGGTCTGGGGGACGTCTGGCCATGGGTTCTGGGACCAGGACGCAGGTTAAACGTCCCTTAGGTGCTTCAGCTCCTTCTGCAGCTTCTCTGTGAGTTTCTTGAAGGACGGCCGCTTGCCCGGCTCCATCTCCCAGCAGCTCTTCATCAGCGCGTAGATGGCAGGCGGGCAGCCCTCGGGGGGGTCCATGCGGTACCCCTCCTCCAGCAGCTCTGTCACCTCCTTCAGGCTCTAGGGATGAAGGAGGGAGCTGGGACCTCACTGGCCAGGGGGAGCTGGGATGTCCCCTTCCCGTCCATCCCCTGGGGACATGACCCAGAGTGTCCCCTGGCACTCACCAGCTTGGGGTAGGGTGCTCGGCCGAAGGAGAACACTTCCCACAGGAGGATCCCGTAGCTCCACACGTCCGACTTGGAGGAGAATTTCTGCCACGGCACGAGGGGGTAGGCTGCAGCTGGGTGGGGGCTGTGCTGGGCTCCCCAGGGCTGTGCCTTCATCTCCTGCTGCACCCGGGGCTGTCCTCCCCTCATCGGGCTGCGACCTCGTGGCCTGGCCCTCCTTCACCACCAGGACTCCAGCTCCAACCCAGCTGTCCCAGCCCGTCACATCCCATAGGAGATGCCCTAAATCCCCCCCACGCCCCAATATCAGGACAAAAGCCAAATTTTGGGAGACATGGGGCTGGTGGCACCAGGAGCTGCCGTGGGGCAGGGATGAGTTGGTAGGAGGCGGTGGGTGGGTATGGAAAGGGGGACCCAATGGGATGAGCTGCTTTAGGACACCCCACCCCACCCCCAGACCCTTTCCCTTCCCTCCATCACTCACATTGTGCTTCAGGGCCTCGGGAGCCGTCCACTTCACGGGCAGCACCGTGTTGTCCGTGCCCTTGGGATTGACCCGGGCTAAGCCGAAATCGCTCACTTTGGCCACGTGCTCCTCGGAGATGAGGATGTTGCGGGCAGCCAGGTCCCTGTGCACCAGCTTCTTGGACTCCAGGTAGTCCATGCCTTGGGCTACGTCCCTGTGGTGGCGAGGCAGTGTCACCGCGTGCCTCCCAGCGGGATGCAGAGCGCTGGTCCCAGTGGTGGGGAGGGCAGGGGGCACTTACAGAGAGAACTGGAGGAGCTGCTGGGGAGTGACTTGTGCGCGGCCCCGTGTGCGCAAGAAGTTCACCAGGTTGCCCTGACGGAGGAGGAGAAGCATCTAAGAGCTGCCCGGTATCCACCCAGTGCAGCCCCAGACCAGGGATTTTGTCCAAAAACTGAGCAGCTTTGAGTCCCACTGGCTGAGGACACGCTCTCACCTTGCTCATGAACTCCATGACGATGTAGAGGCCGTTGTGCAGGATGACGCCGAGCAAACGCACCAGGTTTTTGTGCCGGACCTTCCTGAAAGGAGGCGACCATGGTCAAGGGGGTGCTTGTTTGTGCCTGGGTCATGGGGCAGGGCCTGGCCATACCCCCGCAGTGTCCCCTCAGTGCCCCCCCAGGCACTCACGTCATGGCAGCAGTTTCAGCGAGGAAGGCCTGGGCGGTCACATCACACTTGATGTTCTTCACAGCCACCTTCTGCCCCATGTACTCGCCCTCCAGGACATCTGGGAGGGGGCATGGGGCATGTGTCATGGGGCTGAGCCCTTGGCCGCACATCCCACTCCCCACATCCCAGGCTGAGACCCCAAAAGCCCCAGGACAGTGCCCAGGAAGGACACTGGGGGATGTCCTTCAGGGATCTCTGTCTCCATCTCCTCACCTACCTCCGAACTCGCCTTGCCCGATGCGGTCTCCCAGCGTGAGGTGCTGCAGGTTCAGCAACCAGCCGGCTGAGAACAGGCGCAAGGACAGGTCAAAAAGGCCACCAGTGGGGCCGTGCCACCTCCTTCCCCAAAACCCAGACCTGATCCTCTCCCACCATCCCCTACCTTTGGCCAGCTCCTCCTCGGCTGACTTCATCCCCGTCTTTGGCTTGGGCTTCACCAGCTTGGTGCAGATGGCTCCCTGCTCCTTCGTGTAGTGCTGCAGAGGGAGGGACAGACGGGGCTGGGGCAGGTGGTGGGTGCAGAGCCAGGAAATGGCTTTGGGGTGCTCCACAGGCCCCTGCCTCCAAAGCTACCACCTCCATCTGGCCCTGAGGTGCCCACAGCCCCTCCTGCTTGGGCTGCATGAAATCCTGCTTTTCCCCCAGCACTGCAGTTCCCAGCCTGCATCTCAGCCCTGGTCTCCATGGGGAGGCACCATGACCAGGAGAGGATTTGGGATGCTACCGGCGAGCTGGGCAGCAGATGATGGAGCTGAACCCTGCGGGAGCTATGGCCCGGCCCTGGGGGGAGCAACACGTCCGAGTTGGGTTTGCAGAGGTGAAGCGGAAACAGCAGCACGGCCGTAGTGGTTACTGAGCGGGGCTGGGGCAGCTGGGCGGGGAAAGGGCTGGTCTGAAAGCAGAAGTTGTGTCTAAATGAGGAAAATATATGGCAGTACAAAACCCCAGAAATGAGGCATGGAACAGTTATGAGACAGGGCAGAGGCAGATCTTGAGGAAGAGCCTGCTGAAAGCATGAGCTGGTGATAAACTCAGTGACAGCAGGAAGCCTGGGAGTCCCACAGGGTGAGCGGATGAAGGGAGAGCTCAGGGGAGAGAACTGCAGCAAAACGCCTCTGAGCCTCAGCACTGCTCAGGCCTCAGCCAGAGCACGGGGGCAGAGGCTGTCAGGAGCTTTGTTTTCCAAAATGCTCCAAGCTCCACTGCTGCACGAAGCACCAGAGGAGCAGGGACAGGGGACACACCACCCTAGGCAGGGCACGCTGTGGGCACAGCTGGTTTGTGGCCCCCAGGGCATCCCGGATCTGTCCATTGCACCCCAAACTGAGTGGGGAACTGGGAGAACTTCCCGGGATGGAGAGCTGCACCGAACAAAACCCAGCAAAGAACACAGGCAGCAGCAGTGAGCTCCCAAGTACCACGGGACGAGGTGACCACGCTGTCACATGGATGGCAGCGCTGGCACGAGGTGGGTCAGGGATCACTCCACAGGTTCTCCATCACCATGTGCTGGGCTGGCTGGACCAGCCCTGGAGCCCCCCAGTGCAGCTCACTGACTGGGGGGGGGCTCTCACCTCGATCATGTCGATGAGATTGTAGAAGCGCTGCTGGCTGTCGATGCTCAGCATGTTCTCCTCGTGCACCACGCGGTAGTGCATCACCTCCTTGCCAAAGCTCACGCACAGCACGTAGTCGCCGGGGTGCCGGATGGATTCGCGCACCAGGAAGAGCCCATCCTCGGCAGGCTGCAGCTCCTGCACCGCCTCCACCCCTGAGATCTTCCCGTGGAACCAGCTGGGGACAGGGGACGTGGGGACAGAGACCGTGGGAACAGGGGACGTGGGGACAGGACACCAGCAGCAAGACAGGAAGAGCAGAGACCCCACCAAGGCTGTGCCAAGCCCATTGCACAACCCCCCTCCCCATCAGGCCCATCCGTGCTGGGTGTGCACACCTCTGTGAAGCCAGCTGTTGCCCCAGCAAATCCCCCCACGGCCAGGGCTGGGGGCTGCTCTGCCCCCACGCACATCAGAGCCCTCTCTGCCGCCCCCGGGCCCCTCGCTGTACTCACGGCATGAGGCTGAGCTTGTGGTCGGCGCGGATGGCGCCGCGCTCCCGCAGCACGCTGCCCGCCAGCAGCCCCTCCTGCCCGCTCTCGTTGTGCCTGGCACGGTACCAGCCCTTGCCCTGGGGAGGAGAGGGTCTCAGGGCAGGGGGAGGCAGGGGGCACCCCGGGGAAGGTGGTGCCGGCTCCAGCAGCTCAGCCGATGGCCCTGGGGTCCCCTCCCCTCCATCGCATGGCCACGGCTGGCCCCCACGTGCCCCTCGGGTTCACCTCCACGGCCTCGATGATGGTGACCACATCCCCCTTGCGGAAGGCCAGCTCGCCGGCCTTGGGCTTGTTATGGTCGTGCTTGGTGACGCACTGCGTCCCTGGGGGCCAGTGTTTCTGCAGGGGAGGAAGCGGCATCAGCAAGGGCAGCGAGGGCAGGGGCAGCGAGGCCTCGAGGCATGTCCCCCTCCACCTCCCATGGACATCGGGGCCAGCCCTGGGGACCCCCCTGCTCCCTGGCCAGAATGACTGCACCGGGGACGTAGGACCTTGGTGCCCCAAGGTCCCCACAATCAGGAGCTGTCCCCTGCAGCTGGCAGCCCCACTCACCCCAGACATGCTCGGCCGTCAGTGCATCAGGGACTCCCCGTCCTCTGCCGCTGTCACCTGTGGAGAGGAAACCAAGCAGTGCTGTGGAGGGATAGGGCCGAGCCCATAGCCTGCACTGTACCAGGCCACCGCCGCTGTCCCCACCTCCACCAAGGGCCTTTATGGCCCAGGGCAGCCCTGCACCATGGGAGTGGGCTGCAAAACCACAGCGTGTGCTCTGGGGACTCTCCTGCCCCAAACCCAGGTGGGAACAGGAGGCAGGTGTCCTGCTCCTTGCCCCTTCTCCCTGCCCCGCGAAGCAGAGAGGTGCTTCACCACCCACCGGCGCTGTGAGGCCACCAGAGCGACAGCAGGAAGATGCGGTTTTACCAGAAACCGGCAATTTCACCTCCTGTTTCTGCAGCTCCCACTCATCGGGGCCACGAGATCCGGAGCTGGGAGAGGCACAGGGGCCCCACAGACATGGGATGTGGCAGCACTGATGCAGGGGCTGCCTGCCTGAGGGGTGAGGCTGATGGACAAGGCTGGGATGAGGTGGGACTGTCACATCTGCTGGCCCCGGGATGATCACACAAGGTCCCCATGGTCCCCTGCCACCAAGCTGTCCCCCTGGGAGCCCCTAGTGCCTGTGGGCACACTGGGCAGAGACCCTCGGTCGTGTCCAGTCCCCAGGGAAAGCCCCAGGCAGTGAAAGCAGAGCCTGGAGGCAGCACAGATGGCTGAAGGGGACAGAGCAGTGCCACAGGACAGCCCATGGCACTGGTTTGTGACACCAAGCCTGCATCCTGGGTGGCATGACCCAGGCTGCCATGTGTCCCCAGACCATAGGACCATCCCTCAACCCATCAGGGTCCTCATAATAAAGCGTAGTAAAGCGCCCTTCCTCCAGATCCATCATGCTGGTAGAAATTTCTCTCCATCGCTGCAAGGCAGATGTTTTCATTCCTTTTCTAAGAGAAGGTGGGATTCCTCAGCACACAAATGACTCACATGCTTCAGGCTCTACCAAGGATGCCACCTGATAAGACCACATCCCACGTAGGCAAAGCTGCTTCGTGCCCACCTTGCTCCTTCCTACCCAAGAACCAGAAAGCACGAAGCTGTCCCAGCAGCGCCGCACTTCTCTGCTTCCAAGTCCTCAGAGGAGCCAGAGAGGCGTTGGCTTCCCGAAAAGAGAAATGTCTGAGGAGGGGGAAGAGATTTTTGTGGTGCTCACCTGACATGAGAGCACGGGCAAGGGGGGTCTGGGACCAGCAGCACCTGCACCTCCTGAGCAAACCCAGAGCTGGCCCTGTGGGAACCTCCAGCCAGGGCAGGACGATGCCTCCTCGGCTCTGCCGGGCTGGGGGAGGCGTGGGGCTCGCTCAGCGCCTTGCAGCAGCGATGTCACCCTCCGCTCTATTCCTCTTTTGGAGGGTGAGTCATGGTCACTCCTCTGCACCACCAGCGGCAATCCCCAGCCTGATGCTGTGACAACAAGGATCTGAGGACTTGCTGTGCCCGTCCCCATCCCGAACAACAAAAGAAAGGGACAGCTGCAGCTGTGGCAAGCCTAATATTAGCAGGCAGCAGTTTTATCTGCCCCAGAAGCCATCTTTAGCTAGCACAGACCTCCCCTTGTCCTGCCCATCCATGCCACACATTATTATCCTGCTGGACTAAAGCCTTTGAGCAGAGGTGCAAAGAAGGTGGCTGCTCCCTGGCGGGCTTAGCCAAATGCACCAGATGGTGCTTGAAGGGTGGGGTGCTCTGCTCGAGGCTCCCAAGGGCTCCACTTCTCCTCTCCCCCACTGGCACTGGGCAGCCTGTGAGGCTCGGGGTGCCCAACCCATCCCAGCCAGCACCTCCACCCAGCAACCTGGGGCACGCCGGTGAGTCACGATCCTCTGGTGCCACTCACACGCCTCATACTGGAGCAACTGTTTGTTCGTGGAGATGTCCAGCCCGTCAAGTTCCCACCACCGGAATGAGCATTCCCTCAAGCAGGATGCATGGGCAGAAAGCCTAGGAGAATATGTTTGCCCTCCTCTATTTTTTTTTCTTGTTGTTCTACACTTTTTTTAACCAGTTAACCTAAGCATTTGTAACAAAGACGAGAAACACAAAAGCCCAGTGGGGTTCCTGACCCCAAAACAGATTTCAAGCTTGTTTCCAGTGCTCAGAGGTACTCTAGCTGGAAGAAGAGCTGCCACAATGCAACAGCACAGAGGTGGAACGGGCGACATACACGCTGGCAGATTGCACCTCTGCACTGCAATGTGAGCCGGACATATTGCACACACCCCTCTGAAACACGGGCTGGAGAGGTTCCATTTTACTAACACCCGGCTGCACTAAGGGTCACCAAGACAAGTGGTAGATGTAGATCACCTGTTGAAAAACGGGCGACACATGGCCATTTTCCCCACCGACTGCAGTCCTCGTAACACGACATCCATCCCTCCCCGCCGGCAGAGCAGACACGGCGATGCATCACCTGCTCTCAGCAACTCCAGCAGTCCCTTGCACTTACCTCCCAGCCACGTCCATGCAGGGCCTTGGTGGCAGCGATGCCTTGGAGCTGCTCGCAGCTAAGTCTGGACTCAAATTCCCAAATTCCTGGAGAATAAACTCCCTTTCACATGGAGCAGCAAAGCTTTATTTTCAAGGGCATAGTCCCAGAAAGAGACACTGCGTTATTTCCTGATTTCTCTTCTGGTTAGGGCTGCAGAAGTAACATCCTGGAGGTCCTAGTGCCTGCCTCCTGCACAGTCAAACATTAATCAGAGCTGACTCATTATTTGACAATGCTTAAAACAACTTTTATCCTTTGATGGCACAAATCCACACCCTTGCTAGAAATGATCATCAGAACTTATACCCTGCAGCACTGCGTAGCTCTCACAGAAAATTAATGTTCCACTATGCAAATGAGAGACCTGCTGCTACCGCTGGAAGCTGCCACCAGTGCATCCACCCGAGCTGCAGGTGCTCGTGCTGCCAGCAGCTCTCCGGCGAGACTCAGGAGTGGACGTGGTGGGACCAGGGACCCTGGAGCCTAATTCTGTCTCAGTACCAATTTCCGTCAGATTTAGGGGAGGCTGCTCCAGGAGAATGACTGTGCCTTGTTGCTCTACTAGGGATAAAAGTGCACAGACACGTGGCAGGCTGGGAGGGGCAGTTGTACAACCCAGAAGGAGCTTTAAATGAACACCACTGTCAAAGGGCAGTGGCTTATCTATATCCTCCAGCATCCACAACTAGGGGAAAGGAAGCAATTGCCTCTGTAGCTCATCAGAGAGACCAGTTTCATACTTATGTTCAACATTTCTAAATTTCAGGGCCAAATGGTGAGAAAGAAGAAAATGCAGTTTCAGGCAAACACATTCCATTCAAGTTTTTATTTTTATTTATTTTTTTAATAAAAATTATGCTTACGCCTTTAAATATACTGGCACTTCAAGGAAAAAGGCAGTGTAGAAGTAAGAAAACTATTTGTTTAAAGAATGACCCCAAGGAATTTAATTTCTTTGGGTACAACTCCCAGTACAGCTGAGAAGTCCTTCCAAATGGGCCAACAGTTTAAGCTCCTGGTTACATTTTTCCACCAACAAACTGCTTCCTCAAACCACTGGGACAGATGTGTTCATAGGACTCTTAGGGTGTGTTTCCCAAGAAACACTCCTTGCACTCCCAAGGAGTGTTTCCCAGGAAGCACTCCTTGCGTTGTTCTCTGGAGTTGTATGGATGGATCCTTAGATGCCAGGTCTGTTCAAGCTAGAGAGTAAACGTGTGCATCCTCACCATCCCTGCGTCACACTGCTGGGTCTCAGTGTCAGATCTCCTGGGGTCTAAGCACTACTCTTGGCAACAAACAGAGATGTTTTGTACTTCTGTTTTTTGTCACATCCAGTCATTGTTACAGATGTGACCACAGACCAAGAACTCAGCATCACACAGAGGGAACAACGTGATCAGACGTAATAAATGGGCCCTCCCTGTCCTGCTGTGTGGGCCACAAAGACTTCCACTGCTTCTGCTGGAGCTGGACTCATCTCCCATTTTCTTTCTCAGGTATCTACCAGCCAAGAAGTGCCTCAGTCTTTAATACTAATCCTCAAAACCACCTTTCTCCCTTCTCTGATGCAGCAGTTCAGTAATCTGTGCTGCACAGCCCTGTTTAGTCCCATACAGCTGAATCAGAACCAATCATGGTGTTCCCAGGTACCCCTAACACAGCCGACAGCAAGCCAAAGCAGAAAGATTGTGTTAAAACTTCCAGAGCTGCTGAGTTACCTTGCAACAGTGTGGGAAAAAGTTCTTCTCACATGCTGGGCTGAGGCTTTAACCACTTCTCAGTCTTCCTCCTGGTATCCTTTCTGTGGGTGAGTCCCACACGCGATGTCCTGCACAACAAGCTGCTGAGCGGTGTCGTTCCTGGCAGGACTGAAGGAGCAGCAATACAAAGGGCAAACGTTATCCGAGGAAGCAGAGGAAGGACATGCAGCAAGATTTGTTAGGAACAGCAACACATTTTATGCAGAAAAAGCAACTGCTTTCCTAGCACAGATTTGGACATTAGCAGACTGCAGCCTGTCGGCTCTTCTTTGCCTGTCCATTTATCCTCAGTCCATGCTGAAAATACAGTTGAATTCACCAGAAATGTGACGTAGCCTGAGAAATCTGCCCTGCACTTGAAGCCTTTAAGAATGAAGTTGGAAAATGGCAGCACATGTGACAAAAACAGATAACTCTTCCCAACCTGGCCCCTGTGATAATTCAGGGGGATTCATTTTACCTCTCCTTGCAGTGTCTAAAGCCAAACATCCCAGTACCCTTTGGCTCCTTCCACAGCCAAAGGAAAATGGGCACCTCCAGAGTGCAACTCGGCTGACCTGGTTTCCCGTGCTGACCTTGAGTAAGCCAAGTGTGTCGGGCTTACATGGCAGGGGGCTGGTGAGGGGGGCTGCAGGGTGGCCTCTGTGAGCAGAGCCCAGCACCTGCCCCAGGTCAGCTCAGAGCCAGCTCCTGCCAGCTCCAAAAGGGACCTGCTGCTGGACAGAGTCCAGCCACGAGCAATGCTGGTTGTGCCTCTGGGAGAGCACATTGCAGAAAGGGGAAAAATGCTTAACAGCAGCTGGGAGAGAGGTGTGAGAAATGAGAGAGGAATCCGCAGCCACCAAAGCCAGTGGAGGGGAGCAGGAGGTGCTCCAGGCACGCAGCAGCAGCTCCCCAGCAGCCTGTGGAGAGGCCCCTGGTGGAGCAGGCTGTCCCCCTGCACCCACGGGTCCCACATGGAGCAGATCTCCATGCTGCAGCCCCCCCATGGGTGGAGGAGCCCCCGGTGGAGCAGGGGGATGTGGCCTGGAGGAGGCTGCGGCCCATGGAGAGCCCCTGCAGGAGCAGGCCCCGGGCCGCAGCTGCAGCCTGTGGAGAGGAGCCCACGCAGGAGCAGGGGGCTGGGGGGAGCTGCTGGCCGTGGGGGACCTGTGCTGGAGCAGTTTGCTCCTGGGGGATGGCCCCCGTGGGACAGAGCCATGTGGGAGCAGTTCTTGAAGAGCTGCTGCCTGTGGGCAGCCCCCGCAGGCTCCATTCGGGAAGGAGGCATCCCGTGGGAGGGACCCCATGTGGAGCAGGGGCAGGGAATGACCATGAAGGAGAGGCAGAGATGAAACATTATGGACTGACCACAGCCCCCGTTCCCCTGTGCCACTTGGGGGGAGGATGTAGAAGTGTGTGGACGGGGGAAGTTGTCTTTAGTTTGCTTTTAATTCTTACTGCTCTAGCCAGTTAGCAACAGGCAATAAGTTACAATGATCTCCCTGATGCCGAGTCTGTTTTGCCCCTAACAGTAATAGTTGAGTCCTTACCTCAAACCATGTTTTTTTTTTCCATCACATTTTCTCCCTATTTTTTTGAGGAGAAGGAGTGAGAGTGCAGCATGATGGTGCTGAGCTGCCCCTCGGTGTTAAACCATCACACCGATATTGAGGAAGGCTGCTTGCTCATAAGGGCAGCATAGAATGCTATCAGGGTCTTTGAGATTCAACCTCCAGCATTTAGAGACAACACCACTGAGATCAAATGCCTCTTTTCATAGCTAAGATTTCTGTTCAGCACAATGGTGCTGTTGGGTCAGCTGTACGGGGGATCATTTGGAAGGCTATTTCACCCTGGCTGTCAGCAGGAGCTTTGAATCATTCCTTACCCTGCTCCAAGCAGCTGCAGAGAACATGGGATCCAGGTGCTGCAATGCACCCGAACACCCCTCACTGCATCACCAGGAGCCAGAATGACGCTTCCAAGAGGGATGCCCCTTCTTGGCCAGCAGCCCCAAGGAACAGCATGGACAGCAGAGATGTGGCCACTAAACCGTTACAGGGCAAAGTCTTTTGCACAAATCTGTGTCCCAGTGAGAAAGCAGATTCAACATGCTCAAGGGACAAGTGTAAGTTATGTTGCTACAGCTGCCACCTCCGTCCGTTAACCCAAACCACGCTGTGGTGGCAGCTGTTACACACAGCAGGCTTCAGTCCACACTTATTGTGATTGTTGTGAGACACAACACACAACACTTGCAAAGATCACCCACAGCTGAGTTCTTGGTCTTTGCAGGAATCCATGCCACGCTGGATCAGGACTGTCACATCTATTAAACCTTGGCAATTTGGTATCATAGCGTGGCTTTCAACTCTGGCAGCACTTGTGGCAGTGTCTGATTGATGGTTTTACTTTCTAATTTCTAATGAGTGAAGGTTTTTGGAGTGGAAGCTTTTGGGATGGGCTGGACTGTGTGGAACTTCAGGCTGGTGATGGCAAAGTTGAGAGGCTCTGGGTAAGGATTAAGGGATGAACAAATAAAGGGGATGTCGTTGTGGGAGTCTATTACAGACCACTCAGCCAGGATGACAACGCTGATGAATTATTCTTTGCAGCACTAAGAGATGCCTCAAGATCAACTCCCCTTGTCCTTATGGGGGACTTCAACTTGCCAGACGTCAACTGGAATCACCACAAGCAAGTCCATGAGGTTCATAAAACACCTAGATGATAACTTCTTGGTGCAGGTGCTAAGGAAGCCAACTAGGAAAGGTGCCCTCCTAGATCTGTTGCTGGAGAACAGAGAGGATCGTGTGGGGGATGTGGCAATTGGCAGCCATAGTGACCACGAAATGATTGAGCTTAAAATTTTTGGTGACAGAACTAAAACTGCCACCAAAACTTCATCCCTGGATATGGGGAAATCAGACTTCAGGCTGCTCAGGGAACTAGTTAGCAAGGTCCCCCGAGAAACTGCTTTTGAAGGCACTGGACATACAAGTCCATGGGTCCAGATGGGATTCATCCCAGAGTGCTTAAAGAGCTGGCTGACATCACTGCGGGACCTCTCTCAATTGTTTTACAATGATCTTGGGAATCTGGAGAGGTCCCAGTAGACTGGAAGCTGGCAAATGTTGTGCCAATTTTCAAGAAAGGCAATAAAGAAGACTCTGGCAATTACAGGCCTGTCAGTCTCATATCAGTGCCTGGTAAAATTATGGAGATTATCCCTGAAGTTATTGAAACACACCTGGGGGACAATGCAGTCATTGGTCCCAGCCAATGTGGGTGCATGAGGGGTAGGTCCTGTTTAACACATTTGATTTCCTTTTATAAGATCACCCATCTAGTTGATCAAGGGAAACCAGCTGATGTGAGCTTTTTAGATTTCAGTAAAGCTTTTGACACAGTTTAAATAGTCACGATCTAAAATTTTGGGTAGACCTGTGTGGTGCCAGGGGTTGGAGTCGATGGTCCTTATGGGTCCCTTCCAGCTCAGGATATTCTATGAACCGTTTCATCCTCTCTTCATTAGACTTATATCTGACTAAGGTCAGATTGCTCTAGATAAAAGGCTAAAAATCACTCACATTTCAACACCTGAAACTCCTTCCGATTACCAGAAGTAGACAAGATAACCGTACAGCAAAAGGAAGATAAGAACTTCAGCGTGAGGTCACAGCAACACTAACTGCACGGCAGGATGGCAACAGCTGCAGCACAGCCAGGTAGCTGCGAGCAGTTTTCATTTCAGAACACACTGCGCTGTACTAGTGACATACAACAACGCCTCTAGTTCAAACATCTGTGGAAGTACTGAAAACGCATCCCTTCAAACATATGTTTTAAAATTGCTTATAACTGTTACCCGGGATATTTAAATGGTGCCTGCTTTACACCCAAAACAAAGATACCTAAGAAACAGGTTTATCTGACAATAAACAATCCAGATTTTTTTCCAAGAAGTCTTAAAAAGCAGAGGTCCAAAATACTCTAAAAAATCTGAAAGAGTGTGAAAATCAATTTGAAAGCAGAGTTTAAGTGATGAATGTGTGACACTTCAGACCAGGCTAGAAACTGCCTCCAGTTTGAGGCTTGAACTCTACAGTAATAAAGTAAATGCACAAAGAACCCACAACAGCCTTGTACTTCCTTTTGTATGCCACACCGCATACTGGGTCTGCCTGGGATGTTAACGTTCCCTGCAGCAGCCCACACAGGGCTGTGCTTTGCACCTGTAGCTACAACAGCAGGGGTCTCAAAACTGGGGTTGGGTCTGCTGCTGAGCAGTGCTGGCACAGCATTAGGACTCTCTCCAACCCTCCCGGAGTCAGCAGGCTGGGGGTGGGCAAAAGGTGAGAAAGGAACATCCCCAGGGCAGCTGACCTAACCCAACCAAAGGGATATTCCACACCATATGATGTCACACTCAGCAATAAAAGGTGGAAAAAGGAAGAAGAGGGGAGGGTGGGCTCTCGTTGTGAAAACGTCAGTCCTCCCAAACACCGGCTACGTGCATTGAGGCCCTGCTTCAAGGACGTGGTCAAGCATTGCTCATTTGTGGAAAGTAGAGAATAATTTATTTCCTCTGCACTTCCACACAGCCTTTATTTGTTGTGTGGTGTTTGTTTTTTTTTTGTTTTGTTTTTCTTTTTTTTTTTTTTTTTAATCCTTCCCTTTAGTTAAATTGTTTAATTAATAATATTTTTTCCTTAATAATTATTTTTCCCTTTAATTATATTATCCTTATCTCAACCCACAAGTTGTTCTTTCCTTTACTTTTTCCCCTCCTCTTTTGAGGGTAGGGTGAGAAAGTGGTTGTGGTGGAGTTCGGCTGCCTAGCAAGGTAAAACCACCATACACTGATAAAGATGAATACCCCCTTCCCCCTGCCCCTTATTTATTTATTTTAAAGTATGTGCCTGTTTACCTATTTTGCTATGGGAAGTTTCTGGTGTGAGGGAGGGGGAGGAGAAGGAGACATAACAGAAGGCAAGGAACTGTTGCTATAGGCAACTTCACTATTATAGCATAGTGCAATTTCTGTAGTGATTGTAGTACAATTTAAAATTATCTACAGTATATGATTTCAACAAAAAGTTATCAAAATTATCCAATATGACACTAAAACAGGACCTCTTTATATAGAAAAATTGGAACTACATGAGCACTTCTATATGTGCAGTAGCATTATTAGGCAGCTTCTTCCTCTTTTTGGTCCTTTTTTGCACTTCCGTCACCGTCTGTTGCTTTTGATGTCTGTTCTTTTATTGCACGCAATAAATGTACTTGTGGGAGATAGCAAGAAGTTCATTTCAAGTACTTTTCACTACCCTACCCCCCCCCCTTTTTTTTTTTTTTCCTGCAAGGCAGCATTTTTAAGACATGTTAGGAGAAGAAAGAGATAAAATGGTAACAACCCAAATGGAATAAAGACAGTTGTATGAAGAAAATACACGGAAATATGCAGTTCTCCACACACACACTGGAAGCTAGAATTTTAAGTTATTTAGAAGATCATCATCATCCACGGCAATTAGGCTTATATTGTAAAAAGCTACTCAACACTCACCTGAAGCTAAGGTAGCCAGCTACTTTGAAAACAAGAAATTAAAAATTTGGTGTCAGAGCTGAAGTCGCTGAAGTTCTATTGAGAATATAACAAGCTTTAGACAAAAATGTTATAGCCAGAAATTGATGTTTCAAATGAGGTTTCCTTTTGTTTGTTTGCTTTAGGGGGTGCGGGTAGGTTAAAACAATGAGTTTAATTGTACGCTGTAGTTTTCTACAGAAACAGTTTCCTTTATGCCATGAGGAGAAAAGTAAGTTTAATTGCCTCCAACCTCTTGAGTTTCTTCATTTTGTAGAAGTAGTTAGGAATGAAGTAGGAAATGCTGTAACAGACCACAGCAAACAAGTAACAGAGCTAAGGAATAGGTAGGACAGAGAGATGCAAGTTCAGAGTGACTGTACTGGTAAAACAGTTCCACATGCTATCCAGTAATGCAAATTTTTTATTCACACTTCTGTAACAAGCCACGGAAGTTTCAGGCAAGGCTCACTACAGAAACTAAACCAGTCTAGTACTCAAATCTCTTCCACTACATTTAACAGGAATAACTGTAGAATCTTAATGTTTGCTTATTCCATCTTGGTCAAGAAAATGAATGCTTTCACTGCAAAGAAACAGCATGATCAGGCAAATTTGAAATGTTAATGAAAAAGTAATTATATGTAAATGATCCATCTATCTACCAAACCGAGAATAACTGAGTAGACAGAATGGAAGAGGGCTTGAGTTACACACTGCACAATCCCACGTGTTACATTAAGTTCTATGGTTTTCTACACATGGAACACAAATTGTGACAGAGGATAGAATGGCAGATAGGAACACTTAAAACAAGTAACGTATTTAAAGACAACTGGACCCTCATTTGAAGTACTCATTCACAAATATATTCATAAATAAAATGCAGATCACATCTCTCAGTACTTTGAAAAAGTTATTTGCAGTTGTGGTCTCCAGTATACCACTGCCAGGTACCTTGGCTCAGGTGTCCTCCTCAACTGTTATTAACTGCTCTTCTTTTCTACTGGTGCACAGGCTGCAACATCATCTTACTGCCAACTGGTCATATTCTTCAAAGCATACAATTTATCTGTTTAAGGGACATGCTGCAGCCCAGGTTCATCTGACAGCGTAAGATAAGAGGAAAAAAAGACATCACAAAAGTAAACATATTGCACTCAGGTTTTTAACAGCAAAGCTGAAGGAACAAAGAAGTTTTAAAACAGTTTAATTACTTCTGGCATTTTGCTTTACCCTTAGGTAAGACAACGTGACAAACTGATGAAGCTTTAGCTTCTCTGGAATGAGCACAGTTACAGCATTGGAGACTTCCCTTAAAAAGCTTTTCTATAAATAACTATGCAAGTATTCAGAAAATCAGGATGAGCTTTGTAAAAGCCAAGTGCAAACGCCTGGGGGCCTGAAATACATCTCTGACAAATTCAGGTGTTTGTCTTTCCTTATGAATCAGTAAGTGAAGACAGGTCTCTCCTTCCTGAAGAAAGCGTTGCTATCAGTATTATTTCAATAGAGCAACTCAGCAGTGCAGCAGACACAAACTGTGGCACTTAAGCAACACTGCTGTAAGAAAACAAACAAGAGGAGGCAGAACTGAGGAACAACGTTCATGGCACAAGCTGCTTTGCCAAAGGTTCCCGTGAGTCTTCTGCGTACTGATGTGATGACACCATGTGATTACACGGATTAGTGGTAGCCTCGGCAGTGCTCAGTTAACAGTTGGAATTGATGATGTTAGAGGTCTTTTCCAAGCTAAATGATTCTATACCCACCATCCAACGGCATTCCTGACACACCTTCAAGAAGATGCTGCATGGCATTGCCAGGATTTAACAGGCTCAGTGCCCTGTTTAAAACTTTTTTTTTTTCTTTTTGTAAAAAGTCCTACTGCCTACGGAGAGGATAAATGCGATCCATTAGAGGGAATAAAAGCAAGCAAAAATAGCCTTTAACCAAACCTTACTGCTTCTCTAGACACACACCCTTTCTCAGGACAGCAGTGATTATTTCAGCTCTTTGAAATCAGTTTCTATTTTGCATTGTAAAAGACCTGTAAAACCACCAGAAACATATCAACTTCTGTGATTATTTTTATTGTGCAAATAGCCCAGTAAGAAGTTATTTTGTTACTTTATCATCAAAACAGCCAAACAAAAACAAATATTATGAAATGCAGTAATGACAAATAGAGCTTCTTATGGATGAATCCCAAGTGAATGAAGAGCTCAGTTCAGGGCTTCTTTCTAAAAATGTTAAAAGATCTGAGATAACCGAATATATGCAGAATTTTACAGCTGCCTGGTAATCTTAACTGCTGTAAATGCACAGGATGTTTTCCCTCATAAGCACAAAGAACAGCAGAATATATCACCTCTGTCATTTAGATTTGGGTTTAGGTGGTCTCCATGGATATTTCTGTTATTTACTGGCACTTTTCCATCATTTATATGTGAGATTATTTCAGTTGTATGGGTCTACGCAAGAATAGATCTTTTTCCCCACCTCCTATGCCATTTTTTATTTTTGTGGTAGGGTTCTAACACTACTGTCTGAATACTATTAACTAAATGCTGAATGCTATTAATAAAAGCTTTACAGAAGTTATTCTAGGGATTGCCAATTTTCAAACTTCCAGTGTAGCACGAGCATGGCTTAGCCATTCCAAACAAGAGAAAACTTGAGCTTAATGAATGAAACCACCATAACTGATACTGGAGGTTCAGTTTGACTGGAAAAAAATAAATATATATTTGTTACATGCTTAGTAGCCATTTTGGCCATCCACAAGACTACAGACATTGTATTATAACCAGTTACCCAAAGCGGTAGTTCCCTTATCTCTGTGCTATAGCAAAGTCACTGTGTTAACACAGTTTGAGAAGTACCTGTATAACTCAATGCAGAAGTGGAAAATTCTGATTTAACATTATTTCTGTTAGCTAGTCACATGGACTAGCTATTCTTCTCTATAATACTCTATTCTTTACACTTTCTACACAGGAAGGCTCTCTCATCTTGAGATCTAACTAACTAGCCAAAGTTAGAGCAGATACACCCCACTGTGTGAAGGGGGGCACCTCACCTAATTTTACTTATTTACATACCTTTCTCCTTTACAGTTGAAGAGGAAGACTTGCAATTCAGCAGGTCTGCTCTTGAAGTCAACCTTAGAAAGAAATTAACCACACCCCAGAAATCGTGACTTTTATCCATAGACTATGAGTTCCTGAAACAGCCTGCTCACGTTTTGAATTTCATACCATCCTTCTAAGCAAGATACTTTATCTAGGGCTACAAAAAAGAAAAAAGCAAGGATAGATGTATAATAGATCTTGTATCCTACTGAAGTCTGTGATCTTTAGCTTGGATTTACTACTATTTCTAATTTACTAGTGCGATTTACTATCTGATTTTGTACTTCACTACAGCCCCTCAGATAACGAGCATTGCTGCTCCTTAATGCTACATCACATCTTTCTTTTAACTGCTGTTATGACACAACAGAGAAGGTTTATATCTTCACACCGTCCAGAAGAGCCCCTCAGGTGGGTACATGCTGGCAAAGGTCTTTGCAGAACTTCGATGACAATCACATTTAACTACAGACCTTTAGCCTTTATGGGGAAAAGAGAAAAGTCACCAGTAAATATAAAAACAAAACACAAACAAATAAGTTGTTTTGCAAGCACAAAGCCCACAGATGTTAATAATGACTTTGATCTTAAGCAACTATAACATTATATGAACAGAATTTCATGGAATTTTTCTTCAGTGAGAAAAAAGATGCAACACAGCACTGTTCCTTGGTGACAGAAAATACGAAGGGGATAAAACAACTGATCTACACAGTCACCCTGATTTGCACGGTGAAGTGATGGCTACTCAATTACGCTCAGTATCTGAGCAGCTGCAGAATAAGCAGAAATATTTATGGATTCAGGGATAGCAGAAGTACACACTGTCTCAATAGTCTGTTCAAGCCCATTTGTTTTTGCTGAGACTGAATTAGTGTGCTACGTACTTACAACTTTCTTAAGAAATTACCACCTGACTTGAAAACCTGCGTTTGAAAGTTCTTTTTTTGGATTATCAAAGGAGAGTTCTTGTTAGCCATTTTCTGAGAAACAGAAAAACAGCTACACAATCTTCACAGCCTGAAAGATGAAAAAAAGATCTTTTGGACTTCAGACAGCTTTAGGAAAACTTGAGAAAAATAGTAACAAAACAAACAAAAACAATGGCCCTGATTGTGTCCTAGAAATATTCTGGCCACAGTATAGTAGCTTCAGGCCAGATTGTGCGGGAACAAGATACAACTACTGAAAGCTCAGTAAAAAAAAAAATAAAAAATAATCCCCCACACCACAGAACACTCAGTGACAAGAGTTACACTTTAACAAGCACGGTCAATTTGGCAGTATAAAGCCATATCTTCTTTTGTCCTGCTCTGGCATGTTTTCCTTCAACAGCGAGACAGATCAATGCTGCAGAATAAACACCATGCTTCAACTAAATGCACTGGCTTGGAAGGCCTTCACACTGCAAATATTTAAGACAATGAATAGCAGCCTGCAAGTCTAAGTGTTTCTGCTAATTTGAAGTATCACTCAGATCAGGCTGAAAGACTTTTGCTACCTCTAGGAAAAACACAATTTTCTTTGCATCTTAATTTAATTTTTATGATCCAAAATAGTACAGGAAATAGCCTAAGCATACACTTAAAATTTTGTTTATGATATAACAGTTGCTACCAAACTAGCACCAAATTGATCTATGAGATCTGCAGTCATGGAGTACAGATGCTGTGAGTGCAGTGATCACTGACAGTATCTTTCACTAAGTCAGCAACACAGCTTTTCAAAAGTCATTGGCTCTTGAACTACAGCATCAGAATCCCTATTTAACAGATTGTTAATAATTAAGATTGCTTTAAAACGTCCCATGGAGGAAGCTGTTAGGGTGAAAGTATTAGGCCACAAGTTTTAGGAGTATTTTAGGTTTGAGATGCAGTCACTGTGACAAGTATTTTCACATAAGCATCCAGATAACATCCATTTCTATCAACACAGCAACTTTTAATGTATACCAACTATCAAATTTATTTGTCATATTAATGCTTTTTGTCTACTCTGAACAATAATTTCCTTACTTCTGTTAGGAGTAGTATTTTCTTGCACAGGAGCAGAGGTCACTGAAATGCTGACCTGCATTGTTGGCTCATTGCAAGAAGAGGTAACTATACTTGCTCCTTCAGCATCAGATGAAATTTCATATTTGTCTTCTGTTAGTAACTGGAAAGTAACCATTAAAAAAAAAAAATCAGCCTGTTTCTCTCATGCTTACACATCAAAACACATCTTCAAAAAAAAAAAAACTACCTACAGCATGCTCTTGCTCTCCAGCATGTCATTCCTTTAATTGGAAAATTTCCTGTTCAAGAAGGGATTGCTTAATCCACATGAATGCAGTGGCACTTATTTTCCACTTTCTATTTCTGATGTATTGGCCTGTATGAGCCATGTCGAAAGGGCAGAGACCTTACTTTTCATTACATTTCTGTACACAGCCTGGCAAAACTTAATTTTAAAGAGGAAAGCATAACTCGTTCTATGCTCTAGATGACCATTTTTCCTATTTTAGGATAATGAAAAACTGAACCTGAACAAAACTGCTCCATAGGCAGCCTGAGATACCCTGTTAAGAGGAAAGTTCACATTTCTGGGCAGATAACAGGATAATAGGAATATCCCTGTGTCCTCAGAGGGGAAAAAACAAGATACTCTTGCAATTTACAACTTCAGAATTCAGGGCTCAGTTTCTACATTTCTTTGAAGCTAAGCCATGGGAAAAACCCTTTCCGGCAGCCCTGAATCTACTTTGTATCAAATCACAAGCAACTCCAAGCCATCTGAAAAACAAAACAAAACTTATCTATTATTAACGTGCTTAAGTGAGACTGGGCTGTATTTCTGTTGACAGGAGGACAATGAAACCTCCATATGGTGTCCCGAGTCTGCATTATTCATTTGAAGAATGTAATGACAATTGCCATCTAGGTAACGTGCTATGAAGACAACTACGAAGCTTACACTTTGTTTGTCCTTTTAAATGTTTCTACTCAATATAAAAGCATAGTTTTCAGTCACAGCTAATGCTGTTCTATGGACTATTTTCATAGGAATTGAAGAGACAAGTTTAATACTTCCCTGTGGAAATGGACAGATGTTGCAGCATTTTCTTTACAAATCAGACATTTTAAGTCTGTATACCTAGCATCAGCGATACAGCGAAGTGTTTAAGAACTATGAATATAAATGCAGTTTTTCCTGAAGCTGTACACAGAAGGACACCAGGAAAAATAAAAGACCTTAGCTACCTAATGTTATTTTTTCCTTCCTTTTAGTGGTGTAGCACCACTCCTCATTCCCTTGGGTGTTCTACATATAGCCTGACACTGCAGCTTTTCCACCAGTCTCACTTTGCCATTACCTCATGGTAACTTTATAAAGAAGTTAACAAAAACGCATTACCTTTTGTCTTCATTTTCTTCCTCTTTCTCCAAATATTGCAAAAGTGCACATTCCAAATGAGGAATGTATCTGGACTGACTACAGTTCTGTAGAGTGGGTGCTACAGCGGTTTGTCATATGACTTGAGTCATCAGATGAGTAGACTTATCTTGTAGACTGAGGGAAAAAAAGAAATGTAATGGTTATTTGGGTATCAAAGGTATCCTAGCAGGTGTGGTATCTGTGATAGTTCTACGTCATAAGGTTTGCATGAATACAACTGTGGTAAAGCAATTTCAGCAAGGAAGTTTGAGCAAGCAATGGAGATTTTTTTTGCATGTCTCGTTACAGATTACCTAGGCTGCATGAAGAGGAAAAAGGAAGTGGAGTTCAGCAGTTACGTAATCACTAATTTCTACAAAACTTTGTATCCTGTATGTCTTAAAAATTGTTTGAAGGTAATGTCTTGAGTCACAGTACTACCATCAACATATAGATGGACCAACTTGTACAGTCTGGAAGGAAGGTTTTGCAATCAGTTTAAATTGGCAGTGTGCCATATATTCTGTAACCCAGCTTTCAACAAAGGCCTACGAAAGCTGGTGCCAGCAGCAAGCAGACAGGCAGGCAGCACTGCTTCATTCAGCAGTACCTTATGACAGTTCAAGTTGCTTATGAAAATACAGCAAAAAAGTTCATAAAAATTGACAAATAAGACTTTTTGATATTATGATAGAGTTGTGTACTGCAACAAAAGCAGCCTTCAAATATAAACTTGGTCTATCTTATTGACTGCTTGTTGAGTATTCTCTTTTACAAAAAGCGCTGATCTCTAGGGAAAGACCCAGCATAGACACATGCAAGAGCTTCATTTCTCTAAATGTCTTTCTCAAGAAATGAAGAAGAAAAAACTTCCCAGGCAGACTGAAACAAACCGAAAAACCACTCAAGTTCCCTGGGAAAACCATACTGCTGTATATTGTACACCAGCTGTCTGAGCTGATTGTACTGCCCAGCTGTAGAATTGATTATGCCAAAGAAATCACACTTGGAGAAAGGGGTTTAAAACTGCTCTTTGATGATACTCTATCCTGGGAGTGCTTGGCAGCAAGTGTCATGCATGCTGCAGTGCCAAGAGATGAAGGAGCAGGTGAATGCCTCAGGCAAGCCTGCTGATTAGAAGTCAGGGACTGCTTGGCTCCAAAGCAGCCAAAGCCACCACTTCCCAAACCAGTTTCAGCAGGGAGCCAGAACAACACAACTTTGCAGCACTTTCGATGCAGTCAGAGGTGGTGGCATTAGCAAGGATATTCTCAATGCTACAAGACCTATCTTGCCACTAACATCATATGCTGATTATAAAAGCCTAGGGCTTCCCGATCGGTATGACATGATCTACAGGAGGTAAAAGAGAAGACAATTACTTTCTACAGGCTGTCCTGGTTTTGCTGGGGAGAGAGTTAATCTTCTTCCTAGTAGCTGGTATGGTGCTGTGTTTTGGATTTAAGATGAGAATAATGCTAGTAATATGCTGATGTTTTAGAACCATTAAGGTTGGAAAAGACCTCCAAAACCATCTAGTCCAGCTGTCCACCTACTAAACCAGGTCCCTAAGCACCACATCCGACCTTTCCTTAAAGCTGTTGCATTTCAGCGCTTACACAGAAGCAAAAACTTCTCAGCTTCTCATGCTGCCTTGCCAGTGAGAAGTCTAGGGGAGCACAAGAGTCTGGGAGGGGACACAGCCAGGACAGCTGACCCCAACTGGGCAGAGGGATATCCCATACCATGTGGCATTATGCTCAGCAATAAAATCACGGGGAGTTTACTGGGAGGCTGCCATTGCTTAGGAACTCGCTAGGCATTGCTCAGCTGGTGGTGAGCAACTGCATTTTGTATCACTTGTTTGTTAGGAAAACAAAACCAAAACTTTATTACACTGTACTTATCTCAATCCTTAAGTTCTTGCACTTTTACCTTTTTCAGTTCCCTCCCTCATACCACTGTGGGGGTGTGAACAAGTGCCTGTGTGGTAATTAATTGATGGGTTAAATGGTAACATAGGCCTTCGAGCAACTCCAGAGTATGAAGAACTATTACTTCTCTCTGACACTTGGAAAAAAACATCAGTGGTGCCAGTATTGTGCTGGAACACCTCTTTAAGAGGCTACTACATCTGAAATCCATTTGGGAAGACGGAACATAAATCTCATGGTTTGTACAGGGTCAAAAAGAAGCATCACAACCCAGAAGTAAGTAAAACATGGGTATGTAGAAAGCCATTACCTCGTCTAGCACTAAGAACTAGGCTGTTACAATTAACTGAAACTGCAGAGGACACAACATGTACATTCTAAAATGCTACTCAAGATGGAGGACATGCTTTGCCCACACTGTAAAGATATAAGCCTTTTGTCTTGTGTCACAACAAAGACACCTAGTGTCAGAACGCATATGAAGACTCATACTCCAGAGGGCTATATGAAATAAGAATCTCATTAGTACAGGGAATATTTATTACTCGTACCCTACCAAGCAGTTCAGCACTTCAAAATATATACAAGATGAAAAACCAACTAGTATTCATAAAATCAAGACAGAATAGACCTCTGTACTTTTTTCACTCTAAAGTCCTGGTGACAATTCTGTATAGATGGAGAAATACAAAGTTAAACTTTTCAGTAGCTAGGAAAATTGGTATATTCTGTTCTTGAAAACTGTAAGTAGTACTAGTACAGATACATTTTTAAGAAAGACAGTCAAAGGTCACCCACCAGGAAAGGTAACAGCATGTCAGGTCTGCCCATGGGAAGCCACTGCCCTTCCCATCATAACTCTCTTCTCCACCTCTATCTGCAGTACAGATCTTCTTTGAAGAACCTAATAGACATACAAAAAAAAAGTAAAAGTTACACAGTTCCATTAAATCCAGTTTGAAAAATGTAAAGCTAGTCCCAGTCTCAAAGGAGCTGTCCTCTGGTCAGCTAAACACCAGACTGTTTCCAAACAACATTTAATTGCTATTCATGCTCTGGTCAACAAGAAAGCAAAGGAAGATGTAGGAACACACCTAAACTATGCATGCTGATTTCGAGCCTGAAGTAGCTGTGTATTACACAGTCAAGTGCCAAGCATGGTAACAGAAGTGTCTATTGATCAGAGTACAGCACTGTGATTCATAAGTCAAACTTGAGCGGAAAGTAAACACAAACTTTCCTCTTTTGATTGCTGTACACAAAATGACTCACATTGAAACTGGTGCCCTTAGTGATTTCTCAGGATAATCATTTGCTGTTCTGCCACTAGAACTCATCTTTGGACTCATCTGCCATCATCTTACTGGCACTTTTGGAAAATGTATGGAAAGCATTTGTTCCTTTGCTGCATTACAGCTCGTGATTTAACCCAGCAGGTAGCTAAGCACCACGCAGACATTCACTGACCTCCCATTCCCTGTGGGACAGGGGAGAGAATTTAAAAGAAAAATGCGAGAATTCATGGGCTGAGGTAAGGACAGTTTAATAAGAAAAAGGGAAAGGAAGACAAACAAAAAAAATACACAACCCAAGCGATGCAAAATGCAACTGCTCACCATCACTGACTGATACACCGCCAGACCCTAAGCAGCCACACCGTTCACCCCATCCAGCCATCCCATATTGTTCAGCATGACACCACATGGTGTGGGATATCCCTTTGGCCTATTGGGGTCAGCTGTCCTGGCTATGTCCCCTCCTCTTGTGCCCATAAAAAGTGGCACATATATCTTGTGAGATAAAAAGAGTTCAAAGTTGTTTTGAAGATCTCTAAGACATTTCATTTCAGTTTTTGAAACAAGACAATATTTACCAGTTAAGCATTGACAAAATGCAGAAAATCCACTTGAGTCACCCACTAAATATTCATAGAATGCTAAAATTCTCTCATTCTCTTCATCAAATTAAATCAGATAGATAAAAGTCTTGATAATATGAACTATCAAGTGCACAAAACACAGGATTTTTTTTTTTTTTTTGACAACAAGGGAAGGAATTGCTATCCGATAGTTTACCCCACTCTCTTCTACATTTGATAAAACATTACATTTTACATTCAAGAAGTAATGCATTGGCTAGTGGTCTCCTTTGGTATTCTGGGCACTGCTAACCAGAATCACTTTGGCTCAGCATAACAAGACGACATCTCCATTCATACCTGGTATTGCAGTCTGTTCCTCTCTACTGCTTAACATGCACATCCTCAGTACTGAAGCCATCAAAACTGCACTCGGAGCTCACAATGAAGTCAAATATTTTTCCTTCATTATTTCCTGTCTGAGAGGTAAAACATGTTGTTCAGGGTCTCTACCCAGGACAGTAAGAACTATTTTGCATTTAGGAGTTTTTCAGCGGAATGTATTTTTAAAAAATACACATACTTCTTCTGTATTAAAATTGTGCCAACCCACTGTGTAATTTACAGCAGCTACTTCAATAGCATTGTTACATTGCTATTTAAGACAGGAACGGAACACAATATCCCTTTAAGTTGCAAAGGGCTCTAGAAGGACTGAAAACCTCACATGGAAATTTAACTAGAGTATGGTCAGTTCACATGCAGTGACAAGACAGTGCCTGTCACCGTAATGAAATTAAATAGCATGAAATAAATTCAACAAGCAATGGTCATGTGTTGCTGAGAAAGCAATGTTGAAAATACATTAAAATAGTATGTCTGAAATTAAAAACCTCACATAGCAATTTACCTTGAGATAAAAGATGTTAACATCTTCTACATGGTCATGTAAAACAGGTTGTGAATCCAGCAGCTCTCCAGGTACATCTTCAGAAACAACTGTAGCCCTGCTTCTGGTTTCATCATTTTCTGTTCCTTGTTCCCTATATTTCAGCAGTGCATGAAGAAAATGGATTAGTAGCCCAGTTTGTTACTATTTAGGAAGACATTCTTAACAGCATTTAAGTTAAAAATCCATCATGCTACTGTCAGTTATTTGTCCCCAACATAACCTTCCCCAATTTGTCACTATAGCAATTATTATAGTATCTGACTGCAGGGGATTAAATTTATCACTGAGCTTTACACTCCTAATGCAACGTAAAACCAACATTTATGCTAAAAGATTTGCATCCTTACTTAAATACAGACAACTCTGAATGACCGACCACATGAGTCACTCATAAGTATGTAATCTTGTCTCCCCAGGCCAGGTGAAAAACTTGAAAACACTCAGATATTTTCATAGTCATAGCTTAGATGAGACAAAGAACTAACACCGAAGATGGCTGAACACTTGAAGGAGGTTTTTAGAGGTATTGGCTTAAACAGTGATAAACAAGTTTTGATTCTGCTATGTTTAGTTGTTCTTTTGTGTGCATGTTTTTGTTTTTAAGTGATAGAGTTATTTCCCTGTTAACTGTAAAATCACTTCAATATGAGTTTAGAGAAAAAATGATACAGAAACATTTTATTTATTTATTTATTTTACAACAGTTAAGCTTTCTCTGTGTACCTTGAAGTTTTAGAGGAGGGATGTTTGGCAAAGCTAAGCAACACACATGCTCAGATCACATTTGGTTATCCCAAGAGTTCATTCAGTGCAGCAAACTGACTTAAAGCACATCTGTATCACAATTTCTCTTTCAGAAATATTTCTTAAAGATCTTTTACTTGCTATACGCATGCTCTGTTGCATTCTGAACATCAAAACCTATCTTGCGTTCTGAAGGTTCCCCGGATATGTGCTACACATGCACCTGCTCCTGTGCAAGGGACATCACAGAGCTCACATTGAAGCTGTTTTTGAACCCTGCAGGGGCTCCTGTTTCCTTGGTTTCCTGTCTTCTGAACAGCTTCTTTCTTTCTGTGCTTTTGTCATTCTAAGCGCTCCCGGTAAGTCTGCAATCAAACAGGGCAACACTTTCATTTTGCTTTCAAAGGCAGTACTGTTTTTTCCTACAGATACACTAAATGTCTTCTGAAAATAAATGGAAAATTTCCAGAAAGTCAAATTTAAAAAAAGAATAAAAAAAAAAACTAACTTCAGAGTCCCATCCAAACCCACAATATATAAAATGCTCACAAGTGCTAACAGCTTGATGAATCGCCCTTTACTGACTCACACTGCAATAGGAACTCACATGCAACCTAATCATCTCAGGCTCCTTAAACAATCAGTCAGCTTGGGTGTAAGACTTAAATACAACTAAACATATCTGCCTAGCTCAATTAAAATGATTAGCTTTTTGTTGACTGTGCAGCACATCTAACACAGCTGATTTAGATTCAGGTTACTATACTGTAGGCATGTGCACTTGGTTAGATGCGTGTCACCTCACCAAATGCAGAGAGCAAAGGTCCCTTTTGGAAGGCACTGACTAAGAATCATAACTGCTGTGGACAAAAGTTCAAAGAAGTCAGGCAGTTAGAGGCATATCACATGCTTGCTTCTGAAAATCTGTAGGAGTTTTAAGTGTGGTAACTTCTTGGTTGGTACGTATACTCTTTTTGTAAGACATTACAGTACTACGCAAGAATTTGTTTCACTTCACTAAACAAAAGTAAAGTAAGAGACCACAGCTGTTCTCAGAAGTCCAGTGGTGACATCACCTTAAATAACCTTGGACATCGTGCCACTGACTAATAAGCTAGTGAATTAATAAAAAACATGATCTTGACCACCAGATTAGATCTTTAAAAAAATCCACACAACTACTCAGCAAATTTTCTCACTTATTCAAAATTCAATTCATCTGAATTTAGAAAAAACAACAACAACAACAACAAAAAAAACAGTTGGGCTTAACTGGATAAACCTTAACCTTGGAAAAACATCAACATTCTTCACATTAGCAAACAGTGAGATGGGACGGACACTTCATCCTGCTAAGGGTGGAGTAGGGAGGGAGGTGGTTTCCCAGGTTTTATTAAGGTTAAAATTTAGTGCTAACCACTGATCCACCATAAGATCCACACATTCTTCAATGGGAACAGCTAGCTCTGATTTCAGGCATTAAACTGACATATTCGTAACCATCTGCAGGACAGAAAGCAACCTAAAACCCCAGACTTTCATATAAATTAGTCAGGAAAAGATGTTTAGCATACCAATAAAACACACTTTCTTCTTAAAACAGTAAAAGGTTGTCTAAGAAACAAAATCCAAACAGGTATGACAAATCTGGATGAATTTTTAAGAGAAGCTCAAACTAACCTCTCTAGCTCTTCTGAGGATAAATGATGGCACATGTCATGATTCTGATTGATAAATGGTAAAAGGTGAAAGCTTCTGGAATACATCCTGCATCCTTCTTTACCTTCATAAGCTCAAGATAATGTCTTTAGTTAATCATCTGCCAAATCACCAAAACATCAGATACATCGATGAGATTGCATTGCAATGAGAGCCACATAGACTTGTACTTGTTTAGTTTCATCAGGTGGTCTCAGACCTGCTCTTCACTTACAGCAGTGGGACTTTGCTCCCCCAGCCTCCATCTGCAGGTTCAGGGAAACAAGAGACTTAGGAAGCCTGACTGGCAGTGAAGACTGAGGCAAAGAAGTTGTTGAGTATCTCAGCCTTCTCCATGTCTGTCATTACCAGTTCACCCTCCTCATCCAGCAGAGGGGGTACATTCTCCTTGGCCTTTCCTTCTGAGCAATGTATCTAACGAATCCCTTCCTCTTCCTCTTTGCATCCCTTGCCAAGCTCAGTTTCATCCACTTCATGACTTTCCTTATCCCACCCCTGCACATCCAGACTGCATCCCTGTATTCTTCCCAGACCATATGTCCCTGCTTCCACTGCCTGTGCCTGATCACTGAATCTAACTCCTGGCTCACACAGGACCACCTAAAAATCAGACCATGTGTCTGAGAGAATAGTCCAAATGCTTCCTGAACTCCAGCAGGCTCAGTGCTGTCCTGGGGAGCCTGCTCAGTGCCTGACCACCCTCTCAGTGCAGACCCTTTCCCTAACCCCCAGCCTGACCCTGCCCTGTCCCAGCTCCATGCTGTCCTCTCAGGTCCTGTCGCTGTCCCCAGAGAGCAGAGCTCAGAGCCTGCCCCTCCGCTCCCCTCGTGAGGGAGCTGCAGGCCGCCATGAGGCCTCCCCTCAGCCTCCTCTTCTCTGGGCTGAACAAACCAAGGGACCTCAGCCACTCCTCATACATCTTGCCCCACACATCTTGCCCTCCAGACCCTTCACACTCTTTGTAGCCCTCCTTTGGGCGCTCTCTAGTAGTCTTATGTCCTTCTTATATTATGGCACCCAAACCTGCCACAAAAGTACTCAAGATGAGTCTGCACCAGTGCAGAGCAGAGCTTTTTCCTCCTAAACTGATTTTGATCATTATCATTTTGCAAATTCTCCAGGTTATGATTTTGTTCAATTTCATAGTTAAGTGAACAGAATAAGGAAAAGTTGTTTTGCTTTTTCTGCTTCCACTTTCCTAGTACTAAGCAGACCAGGAACAGCCACTGCCAAGTACAGTACTGTGGCCACAGCTCCTTTGGTGCTGAACCAGCTTACCCCAGGCAAGCACATCCACTGAGGCACCATTTCAACGCACCAGGTGTTTCTTCCATGGCATAAAAATCAGGCTGCAGATTAGAGTAAAAAGGCTTGAGAACTGAACAAAGTTAACCAGCACCAGGAACAAACCTGGACAAGCTGAGGAAAAAAGCACTGCTTCAGAAAAAGGGGAGCTGAGTACAAGATCTGGATAGAGAGGCTGCTCTACTGCATTTTATATTTGAACATCATCCTCTTATTAAAATTCAAGGTAGCTGCTTCTATAGATGAGAGGGACCTACTTAGCAATAAGTCTTCTGAAGTCCAGAAGTGAGAAGTGCTTCTTCAAGCAGCATGTAGTTAACCCACAAAATTTGCTGCCAGAGGAGGTCAGAAAGATAAGTGTTTTAAGTTTCTAAATATATAAATATGTCCAGGAGGTTGAGGAATATGTTTCACAGCCTCACAAACTGTTTACCTATTCCACCCCCACAAAACAAAAAAGAAATCGATGATGGAGTCACCCATTGAAAAGGTGAAATACTGATTCTGTGATAGTTTCATTTTGATTTCTCACATGCAATGCTGTAAAAATATCACTTTATCTAGCATAGTTTCAAGGAATTCATGAAGAATGTTTATGATGATATCAACTGTAGATTATACTTTCTCAACAGATAAATAAATATTACTTATGCATTCAAGCTACTTCAACAGCTACAAGTAGTGGCCTCAGTTGTTTTTTGTTTGTTTGTTTTAACTCTTGTATTTGAAAACAAATTCTAAATCTACCTATACTACAAGAACTTTAAAATAAAACATACATACAGAAGACACGACTGCTGGATTCCAGAAGCACTCACTTGGTGGGAGTATGAATCTCTGGCAAGATGTTGCAGCTGAACAGGCAGGTGCTGGCTGGTAGTACTGCTTGCTCTCACAGTTGCTTGCAGATGTTTGTTGTTCGTAACTGTAATTATAATGCATATGGAATTCCAACAGAGCAAAAAGATTAAGAAAACACTGTGGTAAAAAATGATTTATAAATAACTGATTTGACAGACGGCAGACAATTCACATATTTGATATCTTAATAGTAGATAATGACGTTATTTATAGGAAAAAAAAAAACATTTAAGGGCATTTTGATGGTATTGGCAGGGAATGATGTGGGAGCAGGAAGCAGGCTAATTGTGCTTTCTCTAGGAGAGCTCAGCTGGAGGTGCAGGGGAAACAGCAGGAATCACTGACAGTAACTCACTACAAGAAGGCAGTTTTAATTCACTCTTTTGAGAGGTTTCATTCCAATTACAACACAGTGCTCAGTTTGAGTCACACCAAGATTAGGGTATGCTGCAAATTTCTAAAGCAAGATACAAGACCTCATTAAAAAAACATAAAATCCCATGCTCTTGCTAGTATGACAAATACACATTCAAGCTGTATATTCATGCAATGGGGAAGAAAAGAGTAAGATTTAATTATTTTGACACTCTATAAATATCTAGAAAAGTGATAAATAAGAAACATCTCTTACCATTCAAAAGGAGCGGATGACATGCTAAAGTCTAGAAGCATTTATCTGAAATTCACCAGAAAGTCAAAGCTGATTCATTAATAGCAATATCCAGAAATACTCGTTAAGGACTGGGGCACATTGTATAGGGGGAAAAATCATGTCCCTCAAGAAATAAGTCTTAGGTCAGTACAACGTGCAATAACTTCTTTAGTCATCCATTTACCCTGACAGATGCCTGCGGTATGCAGGCTTCCCACCAGTGGCAGGTCAAAACAAAGTCTCTGGTACTGTGGCTGTCTGTTGGCCACCATCCAGAGGACATGCAAGCTATCAAGCCTGTCTGTTCTCACTGGTCAGAGAGAAACAGGCACCTTCAAAAGATAACTCGTCACAGCTATTGCTTTCTGTTGCCTACAGAGGGAGTCTAGACCAGCTTACACAGAAGGCAGAGACAACTTCTGGAAAATGAATCCCATACAGAAAAGAAAATCACGCAACAGTGATAAAGCAACTACATTAAATCTATCAGAAAGGTACTATCTGGCAATAAGACCATTCAGGATTATATAGTGCATTATCCTGTCTCCAGTGGTGCCCACAAGCAAATGCCAAGGGAGAGGTAGTACAGAATACTCCCTTGCAACTCTTTCTGCTTCAATTATCAGCTTTGTGAACATCCCAAGCCTGACATAACTTGTCCTTTGGTTACTCTCAAAACACCTTTCAGATATTTGCTCAGTCTCCTTTTTTTTCCACCCTTTATCTTTTTGCAGACACAACATCCTTGAGCAAGAACTTTCCCTGACCTAACATGCACTGCAAGAACCATCACCTCCTTTTGTTTGCTTTGAAGCTAACTCCTAACAGCTTCAATTGTAAGCCTGAGCTTGTATAGCACTGGAAGAGACAGTGAACAGTCAGTTCCCATCCAGCTGCTTCTTGCCACTTCAGATCCAGTAAACATCTAGTATCCGCTTTAAATCGTCTCTCCCAGGCTGAGGAGTCCCAGCCCACTCAGTCATTCTTGCTATGGAAGCTATGCCATGCTTTAGATCACCTCTGTCACTAGCCTCAGGCCCTTTCCAAGTCCTACCATATCCTTTCCAAGACAATAGGAACAGAGAATTGCTTACAATCAGTATCCAAGCAAAGGGCAAAGCCACTGCCATTATTTGAAACAGGAGCATAAAGTTGTCTTCTGTTTGCTATTTTTGTTCTTACTCTTTAATATTTAATAAACTCCTGCTGAACACTATAAAACTCTAAATTTTTGCTCCTGAGTAGCCGTCACAGTCTATTACATTGTGGAAAAGCAAGAACAATTTACAAAAGTAAAAACTGGGGGAAAACTAGCTATTCAGTCGTGTACTGGGGCTTCCTATAATTCCTCATTGTTCTGCCCTACCTAACTTAAATCCTTCCCAACTTTTTGGGGTGCCTCAGACCTAGCACCGCCAGCTAGGCGAAGGAAGATGTCAGTAGATGGTCTCAAGGATCCTTGTAGATTCCTTCCAACTCCGGATATTCAGTGCTTCTTTTTCAGTTCAGAAACTTAGTTTTCCTTTTATTCTACTTGTTATAACTCAGCTTTGCATTCCTCACAGCAAAAGTTGAACTAGATAATAAATAAGTATATGAAATGCTAATGATAGAATGGGTTGGAGATGTTAACACATGGTCTGTGTTGATGCTCAGCCTAGGAAGTTTGCTATACTCTCAAAGCTTCAGAAGTTGACCTTTCTTCTTCAAGATGCCCAGTCTACTACTCCATCAGAGCAACCAACCTGCATCCCGTGCAGATAAGTCTTTTTCAGGAGGAAAATAGAACCACTGACATATCTACATAGATTAAAAGGTGTTGATGAATCTATTCTTCCTTGATGCCAAAGCACTATACCTATAAAAATAAATCACCAAAAAGCTCCTGTGAGCTCCATTGTCTGCTGAAGTGTGTTCAGTATATAGATTAAAAAAATAAATCAAAGCAACTCCCTAGTTAAGCAAACTCTCAACCAGCCTACTAGTTCAAAGCCACCAGTCTGAACAAAAGATGTTTTTTTTCTCAGAAAGCATTAGAGATATATGTCTATAATAAATCACCTGAGATGTAAAGACAATGACTCACTTCATTATCTTTAAAGCATGAGAACAGAATACTCTAGTGAGACAAAAGTCCCTACAAAATGCTGATATCAGCTGCACTTTGCTCTCTCGTAGTAGTCTCAGCAAGGTAGGAACAATAAAGAGATTCTGACAAACTACTGCAGAAACAGTACTGCAGAGATTATATGATTTTAGACTGAATTTCTACATTATACATGCTCAGTTTATAGTTATAAAAAAGCTCCCTCTAAGAAGCAGGTCTGCAAATTCAGCCTATGTCTCAAAATTAAATGTGGTACAGAGTCAAGGAACAAATACTCCAGCAAAACAAATTCTGAGTGCCAAAAAGACAAAAGTAACATCTTGGGATGTAGTAATAATTTCTGCTGACAAATCATAGCGGTTAGAGTTAAATACATTCCAAAACTGACACTTTATTATGAGTAAGAAAAAAAGTTGTAAGATCTTAATATGTTGATACAGTGCCAAACAGAAAATTCCTATTTTAATTCACATGGAGCACTCACTGCCTACAGGCCACCTCAAAAATAAGAGGCCACATCCCTATTTTCCTGATGCAGCCTGAATCTTCATTGCGAACAGGTATGTTTTATCTGCTCTGTTTTATCTGCTCTATCTGGCCGTCTAATAGCCACTGATGACTACAACCAACTCTTCCCAAAAGGATCAAAAATCCTGACTTGAATCCAGGAAATAAGTGTAGGTGATGAAAGCTCAGAAACACATCCATAATTTGGTATGCACACACACTGTGCAGTCACTGACTGAGATCCAGTGCTGTTGGCAAGACTTGAGAATTATTTGCATGAGCATAGACCCAAAGCTCAGCTTTATTAGTCCTGATGCACTGCCTAGTACTTCCAGTTACCTGAGGAATATTCAGAGGTAAAATTAAAGTTCCATTAAACTCCTGTGTGGCAGAAGACGCTCAAGAACTGGGTTTTCTTTTCATTACCCTGTTACCTGAAATCAATATTTAAGTGCTGAAATGAAGTGTGTGGGCATGAAGAAAACTGAAGGTAGTGATGACCAAGTCTTTTCAATTAGAGACTAGACACACGGAGAATAAAGAATCTTAAACATTACTGTCTCGACTGTGCAATTTCGATAAACAAATACTGTGAATACAGGTTGCCAACTAAAAACTCCCAGGTACTAAATCATGGCCCCTTCCTGAAAGCTTGGTGTTTTGACAGGCTGGGGAATGATTTTCTACTAAGCACATCCTCAACCATAGTCCTGCCCTGACTGTGTCTGATAGAGTCCAGAGGCAAAGGCTGCAAGCGGCCTGTCAGCCTGTGCTATGAGTATGAGAGATGCCAATGCAGGACTTCGCTGCACGCCATAGCTCACTCCACTGGTTGCATGTGATTAAAGTGTGGCTGGCTGAGCACTGTAAAACAACAACAAAACCCCCAAAGTTTTATTTAGCAGACCCAGCTTCCATGCACAGAATCTACTGATACCACATTTTAATACTGCCCTGCAGGTCAGTCTGCTTATGAAGACTGAGTAATGCTGCACTTCAGGTCTGTGTTATAAAATTAAGGCCATGGCTGATTAGAAGCTGAGCAAAGATATAGTCACATGAAAAATGTGAATATGCCAATCAGTAAACAAACAGCTGTTGACTTCGTAGTAACTAAGGTGCGTGTGTCGATCTGCTTGAGGGTAGGAAGGCTCTGCAGGAGGATCTGGATAGGCTGCACCGATGGGCTGAGGTCAACTGTATGAAGTTTAACAAGGCCAAGTGCCGGGTCCTGCACCTGGGGCGCAATAACCCCAAGAAGAGCTACAGGCTGGGAGAGGAATGGCTGGAGAGCTGCCAGGCAGAGAAGGACCTGGGAGTGATGGTGGACAGTCGGCTGAATATGAGCCAGCAGTGTGCTCAGGTGGCCAAGAAGGCCAACGGCATCCTGGCTTGTATTAGAAACACTGTGACCAGCAGGGCTAGGGAGGTGATCGTCCCCCTGTACTCGGCTCTGGTGAGGCCGCACCTCGAGTACTGTGTTCAGTTCTGGGCCCCTCGCTACAAGAAGGACATCGAGGTGCTTGAGCGGGTCCAGAGAAGGGCGACGAAGCTGGTGAGGGGCCTGGAGAGCAAGTCCTATGAGGAGCGGCTGAAGGAGCTGGGCTTGTTCAGCCTAGAGAAAAGGAGGCTCAGGGGTGACCTTATCACTCTGTATAAGTATATTAAAGGAGGCTCTAGCGAGATGGGGGTTGGCCTGTTCTCCCATGTGCCTGGTGACAGGACGAGGGGGAATGGGCTAAAGTTGCGCCAGGGGAGTTTTAGGTTAGATGTTAGGAAGAATTTCTTTACTGAAAGGGTTGTTAGACATTGGAACAGGCTGCCCAGGGAGGTGGTTGAGTCACCATCCCTGGAAGTCTTCAAAAGACGTTTAGATGTAGAACTTAGGGATATGGTTTAGTGGGGACTGTTAGTGTTAGGTCAGAGGTTGGACTCGATGATCTTGAGGTCTCTTCCAACCTAGAGATTCTGTGATTCTGTGATTCTGTGAAGTAAGGATTAATGTCACTCAAAACTGCCAAAGGGCTTCTGCCCGGTATGACAAGCCCAACACTATTTTATTAGTTAACAAATCGATGCAGAATTTCTGTAGGTATTTCAATCACAATAAAAGCTGCTCCTTTCCTTTGTCTATGTGGTCAAAGCAGCAGTAGCTCAGGCCCCATGAGTTACCATAGCTGATGCTGTTCTCTCATGAAAAAAAAAAGAAAGAGCCGGATCTACATCATGGCCTTTATTTCAGTTTATTATCAGATTGAGCTCTTGAAACAAGCTACAACGCTGAAGTGGAGGCACCTTCTAGACTACAGGTGAACACTTAAAAGTTTAAAAAAATGAAGTAATGCATAGGTGAACATGTTGTAACTTTTATCAAACATAAATTATTTAGTCACAGACTTTGCTATACATTGTTTTCGGTCATACCTGAGTGCTTGTACATGATGGCAGATATCCCTGAACCGAAACCGCATATGAATTTTCCCCAGGTCAGTTTTGACTCCAGTACTTTTCATCATCTTTAAGATGTTCCTGGGAAAATTTTTTTGAAAGATAGGGCTTGGGTTGTTACTATGCCTACAATACATGTCGTACTAGAAAATGAATAAACAACTGTCAGACACACAACTGGATAGCCACACATCTGCTGGCACTTTGATCAGTTAACTGACGGACAATCTCCACAGACAGATCTTGCACGTCACTCTATAACGTATTAAGTGAAAGGATTATCTAAAGCACTTATCTCCTTTTGCATTTTCAAGATATGTTCAGGGATAAAAGCCGATCAAGACTACAGGTTGCTTCGCCAAGGATTTGTCGCAGACTGGTGTGCTTAGTTCAACAATTACCTTGTTCTTCTTAGCTAGGATTCTGATCTAATTTGTTGCTTAAGCTTCCTCCAAACTTGGTCCCCGTAGCAACTCATGTTACTACCACACCAAATCCAACCAGGCTTTGATGTTTCGAACTTTCACTTACAAGAACAGGTACAAGCAAGCCTTCCTCCATAAAACCCTGTCTCTTTACAGTCTCTCCGAGAATTCTGAAATATATCCTTGAAGTACAAAGACACTCAAAGTCTGATAACACAGTAATTCTGTAGTGCTTTATTGCTTCCATGGTGGTGATAAGAGACAGTGCCATAAATGTTCAAGCCAACCAATTACTTCAGAAGACCTGGGAGATGCCTTAGCCATTATGGTGTTCATATCACCACATTTTCCATATTAAGACCATCAGGAATACATGCTCTGGAAATTATAAACTTCTGTCAGCGAAGGGAAACATTCATGTCAAACATTAAAAGCACAGCATGCTATGTTATTATTGTTGGTGCTAGTCCAAATAGTTTTAGTTTGGCAGGAGTATCAACGGGCTTTCCATTGCTGATGTGTGCAAACCAAACTTATGGTTTCAGTAAGGCAGTTATATCACTGTACACATCTGAACAGGTCAGTACATCTATCCCTATGTGTTTGTTTTTGTGGCAACAAATACTTAATCTCAGGGATAAGAAGCTATTCTCAAATAACCATTCTTAAAGCACCTATCGAGCTCTTCATAATTCCCTACTACAAGTTCACACACAGCCACTTGAGCAGTATGTTTTGCTAAACGCTTCAAAATACACAAAAAATGGGTGTCTTTGGGGAAATAAAAACAATGCACACAGAATGTTTACCGTGCATTTATTATTTCTTATCATCATCACGAAGTTTCAAGGACTGGAAGATAAGAAACGTAGTTAATATTGTCTTAACGACAAATTTAAAGTCTTCACACCAGCTGAGACTACAGAACGTGGTCGGTAAGCTCAGCCTAACTTTCTGGGCTAAGCAAGGTTACAGGATGCAATGAGGTCAGGCATGGGCCATGGCTAGTAAGCAACATGCAGTGGTGATATATTCTACTACAAAAACACTTCATCCTTTACTCCTGTACACCAGAAATTGAGCACATGAAAGCATGCTACCAGCAAGTTACTGTGACTTAAGAAGGGATCTGAAGTGCCAATATTTAAACACATAAACAGATTTGTCAAAAAGTATTCCATGTACTTCCCAGACACAAGCTTCTCTGTTTAGTCTGATATATGCAGTATGATTAACGATAAAAACTGTTATGCTTTTAGATTTGAATTGCAATAGAAAATTAACAGATCACTACACAAACAGAAGTATGCTACAGATAAGCACTGCATCAGCTTAAATAATTTCAATATTCACAACCAGTATGAAACTATACGCAATCACAAGCTTCATAAATAATGAGCAAAGAATAAAGACGATTACTGGCAACCAGAAAGCTTCCATTTAGCTTCCCTCCACTTTATTTCACTGTGGAAGGATCTTATTGTCTACTAAACTTTATAGGACAAGAGTTCAAAAGCTAGGCTAATAAATAGTGTGACTACTGTTCAACAAATGGGGGGGGGGAGCTTACAAAGGCTATTCATGCATACATGAAAATTAGAGTGGCAGAGAAAAATCAGCTTCATTAAGAGTTTATAACAGCATTTATTTTAAGTTATATTGTAACTTAAAATGAGACATCACAATTAACCACAAGGAAGGTAACTGCTATGGGAGCGAAACACTGGATACAACTTCATCCTTCTGCAAGCAACCAGCAGAAGGAGCTTCTGAAGAGGATGAAGCACTATGAACAACTGATATTACTAGGCCAGATCCCTGGGGAGGAAATTACCCTCAAGAGCAAAGCTGAAAGCGCAGAGCTCATCAGAGCCCCAGCATACCAGAAATAGTGAGCACAGAGAAACGCCACAAACAAAACCCAAAAGGTATTCCTGGGAAGGATGCTGACAGCAGAGCAGCACAGGAGCCCTCAAGCGTGCCTGATGAGATCACCGTGTTGGACCACAAACCAAAAGGAGAGTAAAGCAGGGCATTAGGTAACCCACACCTTGGGGCATTTGCTGGAAGGGGGAGCAAGGAGAGAGCACGAGGCTGGTGGCTGAGACCTGAGGAAAGAAAGCAACAATAAAGAGCAAAGGCGGCAGTGTGAACAGCAGGCAGAAATCAGAAAGCAACGCGAGACCCTACAGGAAGGGAAGGAAGACGAAAAATGAAGACACCAGGAGGAGCGCAGCAGGACACCTTCCACCTCGACACCACTTCACGAGGGAAGGGCAGAACCCCAGGGCAGCTGGAGCGCCCCTGCGGGGGGACAAAGCCCTGCGGGGGGACAAAGCCCTGCAGAACCCCGAGGCCAGAGCAGGAGCAGCAGATGCAGGAGGAGGAGGACGGGGGGGAGGAGGAACCCAGCCCCCTGCGGGCCGCCCAGCCCCGGGCCGCGCCGCCGCCATTTTACCCACCCCGAGGGCCGGGCCGGGGGCGCCGCGGCCGGGCGGGGCCGTCCCCGGAGGCGGAGAGGGGCGGGTGGCAGCAGCGGGGCGGCGGGGCCGGGGCCGTGCCCGCAGCCCGTTACCTGGCGGCCGCCGCCGAGCCCCGCCAGGCCCCGCAGCGCTGCCGGCCGCCATTTTAGGCGAGGAGCCGGGGCTGCGGCGCTGGTGGCTTCTCGGAGCGAGCCCCGAGCGGGGCGGGGGTCACAGGCGGCGGATCCAGCCTGTGGCTGTGGCCATAGTGTACTGGAAGCAAACCCTCTTGCAGTCAGGGAGAAGATATGCCAGTTTTGTGAAAATCGTGTTGTTTTTATTTTTTTCACGGCACTGAAAACATTAAAAAGAGGAGTTAAAGAGCTGCCTAAAAAGAGTCTGTAGAGGCTGACGGAGAAGGCTGTCAGAGCCTTTCACTGGTAATGGCTGGTCTGGAGCTACCTTCCAGGTCACAGAATCACAGAATGGTTTTGGGCCTCTTGTACAAATCCCAGGATATAGAATCCGTTATTTGCTCTTCTTAAATTTTATACTGTTGCTGATTGCCCAGCCCTCTGGTTTATCAAGATCTTTCTGCAAGACCTTTCTACTGTTGCAGTCAACAGTGCCTCCTAATTTCATGTCAGAACCATGGAGTGGTTTGGGTTGGAAGGGACCTCGAAGCCCACCCTGTCCCACCCCTGCCGTGGGCACGGCCCCCCCAGCAGCCCAGGCTGCCCCCAACCCCATCCAGCCTGGCCTTGGGCACTGCCAGGGATGGGGCACCCACAGCTCCTTGGGGCAGCCTCAGCCAGGGCCTCACCGCCCTCAGGGGGAAGAATTTCTTCCTAACAGCTCATCTGAACCTACCCTCTTTAATTTAAGTCCATTACCCCTTGTCCTGTTACTACACCTCCTGCCAAGAGTCCCTCCCCAGCTTTCCTGCAGCCCCCTTAGGTACTGGCAGGCTGCTGTGAGGTCTTCCCAAAACTTTCTCTTCTCCAGGCTGAACACCCCCAGGTCTCCCAGCCTGTCCTCATAGCAGAGCTGCTCCAGCTCCTGAGCATCCCTGTGGCCTCCTCTGGACTCGCTCTAATACGTCCACATCCTTGCGCTGGGGCCCCAGAGCTGGACACAGTGCTCCAGATGGGCTCTCATGAGCACAAGGTCACAATGTCATGAAGTCCTTACAATGCTGGCAGCTGAAAGAGTGTGCCAGGACAGCTGCTGCTTCTCAGACATCTTCCGTGTACGGCTGCTGATCACTGGTTTTAAATTAGGAGAGCATACTTGAGTTCAGTTGGCCTGCTGCTCCCACCTGTTAAGCATTCTTACCTTCCATAATACATTCACATCGTCAGATGGCTCTGCAACTATCTTTCTCCTTCCATAACCTGAAGTTTCTAGCAGGTTGTAATATGGCCAGTTATAATAATCATTTGTCCTTTTGGCAGCCAATTCAGTAACTCACTTTGCACTGATCATTTTCCTGCCATATGTGAGAAACGTATTGACAAATGGCTTCCAGTATTACCATTTGCATTGAAATTTTTTCAAGTTTCATATATCAACAAGCGGCATGACTCAACATACCTGTGAGGAGCCTGCTGTCACTTATGTTGCATCATCATAAGATGATTTCACCAGGACACCTAGCTTCACATTTATAAAATTCTAAATTAACATGAAGCCTTCTGTTTCTGACTGATGTGTTTTCACATGAGCTGAAACACTGCAATGGAAATTAATATATATCAGTAAAATGAGATAATTCCTTTAAAAATTGGCTTACAGTTTAGTGGGATAACACCTTTTAATTGTCATCACAGTTTTAATAACAAAATGTTTATATTGATAAATCAAATGATGAGATTGAAATGTGCTGTTGTGAAATAGAGGCATCAAAGCTCTGTGCAGCAACGTCTTGTGTCCATGGCCCTATTTTTTAGAGATCTGAGACCCATCTTAGGCCCAAGAATGAGTTTGCTTAATTAAAACCTGTGTGATAGAAGAAAAAATATATAATTTGCAGTAACTGAAAGCTGCCGTTGATGTGAATGACAAAATTGAGATATTGTGGCTGGCATACATAGCAGCATGAGCAAATAACAGATGTACAAACATCTTTAATGTTTTATGGGGCCTTGAAGGATATTTCCAGACCTGTCAGGCTTGGAGTTTACATGTGAGGATTCCCCATCTGGCACTGAAAGCTACGAAAAAGAAAAAAAAAAAAAAAAGAAAATGGCAACGTCTCTAACATCTTTTAGTCATTAACCTCCTTGATGGACTCTTGATGCTGAATGTTACCTTCTGTTTGATACCGTGCTGCTCAGGTCATACCGTATGGAAGATGAGGAGCCTATATATAATGGCCAATATAACAAGACCACTTGAAAGTGAAATCCAATCTGAAATGGATTTCTGGGCAGATAAAACAGATACCATCAGTACAACACTGTTGGGAATTTACTATAAGGGGCCTTGCAGAGGCCAAGTCAAGGTAGGTGGAGGAAATATATTTGCCTTTTTATTATGTAAATTTCCATGTGTCCCAATGTAATTATTACTTTTCTACTCAGGCTTTGCTGCTATATTGCAAGTTTCTGTCCTCCAGGTGGATCTTATTGCTCTTACACTGTAGGAAAAGGTTCATTAACGTGTTTTTTAAGAGTTATACTACTCAACTAAATAAAGCTCAAATGATGAGTTGTCTATGAATGGCAAATAACATCACCTATTTTAATGTAGCAATGTTCTGATGTTACTTTTTGAATTTTTTTTTTTGGCCAAAGCCAAGTATCTTGATATATATACAGGATTTACTAAGTCTTGCAAGCTTACAAGTATGTCACACACAAAATATACTGCTTTGTACTATGGATATTATTGCATAATGCTGTGTTACTGACAAAAGACATTTGTTTCCTGCAGAATGGTCAAATTTTACACTTAGAGACTCCAGCGCAGTAGAAAAGGGTAGATATAAAGGGATGCCCTTTCCTATCAAAAATACGCTGGCAGTGGATGGATGGAAAATTTGTGACACGTGGGGGCCCCTAAGGCCACTGCAGGACTTAGAGCATGGAAAAGAGCTGACCATCGTAGCTCCTGCTGCAGACCATCACTAGCATTTCACTTGCACAGGCACAGCTCGCATCTGAGCTGCTCACAAACGCTCCTTTGTGCTCCTGTTCAGCGCAGCTCTCCCATGTGTCTGCACTACAGCTGGCTCCCCACGTCTGTGTGGCGGAAGCCTTCAGCTGACCACAAGCACCACAGTGCCTGGGGCTGTCCTGCTGGAGCTTCTCAAGCCCTTGCACTTCCCCGTGGACACGAGCAGTTCGGACGGCCTCGTCCCCAGACCACACCGGGGACAAGCCCCCCTCGCTGCTCCTAGGCCCATTCCAGCTCCTAGGCCCATTTTCTGCCCCTGGCTCCCCGCTCTGCCTCCGAAGGCCCCAGCCCTGCAGGCCCCAGCCCAGCAGGCCGCGGCCCAGCTCCGCTCCCGGCCCTTTCCGGAGCCATCCCCGCGGGGCCCCGCCGCCGGGCCGCTCCCCTCAGGCTCCTATCGGAGCGGGCCGAGCCCCCTGCCCACCACCCAAAGAGGCTTCCTGGAGCCCCCCAACCCCAGAACCGGGACGAGGAAGACCCCCTGGGTGCCCACCGCCCCGCACCCCCCACCACAGCCAGCCGGGCCCCAGCCCCCGCTCCCCACCACAGGCCGCGGCCGCCTCACGCGTAGCACCCCCCCCCCCCCCCCCCATAGCCCGCCGCGAGCGGCCGCCCCCGGCCGAGCTCTTGACGGACATCCCAACGAGCCAATGAGAGGCGGGGCACGTGCGCCAGGCAGCCAATGGGGCTCGGCGGGCGGGACTTGGCGGCTCGCAGGGGGGCGTGGCCGGCGGCGCTGCGAGCGGCTCTCGTTGTGCGCGCTGCGGAGCCGTTACCCCGCCGCTGCACGGCCCTGCCGAGCCCCGCAGGTGAGGCCGGAGCTCGGCCGCGGGGCAGCGACCGCGGGGCTGCCCGCGGGGGAGGGTTCGGGGGAGAAAGCGGAGCGGGCCGGGCCCGGTCGGGAGAGGGCGCGGGGCGGCGGGGAGGAGAAGGCCGCGGCGGCGAGGCCTGGGCCTGCAGGGGGAGAGCTGAGGCCTGCGGGAGGCAGGGAGGGGCCCGGCCGCGGGGGGGCGCGGGGCTGCGGCCGGCGGGGGAGGAGCGGGAGGGCCGCGGGGCCGCCGCGGGGGGAGCCGGCCCCGGGCTGAGCCGAGCCCCCCCCACACCCCCTCAGGGGGTTCCGTTTCCCACCTCGGCCGCGAGCGGCGCGGCCCCGCCGAGCGGGGGGAGGGGAAGGGAGGGGGGTTCCCGGGGGGGGGGGCTCTCGGCGCCGTGCCGCTGGGGGAGGCCGCGGGGAGCTCGGGGCCGGAAGAAGTCGGGGCCGGAGCAGCGGCCCCGCTATTGTTAGCGCCGGGGGAGGCTGCCCCGCGCTGCGGCGCTGGGAAGAGGCAGGAGCGCGGCGGGGGAGGAACGGGCGGAGGGGAGGTCCCGGGGAAAGGGGGAAGGGGCGGCCCCGGGGGAGCGGTCCGTGGGGCAGCGGGTGCTGGGGGCCGCGGGTGCTGGGGAGCGGGGGGGGCACTGCCAGGAGCCAGGCAGGGGCCTTGGGCCGAGGCGTGCTGAGGAAGGGAGCGGAGCTGGGGGCACAGAGCGCGGCTGCTCAGCTCCTGTAGCCCGCGCGATGGGGCAGCTGCGGAACAACAAAGGTGGGAAGAAGTGGGGAAGGTGGAGATTCGTCGCGATTACGAATTCTGGTTGGTTTTGTTGGCATAACTGGTTACTTCTCAGGGTTTCTGCGTTTCCGTTCCTTTTTCCTGGTATGCCATGAAAGTGGATGTTGACTGCTCGTATTGCTCTGCTCATACCTTTTCGAGTTCAAGGACTGTTCCCATGTACTCATGTTTTTAAGCACTTGCCTTTCCAGGTCTTTGTGAACAGTTCACAGGCTCATGTCTCTCTCTGTAAAACTGGGGCCCTGCATCTGTTCCAAAGGCTTTATCAAGCTCTTGTGATCGATGTGCTTCCTTAGATTCCCAGTATCTCCAGGGGTACATCTGTTTTGCGTGATAAAGTCTAGGTTCCTGAGCTTGAGTCTGCAGCGTGATCCATTGCTCTGTGACCGGCCTAGTTTCTGTTCTGAAGCAGTATAACTGTATTTATTTGTACGATGATGTGGATGAGTCTGTGGTTTAATGATTCGTAGTGTTTGATGCTCCTGACTTATAGAACTCTGACCTGCCCCAGCAGCAGGCTCAGCACTTGGTTTGGTTGGAATGAGAGCAGGAAGTCTCAAGCTGATACTGGTATTAAATGTGTTGCGTAGTGAGTTTACGGCCTTAACTTATTCAGCCCTGGTGTGAGTGGTTCTGCAGCACCAGATAAAGGTGGTTATATGTGGCTTTCCTATGGGAGCTGTCTTAGGCAATGCCAGGTTTGTGGGAGCAGTGCTAGTACTGAGCAGGCTAAAGGGAGGTGCAAATGTTGTGTGGGGCATCTTTCTGAGCTTTAATCACTTCTGTTGACTGCAGCCAGTGTTCAGTGCTGACATTAGCTTACCATGAAATGGGATCTGAGCCCTTAATTCAAGTACTTTTTCTCTTTGCTGGTTTGTGCATGTTCTGACACTTTTTCCCCCTGGAAAAACTCCTTGTCTTGACACATCAGGGCATATCATTATGTTTTCCGAATCCATTTTTTTTTAAGCTGTTAGGCCTGCCTGTTTTCTTTCCTGAAGCACTGGTCTCTGCCACGCTTCTTATTTGTTACGAGCACTCTGTGAACAGTAAAATGTTAAATTGTAAAACAAAAACAGCAACAACAACAAAAACAAAACAAAACAAAACAAAAAAAAACAAACAAAAAAACACAAAAGCTAACAGTAAAACATAATTAGATGTTGCACAGAGTATGTGCCTTGTGGATCAGCCACCTGTAAGGATGGCAGATTCAGTTGCAGAAAACTCAAGCCTGCTGTATTTGCAGACTTGAGAAAGAAATGCTCAGAGGAGCTGCTCTTTTTGCGCTTCCAAGTACTTTCTCTAAAGCACGGAAGGCAGCTGTGGGAGATTCCCATCGATGTAAACGTTTAGGAAGAGTGATGTAGTCCCAGCATAGGAGAGGTGTTAAATTCTGCCTTCTGCTTAGAATGGGTAAGGGCACTTCTACTTTTTGATGTGCGGCTCTGTGATCTAGGCACCTGCAAGCTTCAAACTGCTGGCCTAAATGATCCATGTGATTATACAACATTGTTTTATGTAGGTGATGTGTGCAAAAATAGACTGTAAGCTTCTTTTGGTTGTTTTTTTGGGGCGTAGGGTGGAAATAAACTATGCTTAGAAGGCAGACATTCTTTGTGTATGTGATTTTTGCTTTTTTGTTTGTTTTTCAGTGTTAGTAGCAGTGGCATAGTAAGTATAAATTACAATGTTCCTCTCGCCCACTGCTTCCATTGCTGCCTTGTAGGAGTGCAGCAGCGAGTTCTGGTGTCTCATCAAGCCTTCAGAGATGGATTTCCAGCTGCTTGTGTTGTGCTGGTGAGCCAGCAGGATGCCATCTCCTCCTCTTGGTACTTCATTTGCCATTCTATCCCATCAAAGTGAAAGTACCAGCTGCTAATCCAAGGATGGATCAGTGTGGGGGACAGCTGTTCTCAAAATGTGTCTGGAATCTGTAGTTTTTATGTCCTCCCCTCACCTACTGCAAATGTCCTGTGCATAGGGAAGGAGTTGTTCACGAATGTTTTCTCTCCAGCACAGTTCTTGTCTCTAGATGATTTTTGGACAGTCAAACAACTTGGCAGCATCTGTAACAAGGAAGATGGCAGCATATTTTTATTTTTTCCTATGTTTGTAGTAAACAGGTAAGATCATCTCAGCTAGAAAAAGTTGTCCAGCTGAGTCTTCCCTGCTGAGGAACTCCGTTATGTTGACTGTCAGCATCTCTGTCCCAGTGACAACAGCCGCAGAAGGTGTTGACGTGAAGCCCTGAGCAGAGCTCTGAGCCTGCTCTCTCTGGCAAGGCTTACTGTTAACCTTGAAAGACGGGGAAATCTCAGATCGAGCTGCAGTTGTTTCATATCTGAGCTGCAAAATTTCCAACTGGCCCTTGTTTGTACATATCAAGCAGAGATGATGTCGGGAGGCCCCAGTCCTCCCTTTCATGTTAAAGCAGCAGAGAGTGGTAATTATGGCCAGTCCTTATCTGATTTCTGACAGCATCCTAACTATGATTAATTTTACTCCTGTGAATTGAGTTAGTTCATCAGATTGGTGGCAAAATGAGGTCACTCCTCAGAAGAATGTAGCTTATTTTTTGTCCTCAAATGCGTACGTCTCTGGATGTCACTCAAAACACTGCCAGAAACATTTAACAGTCAGTGTATGGACAGGAATAAAAAAACTTAAAAGCTTTTTTTAGGCAAATCTGATCGTCAAAGAATATGCAGAACTATTTTTTTAATATTTAAATTATGATAGTTGGGATTTGTTACCTGGTAATACACTTGTAATAATACAAGTGTATGTCCAAACTTGCAAAAAAGAACTTAAAATATGTTGTACTAGAAACCATTGATAGAGCAAATGGAGATGATGTCTGTTGAAATGCAGTAATAGATTTTGGTAATAGCTACTTCAGCTTGTGTAGAGAGAATATTTTATCAGAACTGAGAAAAATGTTGGAATTTTAAAAACAGTCAAGCTAAGAGGGGGAAGGAAGTGTCTTCATTCCAAGATCGAGAAGGGGGTGAGAAATCAGTAAAAGAGATCTATTAACAGTGAGAAATCTGCAGGACTGGCAAGCAGACGCAGTTCAATTGCCAGATTAACAAAAAGAGCTTACATGTTAGTGTGAAAGGAACAAAAGGAAGATACCCCGACAAGTTCAATTTATGTGGCTTAACACTCAGAGTTTCGGTGTAAAAGAACCTTCCTGGATAGGTTAAAAGGCAAACTTTCTTTAAAAAAAAAAAGAGTGAGCTGCACTAGCATGTCTCAGTAGGCTGTGTGGGTTTTCTTCTGGGGAGAAGAGAAATGAAGTACAAATGCCGAGTAATTCAAACTGAAAACAAAATTTAAATTTGTCCTATTTGCCAGTTTGAAGCATTAGCCATGGGGGAGAGGAATTCAGAGACAGCTACGCAGGGGGGAGCACCGTGGACAAGAAAGAGAAATAGGGTAACAGTACGGTTTGTGGGAAGGACGGACACCTCGCTTTCTGCTTTTGAGTTCTCATGTGCTCTCAGACGCTGTGCCTTGAGGTTCAGGAAAATGGCAGTTCCAAGGCAGTGCAGGAGTCGTGCTCAGGAAACGCGGTAGCTGCCAATCGGCCGGAGCACTGCAGGCAAGATGTGATGTCCACGTTCCTCCTTCATGGCCGTGGACTTGTTTGGGTAACGGCATCGGGCACCTCTCAAATGTGGGTGCACTACTCCATATCTAAATTAATTTATTTGTAAGAAAATTCATCACCTGTCTTTGCAAGTATATTAAAATAATCTGATAAAAGATTTAAGAGAGATTCTGGAGCGTGACCTGTATTGTACATGCGCGTACTGGGGTAATCTTTTGTGTTTAGTTACCAGGTTAAATTGAAGCTTTCTCCCCACGTTTTCTTCTTGAATTGAAGAGAGAAGCTTGGGCCTTGGCTTTTGGTGTTGAGTCAAGGCTGAAGCCCTCAGCTGTTTGGAGTAACAGTGTGTGAACACCAGGCAGGTGGAACGGCACTGGCCTGGCGCTGCGCTGCCACTGATGCGCTCAGGTGTCCGTGTGGGGTGCAGTGTGGAGAGCTGTTGGGGATAGGAGAGGAATTTGTGTAGAGAGTAGAAAAGGGTTTCTTGGAGATTGCGGGTAAAGAATCTTTGGTATTCATAAAACCAAAGGATCTAGAGCAAGAAATGGGGAGAGGTATTCTGGCTGTGGAGCACTGAAAACTTTTT